TAAAAACACGGTGGTGTAGCGGTAGAATCCTCGCTTAGAGCGCGGGAGGCCCGGGTTCGAATGCCGCATTCGCCTTTTTATTTTTTTAACTAAATGATTGTTCTTTGATATTACGCAAAAAACAATTTTTATTTACATAAACTTTATATTAGAGCTTGAAAATGTAAAAACAATATATGTCAACATATTGCGTTTTGGAGTTAACCGCAGAGAAACAATCAACTATTACACAAATATCGCATCTCGGCTCTTGAACGATTAATTCCTTATGCTCGTGAATGTGTGCGTTGTGTAAGTGACACATTTATTCACCGAAGATATGAAAGGAAATATTTTTATTAATAAAAAGATTTCGCAACGCAGTTTATAGCGTGTTCACAAATCTCTTTTACGTTTATAACTTATGAAAGTGTGTGTATCACGTCATCATTTTTTACGCAGCACCATCCATTTATAAGGAGCCATCGCTTATAAGAATATGGGGCAGATTAAATTAACAATTTTACTAAAAAGTGGCCCAGTATTTACCTCTTTGATTAAATTAGAATAAATGCACGGCATTATTGAGGTGGACGCAAAAATGAGCACGCAATTTAAATAGCCCCGGGGTAGAACTCAATGGGGTCTTTCTCTACACATTCTCTCATCTTACGTTCTATAGAACTACAATTATCTTCATCTATGTGTATTTATATCAAGCACGTCGTGAATCTATAGGATACTTTACATGTTAAATAGTGGAGAAAACATCTCATTTTCTGTGGAAGGAACATTTTGAATGAAACTGATCTGGCCTAGTCTAGACGTTTGTTTTTACCCGGGACGCTAGCCTTTTAGCCAGGGCCTAATTATAGCCTAGAGAAACGGGAATCCCACCCTGTGGCTAATTGCTGAATACTTTCACATTCAGTGTAGTTCCCACCTTGAGAAAACTGGCGACAAACTACATGTGTTTTGAATCCTTTTGTACACAAGAAATCATTCCAAGATTATTTCCATTCAAGATAATTACTGTACGGAGAATACGTACCCGTTTTTTGGATAATTTATGGGATACCCTACTCTTCTGTTTCTATTCAAAGTTTCACGCTATGTCACACCGAAACTACAAATCACTCATTTTGACAATATTCCGGCTTTAAGTAGGATAAAACAGTATCTACTATCAGGGGGCCCTTGAATGATGTCATCAACTGAGATTTGCCATTTTTCAGAGATTCACCTCTGACATAAGTCATGTGACCCGTGACCGTGACTGGAGGGAGCCAATTACAACAAGGAAGTGCCAACTTATGTTTACTTTCTCTTGCTGTGATGTAAAATGGATTCTCTGTCGCAGAAAGTATCAATGATACATATACAGTTATTTACTATAGTGAACAGAACTTGAGATATCTCATAGCCTCTGCTTGAAGAGTGATGAGAGATTTCAGGCTATAAGGGCGAAAATCATGTTTCAATAAGGTCTCTTCTCATACGTGTCACATATAGTTAAAGGCGGCGCAAATATTATTTCATGTTAACTTGGATTTCCGTATTCATTTTCATCTCCCATCACACCCTAACTGCAAAAATAGCTCCTAACTATAAACCTGACACATATTTTGAAATAAAATATTGTTTAAGAATTTGTAACTTAACACAATTAGCGAAGTTTGACGACTAATTATAATCTTATTGTTTTGTTGGAATTGATTTATGAACTGGTGGCTCGAGGCTGAAGCGATAAGCTAAACCACCTACCAGGTCTTGTATGGACCTTATCCATTGAAGAAAACCATGATCGATTTCAATGAAAACCTGATCCCTTAAATCAACTTCTAATTGGCAAGATGGTTTGTTTTAAACAGTAGCCTTATCTGTGATGTATTCTTCAACAAACGACACTCAGGAAATGCGCAAGACAATATCTCGCACGTATTGGTTGCTGGCAGTAAAGATTTGAGTTACAAGTCGGAAATTAATGAACTCGCAATGATAGTCATGTATCTGGACTGTATCGAGCTGGTTGAGGTTTAACAGGGAAGATTTGGGAAGTGGTAACATCTAGTTTTAAGAAACAATACTAAGCGAAGACAGATATTTCCATTGAACGATCCAAAAACGTCAAAAGTAATCCCTTAAAATCAAAACAAAATATCGAATGTAACAACTACATTCATGGAACTAGAACCACGAACTATGTTTTGAAAATATATAATGGAAAAAAAAATTATTACGATTTATCTCGTCTTACGACTCAAAATTTTTGATATTGAATAAACGTGTCATGTAAAATCCAAAATAATCAAAACGTTGGTTCAGTTTTTTGTATATATTCTTTGTTTATTGTGTTCATTACGTTGCCAAATGACTTTTGAATTCCCTAGTTTAACTTAATAAGAACTGTAACATATGAATAACATGGTTAGACGTAGGGGAGGGATCATTTGGTATATCCAAAGAATATTAAAATAAACAACAAGATTGGATTTGTTAATTAGACGGTATCATGTCATGATTGCTTTACCAACACTTGAAAGAGAGCAGAGGAAAGCTTTATTAAACCAAAACATTGAATTAACCAAGAACAGCTGAATCGATACCCGAACGAGAGTTTTTTGTGAGAAATCTAGAAACCATACCCCTTCTCACAATTATTACAGGACTGCTTTGGATAGTTCATTCATTTATTTAGGATCAATTTCGTAAACTGTAGAAACCGCGAAAACGTGAATTGGCCAACAAAGTAAGTTAGTGTAGAAAGATTTAGAAAGTTATCCAGATCTGTTAGTTTAGAGAAGACAGCGTCTCGCATGATAACTATAAATGTCTCCAATCACGCTGGTTTAAAAACAATGCATGTATGGTTTTCTAGTTCGCAAACTAGTGCGTTATATAGCGAGTCAGAAATGTAGCCTGCCCCCTCCCGTTGTTGGCAGATATTCTGACATCTAAGATGGCATAGGTTGGCATAAACAAATTGGAATGATACATTTCATGTTCATCATTTTACCTACACGAAGTGAACACTTGATACATTCTCAAATACGTACATAGTGCGCACGCTAAAAGAAAGGTGGCACCACAAGACAAACGATGGCATGGCATACATTAAAAACAAAAAGGTTAAATGAAAATCGATCTATAATCATCTATCATTATTCAAGTTTAGGTAACATTTTGTGTATCCGTCATTTTATCTCACTCGAGTTAGCCACCACGTGGCAAAACTGGTAACTACTCTGGTAATAAGGTAATCACGTTATATTATCCTAGGCTATGTTCTCTATATTATATTAAAATGATGCAGTTTGATAAATAGTAAAATGCAGTTTAAACAACAGTAAATGCCGATGTCCCGAGGTATACTACTACAATCAAAAATGTGTATTTATTTACAGCTGTCGTTTTTTATTATTTATTAGATGCATTACATCACAAAGAATAAAATTATATTTGTCTTCCTCATTCAAGGTTACGAGAATTGGCTGCGAAACGCTTAACTTGACTTTTGTCAATGGTGTGACATTGGTGTCAGGGCATATGTCACACAAAAAGAGAACGGGTGTAGAGATATACCAACATTAGGACATATACGTTTAGTTTGGATTGTGCATTATGGAGCTGCTTTATGGCTTTAGAAGCGATCGAATCCTCCACTCAGCCTGCCTTACGCATCTTATTGAACCCAGATCCGGTTACAAGGTTTACTCAAAAAAGTAAACGGATAGGGAAGCATATAAAAGGCTTTCGATATCGGCTTGTCCCTTTCTATATAGCACACTCTTACAAGTACCTTTTCACGCTGAAATAATGCATTTCCCAAAGAAGGAAATCTGAATTGAACTGAAATCACAGCTACGAATTGTATAATAGACCAAAGACGTACTTGAATAGACCGACAATGATGATATAACACTAAGTTCTACATCATTTTATACATCATGATTAAGAGTATAATTCACAATTGTAAAAAGTACAAATAAAAGGAAACGCGTATTGCAGTAATGTGTTAATTGTTCAATGATGATTGCACAGCTTTTCAGAAATTAATGTCGACTTAAACTTGGCAAACATTAATCCATTTTTACTATTGAACTTATCTTAGTAAGCATTTATTGGCGGACTAATAACAAACCAGAAGTCCAGTGTTTCCTGTTAGAAAAATCAAAGAAGAGAGACAATATCAAGATGAGAAGTTAATGATGAAATTACTGTTTCAACAATATGGTTCCGTCTATGCAAACCTTGTTTCCAGTTTCCAACACGACTGATCGCTTTACAAATAGGTCGCCAAACAATTGGTCTTTAACTTCTTCACTGGATAGATAGCCTCAGCGTGTTACTGCAAAAATGAGATTGGTCTTCGTGCGTAATGTGTTAGGTTTATAAATTAACCATAAAGAATGATATCCTAAAACGTGACAATGAAAGTAGATATGTGCTTAATTGAAGGAGAAATAATTGTAAGAAATTACAAAATAGTCAGGTCCCTAAAGTACACTTTTGTACTACTAGCATATTCGATTAGACATTGATCATAGTTTAAAAAACCAATATCCTTGAGAAAAAGTCGATGTTCTTTAGAGTACAATTTACAGATATTTACATAAGCGTTTACTGAATCCAGATATAATTATGGCAATTCTAAAATAAAAGTTGGAATATTGAATATGTTAATGTTCGAATTGTCCTCAGAAACAAAAATCTATAAAAATATAGCGGATGATTAGCCACGCATGCCATCTATTTTTTGACTATGTTACCAAACGAAACATGCTTCGCAGTTTTTTTGTCATACAAAGCTAACTGGCAATGCCATCTTTAAATACTTTACAAGTTCAAAAATATATATTATCCATCACATATCACCACCAGTCAGTTAATATTCCTAAATAGTTCTTTTTAATGCAAAATATTAACAGACCAGTAGCCAACAACCCTCTGGCCAAAAGTCTTTCAAAATTGTGCAGGTTTTTACTATTCTGCGAATTTTCATGTGATTTTTGACAAATTTTGTCAAAGTAAACCCCTCCGAAATTTTTTAAAAAGTGAACCCCCTTGGCAAAAGCTGGCTATGGGCCCAATTAATGTCAATGATTTGCATCGGTATCCCAGCGTATACTCATCAGTTCAACTTGTTAAAGGGTCGGCCTATACTGCTATAGGACATGTAGGAACCATTGATCACGAAGACACCGCTACTGACATTGCTAGTCCAAACTGAGCGGCATAATATGATATCATGACCAGCGCTGATGCATTGTCGACCTCAAATTTCCATTTGTCAACGGCGATAATAAGATCAGAGAAGGTAAATGCAAATGCTCCAAAGCAGGCAAAAACCGATCGCAATGTCCCCGTCAATCGCAGTTCCACAAAGGATCTCCATGCCATCCCAAGGATGAGAACAGTGTAAATTGCTACAAGAAGTGACAGTATGGAATCGTCTATTGATACCCAAAACCAAGCATATAATCCAAGTGCTGACCCGTAAAATACGAGAAACACACCCAATGGTCCAAAGGGGTCGAGTTTGAAAGCTCTCAGGTAACTCATTTGGGCAACGGCGAAGAACAACACTCCGGGTATGAAAAACTGGTGCCTCCAAACAAGACATGCATCTCCAAACATGGAAAAGAAAAGTCCAATCCCGATAAACTTTTTGTAATCTTTTCTCGCTTCGTGTATTTTCTCTCCAAACTCCGTGCTGATTTTTGAGGTGAGAACAATTCCGAGAAGCGTGGCAACGGGAAGGATTTTAGATATAACAGTCCGATATGATTCCTCGGGATACCCCAGATGTGGTTTGTGATTGATGAAATAAAATGCCAGGAAAATGATGAATGTAACGAGCTTCTGTTCAAGACCCATCTTAAAATCTAAGATCAGATTCCGATGGTTCTCAAATGAAGGCAATTCGATCAAGCTTCAATTTAGCAACTTGGTCACAGTCTTCATTTGTCTGTTGTTCCAAACACTCATCTGAAACTGAAGAAAGAATAGTTACATGAGGCCACAATGAATTATTGTATCAATTAATTTATCCATGGGTTTTGATTACCAACCCAAATGCTATTTAGAAAAGATCGCTATCCTACTCCCTCAAGAAGATAATTAATACCTCTCTGTTCCTACCTATCCTCTAGCTATCATATTAGGATCACTTTTAGGTCAAAATATGTCGTTTAAAGAACCAAAAAATTAAGACCACTGCTTCCTGACAGGTGCTCACCATTCAAAAGTTTTAAAGGTAGAAAATTGTTTTTGGATATAAAACAGGACGATTTTAACAACGCTATAAAAACCGAGGCAGTCCCATGGTGTTTTTAGTATATACCGAATAGACTAAATGCGAGTAGAAATAATCTTGACTTACGTCATTAGATATTCAAAAACCGGTCAAAGTGATGTCATATTTGAAATCTACATGGAAAAATACAAGAAATTTGGTTTCAAAAATTGTTTATCAACTTTGAAAATTCATTTTTTTGAAAATGTTACTTCTAGTTCGGACTGATTCCCCATAGACCCTATGTTACAAAATCACAAAAAGTGAAATATATTTTCTTGTATTGGACATATAACATTTTCTTTTACTGGACACATTTTAATTTGCATAACTATTACATAACATAAGGTGACATGAAATTTGAACCACTAAAACAGATGAATATTTAAGTTAAAGGGAACTTTCTACTATACCCGCCATGCTCTCTGACCCGAACGAGCTATCTGGTGGTGAAACTGGTAACTACTTACTCGCATCTGCGTTATTAACTTTTCAGCGGTTTATACATGGTGTCGTCCTTAACATATACAATAAAAACATTAAACCTGGCGTCCGGCCATCCTCCTAAGCAGGTATCCAGAATCCGTATACCTCCTTCTTAAAGGCCCACTATACTTAATTTAGAAGAAAAAAGAATCATCGAAACATGTTACTCAAACACTCACTCGAATCTGAAACAAAGTTTGATTTGCTATAATATTGAACCAAGAAAAAATAACTCACATAGAAAAAAGCATTTGAAGTTCAGAAACCATTAGTAGTGCATGCACATGCTAAACAAAGTGCATTATTTAAATTACTTTTGATTTAAAAGATGGCGACACTTCTATAAAAATGAATGTATCATGTACTACAAACAACTTCGCCATCTTTCAATGACATTGATAAAAACTTAATATATAAAGCTTGACAGATCGAAAATATTTTTTGATTTATTATTGTAAGCTTTGATGTTTGAGCTGTTGTTGGTGTCAAATGAAAGATAAAGTTCTTATCAATAGATTGGACATTCTATAAAATTCAAATAAAAGTCTTTATTTTGCCCAAAAACATTGAAAATACGCAAAGTGGGCCTTTAAGAAAAAGCAAGAAGATATTCTGGAACTTGAAACCCTGTGATCGAAGGATGGCGTCCGACGAGTGAAATTAAAAATAGAGTACCATTTTTGGCGCACCTTGTAATCATACCAATGACTAACATGTTTAATAAACCAAACTGTAAACTGTTTAAGGTGAAGCATACAAAGCACACTGTAGTATGTAGTACCGTATATAACAAATTGTGTTTTTCAAAACATCTTTGTATCGTACATCTGCTTCCTGGTTCATCATTGGCCTTGGATAAGGATACCCGGATGAAAGAGTCTACAGGACATACATACGATTACATGATTAAGAATGCTTCAAACATATGTATAGTAACTTACAGTACACATAGGCTAGACAGTAATAGGAAAATAAAAAATGAAACAAACCTGTCGTGTCTCTGAGAATTCACGAATTATACAGCGATAAGTCGACTTAAACTTTGAACTACTGCTGATGTTAGCTGGCAGTGTGGGGGACAAAGTACAGAACTGAGATACAAGGTGCGAAATAAATCTGCATAAATGTGTACGTGAGGCTTACAGGTATCTTTCTATCTGTTTGCATACATGTGGATCTTATACACTAATGAGGGAGAATTACAATCTTCCAAAAAACGCAGACAACTGTTTCATTCAAACTACGCCAATATTTCATTAATAGTTATATTTATGTGATCAATTCAGAGGCAATACTGTATTTACATAGTGCATTGTGACATTTTGTGTCAACATAACCATATAAGGAAACCTTAAGGCAGTTCCGCATGTTTTAATGGCTTCCTCATTGGAATCCCTTTACTTGTATTTTCAGGTACGGCATAATTCCATATATGGATATGTACTACTTTCAGTTCTGCACAAAGTCTGCTCGCACAATAGTAGTAAGAATATGATTTTAAAGATGTCGCAATATTGATTCCTTTATATCTTGACTGTAGGCTGTCAAAAGCATCGGAAGGTATTCAAACTATAAAAATAGCTTCATTCAAAACTAAATATGCCACTACAAATAGAACGTGGCAATATTAAACGCTGATAACAACTGTAGGCTATAGGAAGTGTCTAATCACAAATTCAGTATTAGCCTACTCACATCTGACAGCATCTATGGCAGTCCAAGATTTCTTCCGAACCATGCGGATTACACTGCTATTGACATGGTTATGCATATCTTGTACAACATGCAAACGATCTGGAAAGACACCCAACATCGTGCTATTCTACGCTGATGACCTAGGCTATGGGGATTTGTCTGTATATGGACATCCCACCCAAGAGTTTGGTCCTATAGATCGTATGGCGAGAGAGGGGACACTGTTTACTCAATGGTACTCTCCGGATACGTTGTGTACTCCTAGCAGGGCTGCACTACTAACAGGTAAATAATCACCTCCTAGCAGGGTGTTACTGCTAACAGGTAAATAACCAGCATGTCCGCTCCTAGCAGGGTGTTACTGCTAACAGGTAAATAACCACCATGTCTACTCCTAGCAGGGTGTTACTTCTAACAGGTAAATAACCATCGAGTTTACTCCTAGCAGGGCGACACTGCTAACAGATGAGTAACCGCCATGTTTACTCCTAGTGGGGCGACACTGCTAACAGGTGAGTCGAGTAACCGCCATGTTTATTCCTAGTAGGGCGACACTGCTAACAGGTGAGTCGAGTAACCGCCATGTTTACTCCTAGTAGGGCGACACTGCTAACAGGTGAGTAACCGCCATGTTTACTCCTAGCAGGGCGACACTGCTAACAGGTGAGTAACTGCCATGCTTACTCCTAGCAGGGCGACACTGCTAACAGGTAAGTAACCGCCATGTTTACTCCTAGTAGGGCGACACTGCTAACAGGTGAGTAACCGCCATGTTTACTCCTAGCAGGGCGACGCTGCTAACAGGTGAGTAACCGCCATGTTTACTCCTAGCAGGGTGACACTGCTAACATGTAAATAACCACCATGTTTATTCCTAGCAGGGCAGTACTACTTATATGTCAAAAACCACCATGTTCACTAAAAATTGAAAGCCTTTATTGAGGCAATGATCTGTTGATTTATTTTCTCAGGTCGTTTACCTTTACGTAGTGGATTAATAGGTGGCCTCAGAGTTCACCTGCCATCTGTCACTACTGGACTACCTTTGGAGGAGACGACGCTTGCCGAGTCGCTGAAAGACCTGGGATACAAAACTGGACTCGTCGGCAAGTGGCACCTTGGTAAGATCCTAACCACATCGTTGTATTTACCTAAGGAAAATTATCAAGATTTACACAGGGAAGGGTAAAATAATCTTGTAGTTTTGTGTTGTGGAGGGTGGACTCCTCGTCCCGCTATTGATTGTTAGCAATTTATATTTGTATTTCATGTGGTTACTTGTAGGTATCAACAAAGATACGTATAAGGATGGCTACTACCTACCAGGAAACCATGGTTTTGACTATGTGGGAACATACCTTCCTATGTCTCTGGCCTGGGACTGTGACACAAGTGGGGTAAGGCCCAATTTCAGTTCTTGCTCAATACGAGTCATTAGAAATACAATTATGAGTAAAATTTAAAACATCAAATTGTATTTTTTATGTTGAACTGTAAATTCTTCCTGAATAATTTTTTATTCATAGCTTCATAAGAAGGAGCCAAGGAGAAATTATTGTGTGCTGTACAAAAATGACAGCATTGTTCAACAGCCAATCTACCTCGACAACATGACAGCAGCGTTCGTGGAGGACGCTAAAGCTTTTCTTTATGACAACGCGGATTCTCCCTTTTTCTTATACTTCCCCCTTGCCCAAACACATACACCCATGTTCAATGACGTGCGATTTGCAAACAAATCAAAGAGAGGTAGGTGACTTGAATTCATAGTTCGTTCGTTTGATAGTACCTCGAACAGCTACTTGAAAATCATGTTACAGTTTTGGCTATCCTTTCTCCAATTTAACGAAATATAGTTTATCATTATATCAGCTGGTCAACAGGTCAGTCATGACTTTGTAGAATATAACGAATGCACATTATGGCTCATTTTGAAGTTTAGAGAATATCAAACGGCATATTATTTCCATGTTTTACAATTGCAAGTATACCATATTTGATCATTTTAATTTTCATGTTTTCCTACGGGTGTTTGCACAATGCTTATGACACATTACGATACTTATTATGCAACTTATAACAGGGCCATATGGTGACCAAGTGCTTGAGATGTCATATGCTGTGGAAGAAGTTCTTAAGACTGTAAAAGAGCTGGATTTGGATGAACACACTCTCAGTCTTTTCATCGGTGATCATGGGCCACATATTGATATTTGCAATGAAGGAGGTTCATCTGGAATTTTCAAAGGTATGGCCTGGCCTTTCTTATAAATATCAGTTGTCGGGTTTGGTACCAATCTTATACGCTTATCATTTAGGCCTAGAACAAACGAGCGAATGGGCGAACTATAACAAACTCAGGCCTCCTAGACTTCCAACAACGCGAACATCAGTTCTGATACCGCGAACTACGTACAAGAAATATGTTCGGAAACAAGGAAATAGTGGTGCGCGACATAAGATTTCACGTTCGCGATATGAGATTCATGGTTCGAGTGCAAGGAACGTAGTTCGCGGTATTAGAACTGATGTTCGCGTTGTTGGAAGTCTAGGAGGCCTGAAACTAATTCATGGCTTCTCAATATTTGTTCGGAGTGATATTGTTACGATATTTTTAAACCATGTAAACTTTTATTATCAGGTGGGAAAGGTACTTTCTACGAAGGTGGTATTCGAGTACCAGCAATAGCCAGGTGGCCTGGCACTATACCACGTGGTGGAGTATCCTCAAAGCTTATATCCTCATTGGACATCTTTCCTACACTACTAGATATTGCTGGTGGGACGTTAAATAAAAGTGTAATATATGATGGCACAAATGTCAAAGACAGCTTACTTGGTTCAAATGATAACGAGGGCACCAATGACATCCCAGAACCTGAGGAAGACTATAAACATCATGATATACTATTCTTCTACTGCGATGATACACTCTTTGCCGTGAGATATAAACAATTTAAAGTTCATTTCTACACGAATGTAATCCCAGGTCCTAATCATGCTGCTGAAAATTGCTCTAATGAGGGTTTACCGAATGATAACATTTTCTTGGTAGAGACATGCTCAGAAGGGAAGAAACGAGATCATCCCTTGATCTATAATGTTGAGCGTGACCCCGGTGAAGTGTACCCATTAGATCCAAATAAATACGAAGCAATGCTTGCGCAAGTACAAGAAGAAATAAAGACACATTCCAAAACGATTAATAGAAAAGTAGATCATTTATTAGACTTTGAATATTACAATGAAAGTGTCATTCCATGTTGCAATCCGCCATATTGTTTCTGTAATTACAGCGAGAATAAAAAATGAATCATTTAATTTCAAAAAGAAAACAACATAGTGTTTATTCAAAGCTAGCCTGACATCCATGACTTCTGTACTGACTTTTTATAGTCAGTAACAATTTGAATTATTTCATGAATAAAAAGGACCCATTGAAAAGATGAATAAGATTATTACATACGATCACATTTTATTTATTATCATAAAGATTGTGCTCTTTATTGTATTTGGCCATGCTAGATGAAATGTTTTTGTAAAGTGTGATCTGCATAGCATTTGATATAGGCACTGACACGCCCACTTTACTAAGAATGAACGTCAAACTGAGATTAGAGACAATGATCTAGCTAGAGAGACAAATCAACCATATATATTATTCATAATGTTCTACAATTGTGATGGGTTTACATCTGGCTGATAGTCGACTCTATCAATTGATGAATGAAGTCCTCGAGCGCTCAGATCATTCGTAGCATCCAAATGTCTCTCCACTGTTGCGGCTGGATTAATTTCTCCAACAGCAGTTTCGTAGTCCATTGGAACAATGTTTTTATCATCTGCAGCGTCACTGAGTTCAGTATTTTGACGTCCATATAGGTAAGCGTTACTGTCTGGTAATGTGTCTTTAGATTCCTTGCTTTAATAGTACAAGAGAAGAAAATTATGAGGATTGCATTTACATTTCAATTTGCTAAATTGTATTAAAACCACATAAATGTTAAACAAATAGATAATGATGCGGATCTTTCACATGATATAGTTAGGAAATGTAGCGAAGTGCACTTACAAGAAGGTAGCAAACTCAAGAAATCGCTCTAGAACAATACTATTACTCACCGTTTCATCTTTCTTCCTCGGTATATGATGCAGCCAAGTATAGCAGCGACCACTAGTCCAACAGCAACGGTTATAACAACTATTGCCCAAGTAGGTAGCAAGGGTTCAGGCATTGGGATAGATCTCTTGAACTCAAGTGGAATTCCTGAAAGAGAATACAAAATCGCAACTGCACAATTCAACAAAACATTACAATCGTCAATTTAAAATTTCAGTAACATATAGGTATTGAGTTGAAATTAAGAAAATTGGAGTAATGTAGCATAGATCTATATATCGATTGTCTTGTTAAGAAAGTTTCAATACTTTCAAAAGTTTAGTTATTTAAATTATCAAAACTTTTGAAAATTTCGCACGTAATGCTGTCAGCTTTGATCTTGATTATACACTGTTTCAATTACTTCGACATGTGGATATTCTCACCTGTTGTATACTCCGAACACAGTGCTTCAATCTCTGGCTTCTCTCCATTAATCTTTTCATATCCTTCGTAGTTAAAATCAAACTTACAACTCGCCCCAGTCACACTCCCAGAGTCCACAGAAAACTCACAAGTCCGCGGATATGGACTCTCTGCGTTATACCAGTCTTGTTTACTCCACCTCCAGGCTTGCAGGCCATTGCCTTTCCGCCAGAATTCGTGTCCATTACCAGTGGCGTGAAGTTCAAACTCTCCCGTCTTTCCATACGTCATTTCTAGGACATCATTAGTTAATGTTACTTGAAAGCATCCATAGCCTGGTTGTCCATAGTAACCTACATATTTCTCCAAGGCCAACGCCGGATCAAGGTCAGTAGGAATGGATTCCGGGAGCGCCTTGACTGCTGTCCGCCAGGGTTCTGGATAGCTACACCCAGTGGTTGTGTTCAACCAAGGAACGTCCCCATTCAAGACATCAAGAATGTATATGATGATTGGAAAAATGGCATTTGTTTGTTCGACAAATTGTCTACCATTTGTGTGTAAGAACAAGGCCAAGTCTAAATCGGGCCAGATGACAACATGGGTCCGGTAATAAGCATAACTTCCGGGATGATGAAGCATCACATATCCTACAAAGATACAGACAATGGTGAGATGATGATCAAGTGTCACCAACTTCCACATAAACAGATAAGGAGAAAAAGTGAAACATAGGGAACAATAATTACACCAGACATTGAATATTTATAAAAGTTCTTGGTGTTACTATAAATAATGTTGTTTCAGTATAAAACAAACGTGCATTGCCTTTTTGGTATCCCTTTATCCATGCGAATCCATATGCACCACTGGAGAATCCCGACGGGAATGTAGGCCGAGGTAGTGTAAAGGATTTACGGGTAAATATGTTCCAATTTTCCTTCGTGATCCTCAACTTGGATTCTTCAATGATTTGCTGTCCGGCTTGATTTTTCCCATTATTTAAATGCATTTGAAGATAATTTGCCACATCATTTGCATTAGAGGCTACCCCCGCTCCACCCATCATGTGGCCACTCTGACTGAAACAGAGAAATTTAAATGCATATGGAAGATACTTTGCCAGATCAGTTTCATTAGAGGCTACGCCCGCGCGCTCCACCCATCATGTGGCCACTCTGTCTGAAACAGAGACATTTAAATGCGTTTGAAGCTAATTTGGCATATCATTTGCATTAGAAGCTACGCCCGCTCCACCCATCAAGTGGCCAATCTGGCTACAACATAGACATTTAATTGCATTTGAAGATACTTTGCCATATCATTTGCAATAGATTAAGTCCATTTTTATCGGATTCATCGGTGTTTTTAGTCTTAACTCCGCAGTGTATATCTCACCTCGTTCACTAGTATTTCACCAATACATTAAATAATTAATATATATATTAATCTTTTTTGCAGAAACATATCTTAGTCTACTGGAAGAGGACCACTTTATCCACTCCATTGGTATTTCCACGAAGGCACTTGCTATAAGCAGGAGATAATCTTCTTTTATGCATACCTTATAAACGCAGGAGTCACTTCTACATCTGATCTGCCATCAGGACCAGTAGTGTAGGCGTGGGAAAATCCATATATTTCTGTAGCTTTTGACACAATGTCCGAGTCTGTCATACCCAGTGGGTTAAAGATGTATTCTTTCATCAGCTGATCAAACGATTTACCAGTTAATTTCTCTAAAGCCTTTGAGACGACGAGGTAACCTGTTGTAGAGTAATGCATCCCAGTTCGAAATCGCCATTGACATTTGTAGTGTTTGAGATTTCTAAAATCAGTTTAAAGGTAAGGGGTATTTAGAGATTATCATATACGAGGTTCAGAATTTTTGAGATTATCCCGCAGCAAGTATTATATATCTACTGTACCCGAGGGCAGACGAACAGCCACTCAGCCCCGTAAAGCTACAAGGTAAGCCAAAAAATGTTAATAACTCTGTCATCGAACATGGATTAAAAATCATATTTGGCACAACTAAACCTTGTTCAATGTACTCTTATTCTATATTTCATTGGCCATTTTCCAATGGTCAATATTTTATTGCCATTTTACAAAACATGCTAATATTATGCCAAGAATCACTCGGTATGAATCTCCAAACTTTTATCTTTGGAGCTATTTCATATAAGATATTGTCCAAACTTACAAATCGAGAAGCATGGGCGTAGCAAGAGGGGGTTCACTGGACTCGTGCAAATATTTCTTCGAACCCCCTTTCGTTATAAAGCGAACCCAGGCCGGAAACAATCCTCTCTTTTGAAAGATCAACAAACCCCGGGCTATGAACGAACCCCTCTCTCAGAAAGATGACCATTTTTCGAGAACAGTGAATCGCACGTTCATACTAGCTATTTGATGATGCACGTACTATATTTCATAATTCGATTGGTTCGTTGAAATTGATTTTCGTCGTGCGAACATAATCCCCTCCTTCGCAATTTCGGTATAAAACAAACCCCGGGGAAAAATAAAACCCCCCACTAGGTAAATCCTGGCTACGTCCCTGTAGAAGCATCAGAGTGTTGAAAATAGAAATAAAAAGGATAGAGCCATTACACAAGATATATGTGAGCGTGTGGTCAGAACATCTTCATCGATGCATTCAAAGCTAAGACGAAACCAGCATTTCGAGGATGTTTTATAAAAAGTCATAAAATTGTGGTACTATACTTAAAATAAAACAGCGAAACTTGATAGGATGGAAGAACATTGAACGAGGGATCAAGTGTACCAAATATGATTTTAAACCCATGCTGGATTACTCAGTTATTAACATTTGTTTTGGTACCTATTTTGGCTCACCCTTAATAACTGCCCGGTGATGAAAATATATGTTTTTACAAACCTGTTTTATGTACCTGAAACACGTTCAAGTATGGGATAAATAATTTCATGATATGCATACTTTATCAACAAATAAAGGTATACATTACTTCCCGTCAAAAAGATTTTTAGGGCAGTAAAAGTAAATAGTCCTAAAATCTATATTCTTCACTTGGCAAACATCTCATTGTTCATTCAGTTTACTCTCCACATACTGAGAATTAATATTCTTTACATTTAAATGGCAATCTGTCAATGACTACTGAATACTTAAAAATTGGTTTTGCAATTGTCTTGACCTACTTATATATTATTTTAGGTCGTATAAATGCAGAATGAATGCATGTCTTGATCAAAAATATGTCGGTCACCTTGAATTGCTTTCAAATAAGTCGACGCGTCATTTCAACCATGTTTGACCGACAATCCTAGGACTGCAGAGTTCCTAAACATTCCCCGTCTTCCAATATGTCGTTTGTTTAAGATATTTTGAGCCATTGTTAATAATCATGCATACCTGATAAACTCATCAGGTGTCATAACCTGGAAGCTCTCAACAAGGACTTCGGGAAAGTTACATCCAGTCTTCATGGCTAAGAAATCTTTTAAACTCGCATATTCCGTTACCAAAGGATCAGATGTGTTGAAGTCTTCTCCCATGATGGCTTGCAAGCGCGTGTCAAAATCTAACCTATAACATTGTAAATTGCCTTGAATAAATGGGGGGAATCTAACCTGATAACAAATCATTATATTTAATTATAGTACTAAGGACACCCTTTGTATATTTTGTAATATGGTGTTATGGCTCACCCACTTTGGTTGAGATCAGAAAGGACGGCTGCAACAAGCGTCGAGAGCATTCCCTTTGAGATCGACTGAATAGAAGTTACTGTCCTTTCAGTCATCGGTGTTCCCTTCTCGATGTTTGAGAGACCGTACCCTTTTGCCATGAGCACTTCCTCACTCGTAACCAACGCAATCTGTAGACCAGGAATATTCCGACATGCCATTGTCTCCGTTAGAAAGTCCTCAATTGCTGCAAGCTTTTGCGGGTTCATTTGGGCCATCACTTGTGGTTGTGGCATTATCACAATCACAGACCATGTTATCAGTAATGTGATGTATGCGAAACGCATCTTTCTTTTCTGTTTAGGTCTGACGCACAACGGGGCGTCCTGTTGTATGTGTTTTGGGCTTTGTCTTATATGGTACAAGGAGAGGCGACACGCTGTGAATGATGAATTATTTATAAGAAGTCAACCCGAATTCATACTTTTGTCTATTGTGACAGCATACTTCAAATGCGCACTCAAGCCATTTGCATGCATATTGTCTGAAACGTTCTTTTTAAAACACAAAAACCCTTGTAGCATAATTGTTTGACCAAGAATGTCTTTTATTTACTTTCAACTTAAATGTCTGAAACATGACAATCAGTCCATATATTATCTACAATATACGTTGTATGAAAGCTTGAATTAAAGTGTTCAGAGCTAACGTTTTCTCATCTTAATTTCTCATTCTCATCCGTATTTTGTACTACAATTGTTTGAAGAGTTTAAATGTTGAAGGTGTGTTGAACATTATGAAGCACTATTTGCCACGAAAATACATGGCAAATGTGGATAAAGTGCCATAAGTACTTTTACAGTACAGTTAGGTATATGTGTTAATCCCAGCCTTTTCGCTTTATTTTCGTCCCTTCAGAGCACGTCTCTACCAAAAAATATTTTCACTAGGCAAACACTCAAAGCATAACTCAGTGGCATGATTTGGACCTGGGATTACATGCGTGTAGACATGAATTCAAATTGTTTATATCTCACGGCGAATAGTGTATCATCGCAGTAGAATAGTATTTCATGATATGTGTATACTTCCTCAGGTTCCACGATGTCATTGGTTCCTTCGTTATCATTTGAACCAAGTAAGAAGTCTTTGACATTTTTGCCATCATATTCCACGGGCTTTCAAGAGCTCCTGGAAGCCCATGACGAAACGAGACTCCCCTTTGATTTATAATGTTGATCGCGATCCCGTTGAGGTGTACCTTCTAGATCCAAAGAAATACGGAGCAATGCTTGCACAAGTACAAGAAAAATAAGGACACATTCCAAAACAATTAATCGAAAAGTAGATCATTTATTAGACTTTGAATATTACAATAAAAGTGTCATTCCATGTTGCAATCCGCCATATGGTAAAAGGGTAATGTAAGGCTTTCACTATAACAAACCTATAACTAACCTGGCTTCAATGACTTCATTTTTATAACTGACATTTAAAAATAAGAAATGAATGCCACGAGCCACGACAAGTGAGGATTAAGATAACCTAATGATGTCAAATTTTTATCTTAAAGGTCATGTCGCTCTCATATCCCCGATGTTGTGAAAAACTCGTGCCACTAATATAAATAAAGGAGAGAAGGTATGGACGTCAGGCTGAGATTACAGTGAGAAGGATCTGGAGTTTCTGGCTATTATTATAATGCTCTACAATTGTGATGGGTTCGCATCTGGCTGATATTCGACTCTAACAGTTGTGGAGCGGGGCCCTCCAGCACTGTCTGTATCACCAGTGCTTTCATTCAGATCATTCATAGCATCCAAATGTCTCTCCACTGTTGCGCCTGGATTAATTTCTCCAACAGCAGTTTCGTAGTCCATTGGAACAATGTTTTTATCATCTGCAGCGTCACTGAGTTCAGTATTTTGACGTCCATACAGGTAGGCGTTACTATCGGGTAACGTGTCTTTAGCTTCCTTACTTCAATATACAAGAGAAAAAACATATTAGGATTGCAAAATATTAAAGACCCACTTTGCGTATTTTCAATGTTTTTGGGCAAAATAAAGACTTTTATTTGAATTTTATAGAACGTCCAATGTATTGATAAGAACCTTTCATTTGACACCAACAACAGCTCAAACGGACCACATCAAAGCTAACAATAATTTATCAAAAAATATTTTCGATCTACCAAGCTTTATATAGTACTATCAAGTTTTTATCCATGTCATTGAAAGATGGCGAATTCTTATTATCATACATTCATTTTTATAGAGGTGTAGCCATCTTTTAAATCAAAAGTGATTTAAATCATGCACTTTGTTTAGCATGTGCATGCACTACTAATGATCTCTGAGCCTTTTCCTACGTGCGTTTTTTTCTTGGCTCAATATTCAAGCAAATCAAACTTTGTTTCATATTTGAGTGAGTGTGTGAGTAACATGTTTCAATAATAATTTTTTTCTTTGATTTGGTCTTATTTCCAAAAAAATGTCAAAACACATAAGAAGTGATCAAAATATTATTTCAAAACATTTGGATCGCTGATTAGGAATTCATAGTCAGTTATAATGTCAGAAAATAACGACATTCTCGATGTTGTGGTCGATCAAGTTCAAGGCCTAGGTTGAATATCGAATTGGAAAGGGGGCTCTGGTAACAATAGTTTTTACTCACCGTTTCATCTTTCTTCCTCTATATATGATGCAGCCAAATATAGCTGCGACCACTAGTCCAACAGCAACGGTAATAACAACTATTGCCCAAGTAGGTAGCAAGAGTTCAGGTGTTGGGAGGGGTGTTCTTGACTCAGACGGAATTCCTGAGAGAATAGAAAAATCGCAACTGCGGAATAGAACAAAGCATTCCAATTGCCAGTTTCAGATTTTAAATAGATTCAGTAATATTATAAATATTGGAAATGTCAAAATTGGACAAATGTAAAATGCATGTAGACCGAGACGTGAGTATATCAATTGTCTTGTTATGGAAAGTTTTTTCATACACATAAAGTGTGATCTTGATTATACACTGTTTCAAAATACTTCGACATGTGGATATACTCACCTGTTGTATACTCCGAACACAGTGCTTCAATCTCTGGCTTCTCTCCATTAATCTTTTCATATCCTTCGTAGTTAAAATCAAACTTACAACTCGCCCCAGTCACATTCCCAGAGTCCACAAAAAACTCACAAGTCCGCGGATATGGACTCTCTGCGAAGTACCAATCTTGTTTACTCCACCTCCAGGCTTGCAGGCCCTTGCCTTTCCGCCAGAATTCGTGTCCATTACCAGTGGCGTGAAGTTCAAACTCTCCCGTCTTTCCATACGTCATTTCTAAGACAGCATTAATTAATGTTACTTGAAAGCATCCATAGCCTGGTTGTCCATAGTAACCTACATATTTTTCCAAGGACAACGCCGGATCAAGGTCAGTAGGAATGGATTCCGGGAGCGCCTTGACTGCTGTCCGCCACGGCTCTGGAAAACTACATCTGGTTGTTGTGTTCAACCAAGGAACATCCCCATTCAAGACATCAAGAATGTATATGAAGTTTGCAAAAGTGGCATCGATTTGGTCAATGAATTGTCTACCGTTTGTGTGTAAGAACAAGGCCAAGTCTAAATCGGGCCAGATCACAACATGGGTCCGGTAATAAGCATAATTTCCAGGATGATGAAGCATTGCATATCCTATAACGGTACAAAACATTGGTGATGTAAGACCAATAAGTCTTGCCTCAAGACTAAGTAACTCCCATGCATACTTTCCAATATTCAACATATGTGTTGAAAGTGAAGTACAAGGGGTATACACCTGTATACAGTCTTGAAGCAAGACTAGAGACCAATATATAAATGATGGAATATCACCAACCACATAACGGGGAAATAGTGAAACGCAGAGAACAATATAATTACATCAGCGATCATCACATCATTACTTCAGTATAATCAAAATGTACATTGCCTTTTTGGTATCCCTTGATCCATCCAAACCCATATGCCCCACTGACCAATCCCTCTGGAAATGTAGGTCTGGGTAGTGAATAAGGTTTATACTTATAGACATTCCAGTTTTCTTTCGTGATCCTCAAATTGGATTCATCAATGATTTGCTGTCCATCTTGATTTTTCCCATTATTTAAATGCATTTGAAGATACTTTGCCATATCATTTGCATTAGAGGCTACACCCGCTCCACCCATCATGTGGCCACTCTGACTGAAACAGAGATATTTAAATGCATTTGAAGATACTTTGCCACATCATTTGCATTAGAGGCTACACCCGCTCCACCCATCATGTGGCCACTCTGACTGAAACAGAGACATTTAAATGCATTTGAAGATACTTTGCCATATCATTTGCATTAAAGGCTACGCCCGCTCCACCCATCATGTAGCCACTCTGGCTACAAAAGAGACATTTAAATGCATTTGAATGTACTTTGGCTTATAATTTGCATAAGAGCCTACGCCCGCTCCACCCATCATGTGGCCACTCTGGCTACAACAGAGACATTTAAATGCATTTGAAGATACTTTGCCATATCATTTGCATAAGAGCCTACGCCCGCTCCACCCATCATGTAGCCACTCTGGCTACAACAGAAACATTTAAATGCATTTGAGGATACTTTGCCATATCATTTGCATAAGAGCCTACGCCCGCTCCACCCATCATGTAGCCACTCTGGCTGTAACAGAGACATTTGACTCAGCACTGCATATATCTCACAGTGTATATCTCCATTATCTTACAAGTATTTGAATGGGGTGTTACCTAAACTAAAGGATCAATACATTAAATAACTTATAATATATCAATACATCTACAGAAATATATTCCTAAGAAAAAACGTAGGGGAACATGGGGCAAAACGGCCCTCTGGGGCAAAGTGGCCCATCGAAATATCTTTTGAACTATGAAAAGGTGGTTCTTCAAAAGTCACATAATCGAATTTTGAAATTGCTGCCACCTTCTCGACCGCCCATTTTTAACCAAGCAGCGTCTCGCTTTACGTAAGAGGTAATTCTACTTTTCACCCTCTTTTTTGTAAATTACCCCTCCCACGAGAATCTCTAAAAAATCCGGCAACAATACAATATCGTTTTGATTTAATATTTTACATAGAGTATGCACATTTATCCTTTTTTTGTAAAAATTTCGAGCTTCAAATATTAGGCAAATTAAAATGACGTCTATTTGAAAATTCACATGTCTTTGGGGCAAAACGGCCCACACATGTTATAAACATACAAAAATCTTATTGTGCAAGAACAATTGGTTTTCAAATATAACAATTTTAACATTTGGTTTGTACCTTATTTCCTTCCGACACATATCGAATGACTAGAATTATGGTAGGGGTTAAGAATACTTTATCTGTCAAAGGTTTGAACGTCTGAGATAAGATGTGTGTGGACGATTCATGTAATTGATTAATTTCGGTTTTAAAACCCATGTAACAGAGGGTGGGCCGTTTAGCCACACCCATGGGCCTTTTTGCCCCACTCTCGACAATATTTTTGACCATTGAAAAATCACAGAAGATAGTCCTAGGAAAGTATAAAACACTCGAAAAATGTAAACCACAAACCATTAATAAAGTTGAACATCAAACTGCGCGATGATTGACAGATAAGAAAATACCCCGTACAGAACAACTTAAAATTAAATTTTTAGGGCCGTTTTGCCCCATGTTCCCTTACGTCTGTTGGAAGACGACAAGATTCTTTATCGGTACTTCACTATAAGGCACTTACTATAAGCAGGAGATAATCTTCTTTTATGCATACCTTATAAATGCAGGAGTCACTTCTACATCTGATATGTCATCAGAACCAGTTGTGTAAGCGTGGGAAAATCCATATATTTCTGTAGCTTTTGACACAATGTCCGAGTCTGTCATACCCAGTGGGTTAAAGATGTATTCTTTCATCAGCTGATCAAACGATTTACCAGTTAATTTCTCTAAAGCCTTTGAGACGACGAGGTAACCTGTTGTTGAGTAATGCATCCCAGTTCGAAATCGCCATTGACATTTGTAGTGTTTGAGATTTCTGAAATCAGTTTATAGGTAAAGATATATGATATTTTTATGATATTCATAACATCTTTACCGATAAATAAAGATACATTTAAACATTACTTCCTGGCAAACATTTGAGAGCAGTAAAAGTAGATGGTCCTAAAATCTATATTCTTCACTTGGCAAACATCTGTACATGTTTGTGTATTCGTTTCCGTCTTTACAAATTGGATGTCAATATTATTTACATTAAAATGGTAATATGTCAGTATAATTGTTGAGTATTAAAAGTGTTTTTGTAATTGTGTTGACCTACTTATTTTAAGTAGAAAAATGCAGCATGAATACATGCCTTGATTTTTATAAGTCATTACCTAAAAACTTTATGGCAATTTATACGACTGTTTTATAGCACTTGCTTATAACAAGAGACATTTGAAAATGTTTGAATACGATCAACGGGCACATGTGAGCTACCCTCGTATGTTGTATCTTTCATGTCTTCCAATATCTGAATATGCCGTTTGAGATATTTTGCCATTGTTAATAAGTATATGCATGGTGTTCCAAAAGTAACAGGACTAGCACTGGTGCTGAAATTTCGATAATTTTACACCATGTGTCTTCTTTTCACAAAATGTACGTTGACGCATTGAGACTGAGATTGTAAAGTTTCAAAAATATCATAAAATCCAGATAGAGTTATGGTTACCTCGTGAACTCATCAGGTGACATAACTTGGAAGCTCTCAACAAGGACTTCGGGAAAGTTACATCCACTCTTCATGGCCAAGAAATCTTTCAAACTCGCATATTCCGTTACCAAGGGATCAGATGTATTGAAGTCTTCTCCCATGATGGCTTGCAAGCGCGTGTCAAAATCTAACCTATAACATTGTAAATTGCCTTGAATAAATGGGGGAAATCTAACCTGATAACAAATTATTTCTACTCTACCAATAAGGGCATCCTTCGAATATGTTGTAATGTGGTGCTAAGGCTCACCCACTTTGGTTGAGATCAGAAAGGACGGCTGCAACAAGCGTCGAGAGCATTCCCTTTGAGATCGACTGAATAGAAGTTACTGTCCTTTCAGTCATCGGTGTTTTCTTCTCGATGTTTGAGAGACCGTACCCCTTTGCCATGAGCACTTCCTCACTAGTTACCAATGCAATCTGTAGACCAGGAATATTCCGACATGCCATTGTCTCCGTTAGAAACTCCTCAATAGCTGCAAGCTTTTGCGGGTCCAATTGGGCCATCACTTGTGGCTTTATCACCATCGCAGTCCATGTTGTTAATAATAATGTCCGATATGCCCAGAAACGCATCTCTTTTGTTTAAGTCCGCGCACAACAATAGGGCCTTCTGTCATACGTGTTGTGTGCTACAGTACGTATATTTAATATGGTTCAAGGAGACGACACTACGAAAATAAATCATTCATAAGGAGTCAAAACGAATTCATACATATTGTTTATTGTGCCAGCATACTTCAAATGCACATCTACATGCCTAATCATCGACAAGGTACAGTGACAGAATATACCGTCGTACACTTTCGATATACGGTGTCACTATTCTAAATGATATGAAGCAAAAACTATGTATTGTATTGTATTCTGTTTCCCACCAATGAAGGTGAGCAATACCTCTTGGGTATGTCCCGTATATATACGGTCGTAATTTAACATGGAAGATAGACCCAGAAACCCCTCCTTGAAGGAGCCCTGTGTTCTTTTATGTGCACTTATACATAGACATACAAGTACACACCACAGCCTTTTGTACGAGTTGCGGACCACTAAGTCAAACACCCTGAAGTACTTCACGCAAACAAGCAAATTTAGTCTTGCCTGAACCAGGGATCGAATCCGGGACCTATTGCGTATGATGCAGGTGTGATGTAGGTTAATCTGAGGAATATATAAAGAATTTCATGTTTGATTTCGTGTGTATTCGATTTGGAAAACTGTTAGCTTTCTGATTACGTTAAAAGATTTTTGAGGATGAGAAATTGTGTACATGTAGCACTTGATGGAACCTATGTAGAGGGCCCTGTGGAATGAATGTGGCATAAATACCACATAGTGATGATAAATATTCAAAATCAACTATGGCATAACAAAATGGGGTAATTCATGACCATAATGATTTGTTTTGTTCAGCCTGCATTCAACTGCTTGCATGTTAAACAAGCTAAAATAGCTTCAGAATGTTTAACGTCATGTCGGTCCCGGGGTACCTACACATCCTTCACGGAAATAAAGATATATCAAAATATATTACATGTTTTGTTTTCAAATCTTCAGCGATGATAGATAATTGAATAAAAAGCATCTGTGTAAAAAAGCGTCCATTACTTATTGATCACCCCTAGGCCTCGTATAGCATAACATTCAACAAGATTTAAAAATCAAATTTACCTTATCTTTAGAACATCTGTATTAGGAAATAAAGATATATCAAAATATATTACATGTTTTGTTTTCAAATCTTCAGCGATGATAGATAATTGAATAATGTATCACTGGTAAGAAAATCGAAGGGATTGGTCCATAAAAAGCATCTGTGTAAAAAAGCGTCCATTACTTATTGATCACCCCTAGGCCTCGTATAGCATAAACGCGATTTTAAAAAGTCATCTTCGACAAGCTAGTATAGATCTCTCTATCAACTTCTCAAGATTATTAAAATTCATAAAAATGTTTATTATTACGTTAAAGTACAGACGCCAAATGATCAAGAGGTTGAAGGCTAACACTCCATGGTCACAGATTAATCACCACACAAACACTTTTATAAAATGAAATAACATTCAACAAGATTTAAAAATCAAATTTACCTTATCTTTAGAACATCTGTATTAGGGATAATTGTACGTGTTCGTTGAACATAACTTGTTACTCATTAAAACCTGGATTTTGAAATAAAATGATTGCATTGTTTAATATTACTTCTCGTGAATTTCAATTACACTGACATCGTACAGTGGAGTTGACAACGTACACTTCTGATTTTTTTAAATAAGTTAATAATGACACCGTGCATCCAAAGTGTACAACGATATATTTTGTCACTGTACCTTATCGATGGTTAAGCGTGACCTAAAGCAATGCAGACTGTCGAGAACGTTATTTAAAACAGACTAGCCCTTATAGAACCATTAGTTGACCAAAAATATTTTATCTACTTTCAACTTCATTGTTGATTCATGAGTCAATATATGTATCATGTTCACCATATGAAGGGTTGGATTAAAGTGTTTTAAGAATAATATAGTTAAAAAACTCACCCGCATGTCGTACTGCAAGAGTTAGGGAGTGTATATGTTTTGTGAGAACTAAACCAAGCCAATGAGACCTGGTTTCACATTCTAGGTGACGTGAGAGGCCAGTACTTGATTCTTTAAACACATCTTTAGTCGTGAAAAGCCATCCAAACATTATTTAAAGGTGATTTATGTTGTTTTCGTGTTTCAAAACACCTCACCTGACAACAGATGTTGTCCTTTATTGTATTTTTATGACATCTCTTATCTCATCAAATAGATACTCTTGTCAAATTAATTGTTTGTGGATTGGTCACTTTCTGCAGATTTTCTGTGATTCCATTCCATATGTTTTAATAAATAGTACAATAACGTCGTTTCGAAGGGCAATATAGTGAAATATTGGACCGAGGGCCTAAGGTCCAATATTTCACTATATTGCCCGCACTGAAACAGCAAGAAAATTTTACGCACCAAACGATATCTAGTTTCCCGGGAAAAATTGCCGGTTGTTGAATGCATTCTCGACCGGTAGCAGGCCAGGTGTAAAAGGGTAGGAGGTCCTCTCAAATTATGGTCCTACTCTCCATTGATTTATATGGTGACCTAAATACAACCCTTTCCCTTATTATCTTATACACAATCAGGGCCAATAAGGGCCGTTTAGAAAGGGGACCATAATCCCTAGGGGACCATAATTTCTTTCACACCGGTAAGGCGGTAATAAATAGAGATTATCCTATGAGGTTCAGGATATTGAGATTATCCCGAGGCCAATTTAATATATCTACCCGAGGGCCGTAGGTCCCGAGGGTAGATATACTATATTGGCCAGCGGGTAGATACAATATATCTGCCCGCTCGGAGCGGGACGTATAGCTATATCTGCCCGCTGTTGAAAATATGAGTTTTTAAACCTGCTTTATGTACCTGAAACACGTCCAAGTATGGGATAAATATTTTTTGCAATATTAGGGTGTCTCGTAAGACGAGGTCGGTCGTTGGTTTTTTATTTGTTGTATTTCAGTAAACCCGTGACACGGAAATGAAACATTACAAAACTAAACAAAATTAAACTATTAAACATAATGAGAAGATTTAGTTTTCATGACTTCATTCAGTATGAGATTGTACAGGCCTAATATTAATCCCATTCAAATGTCTTTTTGAAAAAGTATAAATATGTAAATATAACCACACGGTAAATCTATTTATTCACCTAGATGTCAAGTACTTTTTATCTACTTAAAATGCATACAATAGGAAATAACAAGGCATTGATATGACAAAATGTCACTACCTTGTAAGTTATTGCAAATGGTTAAATAATGATTACAAAATATTACAAGTCGAATGTTTTTGTGGCATTTTTAAAAGCCCCACCTAAACTATTAGTACAATAACGTCATTTCGAAGGGCAATATAGTGAAATATTGGACCAAGGGCCTAAGGTCCAATATTTCACTATATTGCCCGCACTGAAACAGCAAGAAAATTTTACGCACCAAACGATATCTAGTTTCCCGGGAAAAATTGCCGGTTGTTGAATGCATTCTCGACCGGTGTGAAAGAAATTGTGACCCTTACTGGCCCTGAGTGTGTATCAATAATAAGGAAAATAATTGTAATTAGGTCACCATATAAATCAATAGAAGGTAGGACCAAAATTTGATAGGACCACCTACCCTTTTACACCGGCCTGAAATGCATTCTCGACCACCACTATGACGTCACATATTGCTCAGGTCGATATAGTAAAATGAACGCCTTCTAAACTAGCACTAAAACCCCTAGAACTGGCCCGGTGTGAAAGAAATTATGGTCCCCCAGGGATTATGGTCCCCCTTCTTAACGGCCCTTACTGGCCCTGATTGTGCATAAGGTAATAAGGGAAAGAGTTGTATTCAGGTCACCATATAAATCAATGGAGAGGAGGACCATAATTTGATAGGACCTCCTACCCTTTTACACCGGCATTGACTGTTAAAAACACTGGTGGTAGTAAAATGTATTCATTGCCATTGTAACTGCCAGAAATATGTTCAAAGTTGTAACACAAGTCCGTACGTCATCTTGAATTCTTGCAAATGGTTACAAAATGCTTCAAGTCAACTTATTTGTTGATATGGTAACAGATATTGGCAGTAATTGTTAAGTTATCGGAACTTGTAAGAATACGTTACACGGCGCATGAGTAACTTTAATGAAACAATTTTGACTTAATAGTATCAAATCAATTCATATCATATATATGGATTTTCTTTCCTTGAGAAAAATTAATTTAAAAAATTGGAAATTTTCCTAAAAAGATATGGAAAAGGTTCCAAAATGTTCATTATTTTCAATGTCTCATAATGAAGATGAATTACGTTTTCTGCTTTCCTTGTTATACACAACGTGAACTTTGGTAGCTCATGTGTTAAAGTATTCCATGTTTTATGATATTCAAGCAGACATTTCGTTTTGACTTTTTCAATATGAACCCACCTGATATCTAACATGTCTAATTTTAGCGAATCACTAATAGAAGAACCAGAAACACTGGTACATATATTTTCAAAGCATACCGGAGTATTACATGCATTATCCTGGTCTTAAAACATAATATGAATTATATTAGATGAATCAAAGTAACAATATTTTGTTTCAACTTATTTTATTCGTCATAGTAATAAATATACTAGTATGTAATACTAGCCATGTTGTATAAAATGAGGTCAAAGTTCCATTTTGCGGAGACAGTGTTTGAATTGTTCATTAGCTAAAATTATATTCTCTGTTAGTCTTGCTAAATATTGTTACACACGTTTTAGAACAGTCCTTGTATATTGGATGAAGGTCAGGTTACAAATCTTCCCTACACGTCATCATTGGTCTGAAAAGAACACACCATCTGTTATTCACTATGGTAAAGAGTAAGAACAGTCAAACCTGTTTAGTTCGAATGCCATTGGAGCCAAAGTGTTCTAATTAGCAGGTTTTCACATTATAAATTTTTTTTAAATATGCGAGTTTATGGGAGATTGGGACTGAGATAAGTGTTCACATTGAGATAAATATCTAAGTACAAGTGCCAAAGGGAAGGGACCAAAAGTTGTAATGGAACTTAAAAAGAAAAAAGTAAATTCTAAGTGTATACCAGTCATAAGAAAAACAAATCCAAAATATCCCAACCATGACAAAACGTGAAAAGAAACGATATGTGCGGAAATACAAGTTTCGCTGTCTATTATTTAGCATGACAAGGCATTAACATGACAATATCCCAACACCTGGTTTATTTTTGGGCATGGCTACGATTGAAAATGTAACACTATTTGTTATGCCACTGCTGAAAAAATGGCAATAGCAATGGTTATCTCTTTTTGTTGGTGGTAGCATAAAGCACCAGAAATCTCAATGAACTATGTAATGAATAAACCCAAAATGCCATTATGTATAAGTTTACCTCAACACAGCTATCTACCATCATGTCTATGGTGAGTTGTTGTTGTTGTAATATCTGCATGTTGTATTCTAAAGACACAAGTATCTGCCAATAGTTCTCTTGTAAATCTTGCTCACTGAAAAGCAGTCAGATATTTAGCATGTTTGTGTAGTTTTCACTTGTAAATACATTTCTATTATAGCTTCTATTTAGCTCACTTTATATATAATCTATGTCATTGTTGTGTTTGGACTGAATCCTGGTCACAGTTGTGTTGAGATAAGATTTAGATGAGTTGTGTTAGAATTGTAATCTGTGTTATTGTTCCATAATACAAACAAAAAAATTGTAATGCAGTTGTGTTGGGGTCATCTTTGTCGTGCCATCTTTGTCACAGTTGTGTTAAAATTTCAATATGCGATACGATTGTGGTGGGATTGAAACACATGACACCATTCAGTCGGGATTGCAATTTATTACATAGTTTAGATTGAACTGCAGTCTCTTGCTAGAGTTATGTTGGGATTGCAATCTATGTCAATGATTTATGTGGCAATTGTGTTGGGATTGCAATCTATGTCAATGATTTATGTGGCAGTTATGTTGGGATTGCAATCTATGTCAAAGATTTATGTGGCAGCTATGTTGGGATTGCAATCTATGTCAATGATTTATGTGGCAGTTGTGTTGGGATTGCAATCTATGTCAATGATTTATGTGGCAGTTATGTTGGGATTGCAATCTATGTCAATGATTTATGTGGCAGTTGTGTTGGGATTGCAATCTATGTCAATGATTTATGTGGCAGTTATGTTGGGATTGCAATCTATGTCAATGATTTATGTGGCAGTTATGTTGGGATTGCAATCTATGTCAATGATTTATGTGGCAGTTGTGTTGGGATTGCAATCTATGTCAATGATTTATGTGGCAGTTATGCTGGGATTGCAATCTATGTCAATGATTTATGTGGCAGTGTGATGGGATTGCAATTTTCATTCAGAATTTATTTCAGTCTAGTCATGTATAGGAAAATATGCCAAGTACCATACGCTACAAGACACAGTCCGATAGTCTTACCGCTTTGATAACTCAGGGTACAAGTCACACATATCCTTTCTTGGAGGTCTGGGTGCTGCTTCACTGGAGATACTGGAACCATCTGATAAATCTGGAATAGTTATCAATCAATACTACTGTTAAAGTAGACGTAATGTGATATGTCAAATCTTGCCTGAGAACTCAACTCTAACCTGAAGATATTGAGGTGTCAAGCCAAACCTGATGATACTGAGATATCAAATCTGACCTGAAGATACTGGGATGTCAAACCTGAGATGAAGATACTAGGATGTCAAATACGACATGCAGATACCATGGGCTTTCTATTGAATGCCCATGCAGATACTGAGATGTCAAATCTGACTTGAAGATACTAAGATGTTAAATCTAACCTGACAATACTGAGATGTCAAGTCTGGCCTGCACATACAGAGATGTCAAATCTGACCTGAAGATACTAAAATGTCAAATCTGAACTGAAGATTCAAAGATGTGACCTGAAGATACTAAGATGTCAAGTCAAACCTGAAGATTCTGAGATGTCAAATCCGACATGAAGTTTCACTGAGATGTTAAACTTACCTGAAGACGCAGTGATGCCAAATGGATCATCATCACCTTCATCCTCATCTACAACCTGTAAACACACAAACATACAAATCTACCATTCATTCCTTGAAGAGATCATAGCTATTTCAGTAATTTTCCATTGCATGATGCTGCATTAACAATTGAGCCAGGGCACTGGAAAAGGGGTCTTATTATGAACTGATTTTTTGTCTATGTTAAATAGCACAGAGACCTTTCAAATGAGCCATGGCTTATGTTTTATAACAATTTTATCTTGCAGATATAGACCAAAAAGACGAATTTGGCATATTTTGGGCACATTTCTGGCTCTAGCACAATTTTAATTTTTGTGATAAGACCGGTTTTCCTATGTACTGTCTATATTTTGGGAAGATTAGTAGAATGACTGGATTCTGGGGAATTACTTACCGTAATTATAAAGATTATTTAGTATTATTAATTGCAATATCAAACCTTTTTCTTGTGTTTCTTTGCTTCATTAGCCGCTTCTAGAGTAAGTTGAAAGTTGTCAACCAGTACAGCAACAAACAAACTGCAAACAAATATACATGGTGTCCATTCAGTATTTTTACAATTAAAATACAGTCTATGTAAAGTGTACACTTTATTGACATCATATGCTAATTTTTAGAGTCAGTTGAAGCCAAATATTCAAGTATTTGACTCGGTGAAGATTGTTGTATTAGAGGGTACTGTAAATGTGCACATATAATGCCTTGGTCACATTTGCTCCGATTTTCACTACGGCGTCCGGGCGATTGAGTATTTTGTTCAAAATTGAATACAATATTGAGCAAAACACTCAATCAGCCAGGCGCCAGCTATGATCAGAGCAAATGTGACCAAGGCATTAAGTAAATTCCATAGGTTTTGGGCTGATATAAAGATGGCAGCGGTGTTGAAGCTATCAATGTATCATTTTAGTGCAGTAAAACCTGTGTAAGTTGAAACACCTTTGGTACCTATAAAATGTGTTCCACTCAGGTGTCACTGTATAGATAAACACAGATTGATTTGAAAATCATTTCTATTGCACTTTAGCTTATGGAAAATTTAGTCATAAAACTGATATAACATTTGATCAAAATTCATTCTGCATGTTCAGCTATGATGCTAGAAATTATGTACACCATTTACTTAAATGCACATATGGGTATATAAACTGGTATATAAGTTATTTCATGAACATCATCTAATTTAACCATAATGACCATTATACTTCTTGCTTATGGTTAGATTAAAATAATGAAAAAGTGACATTTGTATAGACCCAAACATAACTTTCACAAATACATGTAGAGTAGCTGTAAACTTACTTGAGGAAAATGAAATACTCCATAACAATGTAAAGCATGAGGTAGAATATAATATGGACAGCATCTGAAATGAAAGAACATTGAACTGTAACTTCAGATAACATAGATGAAAAACATTGAAAATAAGTTACATAATATTGTATCTATGAAAGCTGAATGAAGTCCCCATCTTTTGGTATATAATACATGGTTTATCTTTGTGATTCTAACTTCTTTGAAGAATGTTACAAAGTGTCCCACTTTTATTGCCCACCCTGTACAACCTGTATATTGAACAGTGAGTCATAAGTCAGATATTTGTACACAAATTTTGAAGTATAACTTGAGAATTAAAAACAAAGTTTCATTTGAAATTTTAAAGGCCCTGTATAAAGTTTATATCATAATCTTACCCCAATGTTATCAAAATGTGTGAAACTTTTCAATTTAATTTTAAAAAGTTGAATTACAAAAGTTTAATAATTTATTACAGACACTGAACAAAAAAAATACAGTTATTTGAAGATAATGTTTATCGCAATCACAATTTTTTCAATAAATGACCTATAACTGACCTATAATCTATAGACTCAAAAATCTTATTCAATATGAAATCTGTAAACCACAGCATCACTGAAATTTAACAGTGTAGGTATACAGTTTCCCCAGTCCACTTCTGGAGCAGTCAATAATATAGAGTGTACATGTATACAGGCTACTACACTCACTTGGGTCTCTATTTGTGACGTCAGAGTATATATAGAACCAGTCATCCAATGTCATCAGCTGAAACAATGTAAAAAATGCTACCCCTAAGTTTCCAAACCTTTCTGGGTCAAGATGACCATAAAGACCCCTCCCAACAACTGCAAATATATCTAAATGAAGATAAGGATGTATAAACATGTTGGATTTATGAACAAGGTATTAACATGCAAAATGTCACAACCTGCCATTTGTTACAGATGCTGACTGCCGAAAAGTTAGAGATTATAACAAAAAAGTGGTGACGCCAGAAGTGGTGACACGTAAAAATGAATTATTGTTGACATTGAAATTAGTTTGCAGTGTATATTGCATGCATTAATCGGAATGCACGAAGGACAATTACCATTGACAACACTAACTAAACAATAACTCTCTCTTATGCAATATGCATTTAGTATCTATATAGTATGCTAAGATACTAAGAACATGATTGGTTTCTGATACAATATGTTTCCCAATTCATTTTCAAAATAAGGCATTTACATGCAAAATGTTACCACCTCTCATTGGTTATGGACAACCACTGAATACCAACTGCCAAACACCAACCACCGAACACCATCCACAAAAAGGTTAGAAAAGAGACTATAACAATATATCACGATTTGTGGTGAGTAACATCAAAATTATATTTTGCATCTCTGCCCTATATTCTAATTAAGAAATATAGACCGAAGAGCAGGGGTAATATCGTCGAATACACCCCTTAGGGTTAGGCACAAATATTTTCAAACACCTCACTCACATAGGTCGTTCGGGGTACAGAAAAGGTTTGTGCCTAGCCCTGCGGGGTGTATTCGACGATATTACCCCTGCTCTGAGGTCTATATTACGATTTGAACATGAAATTAAACTCACTAAAATGTTTTGAATACTCATTCTGGTCAGCCATTACTACGGACCGCTGTTATGACGTCATACATTACTCGTATTAACAGGGGCATTGCTCGCGAATATTACCCGGTTGAAATATTGACTTTGTTCACAGTTTATAGAAGGCGTGAATACAGTCATGTTCAAATTTAAAAGATGAGATAAAATATCCCTCCAATCTCAATGATACACCTAGCAATTTTTCAGTGTACAAAAGATACACATGAACAGCAAAATCAGCATGATGATTGCCCCCATAGACTGCACTGACTGGAGACATGTTGCCATGATAACCTGGAGGTTGCTAAGAAATCTGAAATGATAAAACAGTTGTTTGAAACTTCTAAGTATTCACATATTAGATATCAACAAAATTGCTCCTATATCCTATCCTACATATTTTTTTTGCATTTAAACATATTATAATACAGTTTTATATATTGTTACTAAAATACTGTAAAATAGATAATAAAATAGTGACCATTTTTGAAATTGGTTTTCAAGCATAATTTGTACTCACATAAGACATACTTGCATAAATGTAAATGATATTGAGCCAACAGTATGGACGGAGCCATTCTCTATATCCCCCAAACCTGGGATACTATCAAACAGTGTATAAAACCACCAATACTATGATAGCGATTCAGCCATAAACATTTCAATTCATATGTTTTTATAGAGAACAAATGACCTGATAGTCCGTAGTACCCTCAGAGCTCTCACGGCTCTGATTGCCTTGAAGATCCTAAGAAGCCTGAAGAGTGCAGCAGCATTGAAGCCTGTTACATTGATCAGCACCAATGGAAGGATGAAGTCAATACAGTTGAAGATAACAATCGAGAAATCTGAAACACAGATGTGTGGAAAATAGTAACAGTTCATCACACAAGCAGATCCCCTATTCATTTCACGTATGATCATAACCATGGGAATTTGCACAAGTCATGTCAATCATTCATTGTACAATGTAGTTGAAATATATATGAATAAAAAAAAAAGTTGTATGAATAGTAAAGTACATGATGCTATTTATCCAAGGATGTAAGTGGAATATGCCATATACATGTATTTATAGTAACGCGATATTTGCCATACAGGTGGAATATGCTATACCTGTGAAATATGCTAAATTCCACAGGTGACAGAGTATGGCATAGCTACCATGGCATATTCTGCAGGTGAGTCATAGTCCTTCTCATTGGTTAGTAAAAATGGCATATTCACCTGTGGTGTATGATATATTCACGTACCTGCGGAGTGCTAGTATGACATATATTTGTATTGTGTTACAGCATTACAAAGGCTGTGTTGTAAAAAATGTACAAAAATGTAGCTATACCAAAGTATAGTCAATGAAAGCCAAAATGGGCATGTGGTCCATGTCCATGAAATTAATGAATCGATGGTAGGATGAAGTTTCTATAATATCCCACAGGTGTAGATTTGATGCATTTTGAATCAGGTGATCACAAAAATACCCTGCCGCTTTATATGTAAAAATGATCCCAAAATATCCTTTATATGTGAAAAATGTACATGTGCAATTGCAAGTTAATCATCCATACCTAATATATTCCAGCCATCTTTAAAGTAAAGTTTCCTATAGGCATAGACTTTCAGTACAAACTCCATAATGTACGCTCCCAGGAAAGCATTGTCCAAGGCAGAGAAGTACCAACCTATAATTTGAAAATATATTTAACTGAACACTTTCATGTGGTCAATAGTAAGATTATACACTGTATAAAGAAAATGGAACATGTCCATGTAGTTTGATAATGTTACCAATGAGACAGAAAATATGGAAAAAAATTGTAAATACAGGAAAACCTGAATATCCAAACACCTAGCCAATCCGAACACCTCCCAATCACATTTTTTGGTTCTGTTTTTCCCCTACTGACTCCAATGAAGAAATCTTGAAATATAAACACCTCCCAATTTGAACAGTGAAGTCATATTTGAAAATTTAATCTGTGAACACCTCCTAATTCGAACACATTTAGTTTTAGCTGGTATCCATGACGTTAAAGAAATCTTGAAATATGAACACCTCCCAATTTGAACAGTGAACAGTCATATTTGAAAATTTAATCTGTGAACACCTCCTAATTCGAACACAATGTCATTTAGTTTTAGCTGGTACCAATGACATTAAAGAAATCTTGAAATATGAACACCTCCCAATTTGAACAGTGAACAGTTATATTTGAAAATTTAATCTGTTACACCTCCTAATTCGAACACTTTTAGTTTTAGATTAGACAAGTTTTACTGTATGAGTCAGCAGCCTTTTAATACCTAGTACCTACCACATCTAACTGCTACCTCCTCCCATGTCTGAGCTACTAGGATCCCTGTATTCAGCATAATAATGCCCAAAATAAATGTCGAAAAGAACCTTGACTCAACAAGTTGATACATCGCCTTGTGAAAATCAGTGGCATTTCTCAACAATTTCCTTTTAACCTTTTCTTTCAATCTTTCCCGTTTATTCGCCAATTCAGTGCGCACATCCTGACCACCTTCAACTTTAGCATCCACATCATCTGAATCATCGCCATGTTCGTGACCCAGTGTTTGGATCTTGATTTGTGATTTCTTGATTTTATGTTGGTTAAATAACTCCTCGCCAAAACTTTCTTGTTCCAACTTTGCTTCTTCATTAATTTTTGCAAGTCTTGCTAAATCATCCTTGTTTATTCCAGATGAAACATTTTGAGAGATGAAGCTATTCTTTCTACGACTTGCAATATATTCAGTCAACCGTAAAGTGTTCTTCTTACTTTGTCTTTTATAGTCTAAGTTGACACTTTTTTTTCTTATTCTCTGCAATTGTTCAATAGTAGGCATCTTTACACATTTCACTATGGCCCTCCTTCGTCAACCTGTAAGTGAAAAATCACTTCATAAAGTTTTTAAAGTACAGGCAGGAGAGCAAGGAAACAGAGGGAAATACATAGAGATGTCAAGGAAATAAAATCGGAATGGTTCGGTTCAGGCATTTTCCTTCGGAATGGAACAATTTTGGAAGGGTTCGGAATAGAGTGACTGCGTGTATTAGATTAAAATAAGTTGATTACCTAGGTCTATTTGGTAGCAAAAAGTTCTTCAAAACTCTTCAATGAGAAGGATTGAAAAGAATGATATTCTTTTGGTGCAAAATATTGAAAGAAAATGCTGTTTAATGGCGACTTAAGGGCCACAAGTTGTGAAAGGGTAAGATTTTCTTGTTCTGGAACTGAACCGAAATTGTTAATTTTTGTTCCGTGTTCTGTTCCGAGAGCGCAATTCCACGGTTCCGAACAAAATTGGGTATCCATGACACCTCTAAAAATACAAGCTTCATAATGAGAAGAAAATGCTTCCATAAATTATGGGCATGAAAAATGTTCTTTAACTTTTCCAAGTGTTATTTAAATTCATGACTTTTGGATAGTTTTAACCCTGGGGATTTAACGTCATGAGGACAAGTTGGGAAGGAAAGACTCCCGGGGAAAGACTATGGGCTGTCATTTGAATGGTTCTTGTTGTTGTTGGCAGTTGATTTGACTAATAACAGGCCTGTCAACTTGGGAACACCTAACATGAGTGACTTGGAAATGTTGAACACCTCCCCTCAAAATGTGGACACCTTGGTCCAAATCTGAACACCTTGATCCAAATTTTGAACACCTTGGTTTAAATTTTATTACATCTTGCCAAATTTTAAACTTTTCGCGCTCGCTACGCTCGCGTTTCATCGACATCCGTCAACGGGGGGGGGGGAGGGGGGGGGGGGGGGGGGGGGGGTGGGGGAGGGGGGGCTGGGTAGGTACGGAAAATTTCGAACGAAATGCGTGACATATCTGTAATTCGCGTGAAAAGTCCGAACGAAATGCGTACGTTTTTTTCCATTCGTTCGTATTTTTGCTGTGTACACGATCTTTTTTATAAAATTTTCTACAGAAATAAATTTGCTTGACAATTACCAGGTAAAATGCGTATTTGCGTGACATTTTCTGTCACGCAAAAATAACTGGCGTGACTTCAAATTCTTCAGCAAATGCGTGACAAATACGCAAATTGCGGGACAGTTGACAGGCCTGTAATAATTACTCAATCATATTGACTGTACTATTCAAAAGGTGGCGACTTTTGGAATTTGACATCAAGGTTGAGGAACGTATCTATCTATTAGAACCAGGCCCGTATCCAGGGGGTTCGAACGACCCCCCCCCCCCTGGTCAAAAAATCGTTCAAAACCATGCAGTTTTTCACCATTATGAGCAATTTTTAAGTGATTTTGGCCATTTTTGACCCCCATAGAATTTTTCAAAAAGTGACCCCCCATGGCAAATCCTGGCTACGGGCCCGAGACCTCTGTGATTTCGTCTACGAATTCTGAGTAATCATTCAAGTAAAAATTTCAGTAATTGGCCTTGTCTAGACTTATCTCATGTAAGTCAGTTCAGATTTCAAGATTCATTCAATCATTGATTGAATTTTATTTTCAATTTCGAAGTTTTGAATTCGCCATTTTCAATTTTTCTACTTTTTTCACAAATATTAATGCCTAGTACAACAGCCAGCTGACAAATTAAGTAATACATTTAAGTTTATTTCTTTCAATAAGAATAAAGCGACTATTTACTCTAATTGACCGAACGTGACACTACAAATTCAAACTTACCGCGTTGAATTTTGAAAAGCTGTTTACTTCCGGATCCGGTGACGTTGGAAATCGATATGCGCATGCGCAAAAATAAATGTCCGGAAAGAATTCATCATAAAATTTCGAACACTTTTGCCAATAACTTAAGAATAGGAGAATTTTAATTTGTTATTACACAAAATAACAACGTTGCTAGTAAGATGGCAGACCAGGAGCAAAAGGGGAACCAGTTAATGATAGAAGCTGCAAAAAAATTTAAGTCATCACAAGGATTTTTTGGATCTTTTGGGTGAGAAATTTGATTTAGCCTAGGTCTTGTCTTGCACATGATTCATTGTCATAGCAAGATGCAGTCATTGGACTGAACGTATGGTCAAAATATGACGTTGGAGTTTGCCACATCAGATTGTTAAGAAATATGATTTTGATAATAACTTGGGGAAATGTGTCAAAGTCTGATGTATGGGGCTACTTTGTCATGGGGCTATGCTTCGAGATGTGATTATTACACAATACGTCGAAGTTTGACACATTTCTCATTGACTCATAAATCCAGAATTTGACCAGCCTCAGGGAAAAGGTATCACCGACCACCTTCCATTCTTTTGTATTTAAAAATGTCATTACAATGCATATTCACATCATCAACAACAAAAATATCACTCTTAAGTTTATTTCTTCGTTGTATTTACTCAAATCTTAGCCAATGGCTAGAAATTGTCATATATGACCCACTGTTTGCCCTCAAGAATTGTTACCGATGGTAAAAATTTAATTATCCGAACGAACAAAGTTCGGTAGGGATATAGTGAAGCCCTCCGTCAGTCCGTCAGTCAGTCCGTCCGTCCGGAAGATAACTCAAATATTGATTGACGGATTTTCTTTATATTTGGTGGAAAGATGTATATTGATGAATAGTTTTACACTAAAAAAAATTTTTTCAAGATGGCTGCCGCTTTAAAAATGACGGGACTTTTTCGCAAAAATCATAAATTTTTCATTCTGAACCAAAGTAATCATTATTATTGTTTGAAATTTTGGTAGTATATTCGCAACATCTATTTATTTCACATATATTCCATGTTTTTCATCCTGACCCCCAGGGGCCGTGTATGGGGGGGTCAGGAAAACAGAAATTTTCGCTAATTTTTAGATCTTTCTGAAGTATAGCTTTATTATACTCAAATGAAAGGCAATTAAGAGTAGATTGCAAATATTGTATCTTTTTTCTGATTCGAGCCTCGTAAAATTCAAAATGGCCGTCTAATGTACGATTTCGCAATAATTTTTCGATCCCTTCAAAGTATGGCTATATTATACTCAAATTGAAGGAATTTTCGAGTAGATCACAATTATGGTATTATTTTTCAGATTTGTACCTCAGAAAATTCAAAATGGCTGCTTTGCAGGAATTCGCAATTCTAAAATCTGATTTATTCATTTTCAACCAAAGTAATGAGTATAATTGATTGGAATTCGGTAATTGATATTTTGTTCGTTGGGATTTGCTACTCCGCGGAGTTGCCGTTATCTAGTTTGGGTTGTTATGTCATGGATGCAGATTTTGCCAAAAGGAGAGAGTGCAACACCCTTGTTATTTCTAACATGTTCTTATAGACTGTAACCCATTCTGTATAAGTGCTCTAGAAATGCAACCTTCCTTACATAAAAGGTTACACATTCCAACCTATTTCAAACCATCTGTATGATTATAATGGACACTTTCTGGGTAGTTGGACTTTCTATAGGGGTGGCAGACGGCCCTCAGACAAATTTATACCCCTACCCCCAAAAAACCATGGGGGTACTTTAATACCATCCAATAAAAAGAATACTAATGCATGTCAGATATTCATTGTTTTATATTGGGTAGGGCATGTTATGATTAATAAGTGCCAAAAATTTCCAATCTCTAACTTATATAGTTACCATAGAAACAGTATTTATATCTCCAGATATTCTCAATTTGACCCCCTCCCAAATGTGTCCCTTTGTTCTCAAAGTGAAATATTTCAAAATCTGTTTGGATTTTATGGCTGCTACTTTGTCAAAATTTGTAATATTATGTCTATATTAACACTAAAACACTTAAAAGTTGATATAATGATCCTATAAATCAATTATATTTATCAAATATAGTCACACATAGCTGCTTTCAGGGAAAAGTGGGCGTGGCACTTTTTGGTACTTGTGCGCTTGTTGCAGCATTAAATGAAAAATGCAAATTACACTAACAATAATTGACATTTAATTAGCATCTACTAATGTTGTGTAACATTGTAATATGTTTATTATCATTACTAGACACTTTAAATATTTTATATAAGTGTTATCCTGACCCTTCCCAATCATAGGTCATCAATGGTCAAATGAACTTTTAGTGTAAGTCCTCGGTCTTTTAAGTCTGTCAAGAGTCAAGTCTTACTTATTCATTGACTTGTTCCTAGAATATGAATGGATAAGTTAAAGTCATCTAGAGCTATGAGTTACAATTAATTAATATGCTTGTTCAACAGTATTTAGAACCATTTTACCATGTTTACTGCAATTGAAAAGTAATGAACAGTTCGATCCTTTTGGTATGATATTTGATGCTAGTGTGAATTGCATAACATTTATGATTAAACTTAAATGAACTAATATAACTCTGGCTACTAACCCTTCCCTAGTATCTTCACATAACCTCTAAATCATCTTCATATCCATGGCCTAAATGGGGAAGGAGGGAGGGGTTACAAATAGTGACCGAGGGTAATTTGAATCAAAGCAAGAAGACGTAATACTCAAAACTAGAAAGATTGGAGACCATTTATACCCTTCCTAATATTTTGCCTAATACATAACACTTAAATCTATTTTGTCAGACACTTGCTGATTCTTTTATCAATATCTCAACATCAGGCAATGCATGATCTATCCAATGGATTAAAGATTATACTTGATTCTAATATGGCAAAATTAATTTTTCGTATGAATTGCATAGAGCATCATTTTGCAGTTATAATAAAATGCATCCATTCATTTATTGGCTCATAGTTAACAAAAAAGCTATTCTCTGGAAGGTACAGTATAATTTCTATTAGTATTTAGCAAAAATAATTGCAAGATAAACAATTTACACATGTTTCTGATATACTGTATTTAGGGCTGCCATCATTAGTCGGAACGTCGACTTGTCAGTCAAAATGCAAGTTCGACAACGAAGTCGACAAAAATTCCCGTCATGTCGACAGCAAACGATATCAATACTTACTTGAAAATATCCAAATGGCCCCAATACATTTCAATACACATTTCAACGTGTTATGTGCGCGTATTCTGCGGAAATATTGTTCACATTCATTTCATTTTCAAAAAATAAATTCACCCGGAAGTTCCCTTCATGACTTCTCTTCTCTCTTGCGAGACGTTGTACGAGATTTCGCCCGAGCAGTCGAAATAAATCCCGGTCGAAACATTGCAGGTATTTGTCCCATTTTCGTCTATAATATTCTATTAACTTGGCATTTAGTAACAATATTAGGCAATTACTTCCCGATGATTTTTTCTCCCTGGAAAGTTCGATTGTCGACAATATTTTCGACAGCAGAGTTCGACTGTCGACACTGACATTTGAGTTCGATGGCAGCCCTAACTGTATTTTCAATGATTTCTTCAATAGTGGTTCGGTATATGTTTTTGAAATACTTCAAATAATTCCTAAACAAATCTGTTTAGTGTATGAAATCAAAAAAAGTAGATACATTTGTCCCATACTTGGACATGTTTCAGATACATATAGCAGGTTTATAAATACTTATATTTTCATCAGTGGGCAGATATAGCTAATGTCCCGGCCTGAGAGGGCAGATATATTACACCTGCCCACTAAGTCATAATCATCATTTGTGTATGATTAGCAATGAGGGAAGTAGCATACTTAATACATATGTTAATAATCAATGATTCGAGAATATGTGGATGAATACTTAAAAAACAGGAGAATCCTCCTAAGGCCAAGAAAACAAAATTAGACATGAATACATTCATATGGTTAAATTCTTTCTAACTCTGGCCAATTGAACAATGTGAACCAGATAAGAAAGATTGATATTGGATAAACAGATCATCCTATAGTCAGTTCATGCTATAGAAATTATCCCTTGGCAAATATAATATATCTTCCCTCAGGACCTAAGGCCTTTGGCCAATAGAAAATATCTTCCCTCGGGACCTACGACCCTGGGCCAGATATATTATATTGGCCTCTGGATAATTCCAATACCCTGAACCTCATAGAGGATAATCTCTATTCGTCTTTATCAACTATTATTATACATATAAATCGGGATATAAATATAACCTAAAGTAAGAAATCACATTCTCTAACCAGTAATATTTAATTTTAAAATTGGTGAATGATGATTGTGTCACAATAGAATTGATGACCATGATTTATTTGAGAATAAAACAGACAAAACAAAGGTTAACAAAAATCTTTAAAAATTTGGGTAAAACATAAATATTTTAAAATTGCTTGTTTTTCATCATTATTACTTCGATTTCCAAACCCCAAAAATTGAACTAATTAACAATTATGCCTAATTGCATGAGCAAACTAGTAATCTTGTTGGATATTTTTCCTCGACAATGCCTTATCTAATTCATCTATATACAAACTACTAGATTCCAAATGCTATTTTACAGGATGGGTGTTCATGAAAGTAACACTAAACATCAATTTTGTCATAAACTGAACAATGCAGCTAATTGATTCTCCCATCTAAGCAACAGAGCCTGTTTTAATATATTGTAATTTCAAAATTGCCTCTAATTCAAGTTCTTCAATCAAATCTAAAATGTACACAACTGGCAATATCTTTATACCACATGAGTAGAATGTATGTTTCTTTCAAATTCATGCTTTCGTTAGAAACATGGATATCACTAATTCATAGTTTTGATTCATATTCAAAATGGTGTGCATTATACTGTTATATATGAGGTTTAATTAATGGGAAGTTTTTAATACAGGGAAATACAATATATATGAGGGAAATACAATATACCTCCCGAGGGGTTGAGGGTAGAATATTGTATTTCCCAAGGATTATACCTTGTACCCAAAATTATTTATCATATACTAAAATACAAAAATATGAGAAATTGCACAATGAAATTCCTGCAGGGGATTACTGAGCGGGTGATAAACCTGGCGATATATAGAGATTATCCTATATGAGGTTCAGGATATTGGGACTATCCCGAGGGCGATTATGATGGAGTGGGCGGATATACTATATCTGCCCGCTCGCAACGGGACGTAAAGCTATATCTGCCCGCTGATGAAAATATAAGTTTTTACAAACCTGCTTTATGTACCTGAAACACGACCAAGTATGGGATAAAGCGGGATATGCAGTACATGTATATCCCCACTCACCTAAGGTATCAATTATATTCATGCATTTTATTTACCTAAAACACTAAGTATAGGATAAATAACTTTTACTGACAAATTGTATAAGTACATGATTACATTAGTCACAACTACTCACTAAAAGGTTAACTTATTGCATGAAGAAATGTAATTCTACATGAAGATTTCAAATATGATATCACTTATTTGACTGAATTTTGAATTTTTAATGATGTAAAGCAAGATTATTTCTACTTGCATCTAAGTCTATTTCATTGTGTAAGTCAACAATTAATAAGGCAAATACATATCACTGGCTTCCCTGATTCATTTAGATTCCTTGCACTTTTAAAATCATCAATAATTCATATAGGGTTGAACTATCGAATAATGAAAACGTTTTAAATGATGTGATAGAAGTTTTTTTTACTATTTAGCTTGGAAATATTGCTGATATAGTTTTAATGTGATTTTAGGAGATTAAATGTTCTACTGAGGAACTTTGATTATGTCCAATTTTCTATGATCTTTAACTTTCTGAACAAGGTCGGGCTAAATTCTCATTGAGACGATGTTAAAAATCTTAATGTTGACTTCCTAAATGTTGAATTATTTTGATTGTCATGAATTTAAGGTTCACACAAAATCTGAAGATCATCTAGTTTCAAACACAATCTGAATCTCATTAGGTTTGATGCGAAAGCAGTTTTACTTTAATCCAAAATAACAAATATGGTAAATCAATATATGTCTATGGTAGATGCTACCGTGTAGTCCAACCAGCACAAGTGCTGCCATCTACCTATCCATTCATCAGTTTAGCACCTAATAAGGTCAGTACTCATGGTAAAGCTTTTGTACCTTGTCTATGGTAAAAATAAATCAAACAGAAATGTTAACTTGACACGGTTGGTAATGCCCACCTTGAAGGGTGTAGGGATAAAGGGAAGGGTCAGGATAACACTTATATAAAATATTTAAAGTGTCTAATAATGATAATGAACATATTACAATGTTACACAACATAAGTAGATGCTAATTAAATGTCAATTGTTGTTAGTATAATATGTATTTTTCATTTAATGCTGCAACAAGTACACATGTACTAAAAAGTGCCACACCCACTTTTCCCTAAAAGCAGCTATGTGTGACTATATTTGATAAATATTATTGATTTATAGGATCATTATGAACACTTTTCGGTGTTTTAATGTTAAAATAAACATACTGATACAATTTTTGACAAAGTAGCAGCCATAAAATCCAAACAGATTTGCAAATATTTTACTTTGAGATCAAAAGGACACATTTGGGAGGGGGTCAAATTGAGAATATTTCAAGATATAAATACTGTTTCTATGGTTACCATATCAGGTAGAGATTGGACATTTCTGGCACTTACTAACCATAACATGCCCTACCCAATGCAAAACAATGAATATCTGACATGCATTAGTATTCTTTTTATTGGGTGGTATTAAAGTACCCCCATGGTTTTTTGGGGGTAGGGGTATAAATTGGTCTGAGGGCCGTCTGCCACCCCTATAGAAAGTCCAACTACCCAGAAAGTGTCTAGTATCATCATACAGATGGTTTGAAATAGGTTGGAATGTGTAACCTTTCATGTAAGGAAGGAGTTACAATTATCAGAGTGGGCCGTAGTCTATTAATGAAGAGTGATTTGTCAGGTCGATAGGTCTTCCACTCCTGAGAGTTGCTCTTTTTCAAGTACAATATGTATATCATTGGTAACATATGTTCTGAATTAGAGATGTTTGATTGAATTATATATACATATGTGGGTGGGTAAGTGATGTGGGTAATATTCTAATATATATATTCACAGATACAATTATTGAAGATTTTGAATATAGACATCTGCAATTATGAAGCAGTACCTAATACTGCTAATAGCTGCAATGGCAATGAGACTTCAGTACCAAAGAGAGGAAGGTATCCTCATTTATTGTCATGAGGACTAAACTTCCACTTTTGATGTCTGATTCTTACTTTAATCAACTCATTGATTTTTACACTTACAGAGGGAGTGCAAAACAAGAAGAGGCCTCAGAGTTGTATGTGCGAGCTGCAAATTGTTTTAAGATGGCAAAGAAATGGCCAGGTGAGTTGTAAACATTATCAAGCATGGCAAAATGCACATAGAATGCATCTTATAAAAACTAAAGCTTACATGAATAAGTAAACTATTTGGTCTCTCCCAGTCTCCATGCACACATATCCTAAATAACATTATACTTAATGCAACACAGAAAAGAAACACTGATTGAGCATATTTCATTTGATATTTTACAATAAATATGAATGTTATTGTACATATTAGGCAAATAATTAGGAAGTATGTAAGGCTTACCCCCCCCAATCTTTGCTCAAAAGTAAATACTTAATATATAAAACTATGGTTTGATGCCTAGAATTTGTAGAACATACAGTCTCTGAAATGTTCAAACAAAAATGAACTAAGTGCTTTCATAAACTTTTTTTGAAAAGAGGATGATCATTGGATCTTATATAATATATATAAAAAGATATATTTGAATTAAGTAAGGTGAAAAAATTCATTTTTTAACATTATGCATCCCTTGTTAAGATATGCAAGTTCCATATGATGTAATGTCATTACTTATTCTTTGTAGCTGCTGGTCAAGCATTCTGTGAGTCAGCCAAGATTCAATCTGCACTTGGGTCCCGCCATGAAGCAGCCACTAACTATGTAGATGCAGGCAATTGTTATAAAAAGGCTGATCCACAAGGTAACCTGACATTTCCTCAAAAGTGTATTTAAAGAATATGAATCGTACATAAGTGGGGGCTAATTGATTTGGGGACATGGGGATAATTTTAGAAATACATTTAGAAGTCATTATCAAATTATCAATATTCAGTTGTCAATCTTAAGCATTATTAGCTCTATGAACATAGATACACAGGGAGATATGCTGATTACTCAAGTAGTACTAAATTAGCACTCTGGCCAAAGTGCACTCATGAGCACTCATGTCAGGAGTGCTAATTTAGTACTAATTCATGATATTAGTACTCATTTAGCGCTAAAAATCAATGAAATTACTGCTATTTTATCACTCATCCTATGAGTACTCATTTAGTACTAAAACATGCAATAAATCACTCATGTCATGAGTGCTCATTTAGTACTAATATTTACTGAAATGAGTACTCAGTTAGTGTTAATATGCCATGCGTACTATTTTAGTACTCGGCATATCTCCCTGTGTAGGTATAGGCTGCATGCCGATTATGTCTTTCTTTATTTTATTATGTAGCTTTCCATTCGAATTCTGAACCCTTCTGCTTAATATTTATTTATTGCAAGTTTACATTTCTGTATATACAGGGTGTCCCGAAAGTATGGGGCCCCCCCTAGGCAGACATACACCAATGTTCCAATAGTATGTGTCATATATCATTTTAAAGCTTATCCAAAGTTACATTGATTTGCCAAGTATCATCGTTCAACTTACAAATGGGAAAAAGTTACAGGCATTTCAAAACTTAGTGTATGGCCAAAATTAAAGTTAAAATCAGTATCCTGGAAACACCGCTAGCCTGAATGTGACCAAAAATATGGGTGCTATCGTTAAAGAGAGGATGGATATTGAGTTCTAAAAAGAGGACGTTTAGGGTAGATACTCCAAGGAAACTCTTCTAAAATGCCTTAAAAAGGTTTTATGAGGATTATTAAATGCCATACCCCTATTTGCAGTGTATTAAAGGTCATATCTGGAAAGAATTGCTGCTGTTAACATGGCCAAGGGAGACACGGCGACCATTAATTTTGTGTAAAACTAAACTTTAATTTTGGTAAAACACTACATTTTGAAATGTGTGTAACTTTTTCCCGTTTGTGAGTTGAACCATGATACTTGGCAAATCAATGTAACTTTGGACAAGCTTTGAAATGATATATGACACATACTATGGGGACATTGGTGTATGTCTGCCTAGGGGGGGCCCCATACTTTCGGGACACCCTGTATATACAGAAATGTAAACTTGCAATAAATAAATAATAAACAATAAATAATGATTTTTTATGTTACCACATAGTGTCATAGTCTCCTTTTTGTGGACGGTTTTTGGCAGTCAGTAATCAGTGGTTGGTGTTAAGTGCTCAGCATTCAGTGTCTGTAATAAATGGCAGGGGGTGATGTTTTGCATGTTAATGTGTTGTTTAATTAAGCAATATTTTGACTGATGATTTCTTTGTTACAGAGGCTGTTAACTCTATCACAAAAGCTATAGACATATACACAGATATGGTAAGATACTCTTGAGAAATATATCATTATTAAAATCAATGATTCATCACCCTTAGCCTGATATATTGGTTAATGAAATCCTGTGCTAGGGCTGATGTGAAAAAGTCAGTTCACCCCACTGGGGATCGAACCCATGATCCCTCGCTTTATGGGTGCTTGCTAAATATTGAAGGCTGAAACATCATTTGTCTCTGGGATAGGCAGGGAACTAATATTTATAGTATTTTGAAGAGATTAATAAATTTGAACAAGCGTACCCAAAAGATTTCCCAAGGGGAATGACTTTTGCATATGGATGAATTTTTGTGTTCGATGTTCCAATCCAAGAGCCTAATTCTTTGGGTCCACAGGGGCTTGTCTGGAAGGTCAGGCAAGCCCTCCGATGAGTGTACTGGTTATTAAGAGTATAGTCTTATTAACCAGTTCAACCCGCCCCTCCAGACAAGCCCCTGTGTTTGGGTCAGAACAAAATCTGGTAAAGGTGACACCTCTAGTACTATATTTGTTATATTGATTTTGATAAAAGAAATACAAAAGAAACTTAATCATTAGCTAGTTTAATTCAATTACAAATCCAATGTTAATTTTCTGAATGTAAACAATGGCTTTCTATAGAAACAAGAACACATGTATAAAACTGACCATGTTGCTAACTTTGTTATAGGGAAGGTTCACAGTGGCAGCCAAACACCACGTTACAATTGCAGAAATCTACGAAACAGAAGCTGTTGATATTGACAAGGTATGGCTCTCATATATTAATATAACATCAGAGCTTCATGTATGTGTGTTATGTTGACTTAACAAATTAGGAAAGGTTAGTCTAGCTACAAGCCCTTGTCCCCCCACAATACACTTCTCCCAATGTGAGAATTTGTAATACCTGTGTAGTTAAGTAGTGGGAGGGGGGAGGGTCACAGGGGCTTGTAGCTAGTCTAAGATATGGTCTCTCAGAATGGTTTATTCCGATCCTAATAATCACATTTTTTACTATTTTATTTTGTAGAGTTGTACTGGTTATATTTATTTCCTTACATTCCACTTAAGAACAGAGTCAATCACAGTTAATGCAATGGATGATCTAGATGTAGCGTTACTTTGTATAAATGTAGTTCATTTGTAGTAGCCCATGCTGAGTTTAGGTTAGGGAGAGATTTAATGGTTAGAGTTGACCATTGGAGAAAATGATAGTGGTTAAATGAACCAAACTATGATCGACCCTACCTTAAATGATTGCAAAATAAATCCTGTAAGTGGAACACCTCTGTAAGTGGAACCTTGTAGGTGGAACATAGAAAGTAGAATACTGTTTAGAGGGACCAAAGGTGTTCCACTTACACAGGTTTTACTGTACTTTCTTTCTTTGTTTTGTAACCTTAATCAGCACCATAGGGGCTACAGTTAGAAATGTAATAGCCAGCTGGCCCACTAAGAATGCCACCAATCTATCGAGTCCCCATGTCCCCAGGGCATTATCACTATAGAACACACCCAGATAGATGGCAGAACCTAGAGCTGTGAATTTGGCGAAAGAATATACAGCATGGTTGATTGTCTGCCATTTTGATTCTGAACTGATTCCAAATTCTGATGGCCAGATTGTGATAGCATAGTAGATAGGTGGCAGCACGAAAACTGACATCACAAGTAGAGTGTAAAAGACCTGAAAAATAATTCAAGAACAGACTGTTATATAATTTCTAGAACAGTGAAACCTCTCCCAACTCACATATATCTATGTAAGGACAGTATATAGAGGATTCATGAATTGAAGGAAAAATAAGTTAACCTCTTGAATCCAAGGCTCTAAAATTGGATGAAACCAGAGAATTTTTCATTTTTGTCATCTTATGACATTTCACTTATACTTTTGAAAATTGAAAATTGTTCAAATAAGAGCAATTTCAGTGAAAAATTTTGTGACAGATTTTCTCGTCACTCTTGGTTTCAAGGTCATTTCTGGGGTGACAAGAAATCTCGTCACTCCAGGGTGTCAAGAGGTTGAGACTGTTATATCGAACAGAGCAAGGTCTCAACTCACTTACTAATATATCTTTGTTAAGAAGAGTATATGAAGGACTCTTGAATGGTCTATTGCTTTACAAAGCTGGCATACTTACCTGTGATTGGAAGAAGTCCACCAAAGGGTATGAAACATTGTTCTGCCAATCATTTGCATCACCTGAAAATAACACTCAATACAATAATTGTCTAATTAAGTATCCATTAAGCTAATTACAGAGAATATGGTATCTTGTGTTGATGATGTTAGCTATACGTGTGAGGTACAAAGTATTTGCTGGGTCTCGTTTCATAGAAAAAGTAGTAATGAATCATTTAAGGGAACATACCTGCGTAGAGGAACCTGTCGTAGCCAAATGACAGTATAGCAAACATACAGGTGTATGCCCCCACCCAAAGTGTATGTGCTAGCAGCTCTTGGTTCCCTTTGATACACTTGTAGGCCAACACATAGCCCAGCACACCTGCATGAAAATACAATGACATCTATAGTGCAACACAATACCCAACATACATGAAAATACAATAACTTTCAATGACTTATGGGTACATCAGTTCCAATTTAGTAATTTGTTTATAATGAAAATCCCACATTCAACATCTGTATTTGAAAATATTTGTGACTTTGAGAGATAGTCAAGAGTCCCAACAGTCTCTCATGTATATATTGTGAAAGCATTAAAAAGGCACCTGAGTAATAGATGAATGTGTACTTGCCTAGTGATATGTTTGTGTGGGCAAAGAGACACGGCCAGATCCCATGCATGTCTTTGCTATAATGCCACATCGTCTCCCATCCACAATGCTGCCACAAGAGGTAAATTCCAGATGGCGCGAAGATCATGCTGAGAAAACATACAGTGAAGACAAAATACTTGTTGACAAACATTGAGTTGCTATATTTGATTCCTTTGGGTGCACTGGCCGCGAATTGAGCCCCCATTGCAAATGACCAAAACACATCTACTTGAATCATATTGGAGGATGTAGACTGCTGCTCAAAGAGTAGTTCTATTGCTGCTCAAAGAGTAATCCTTCTGCTGCTCAAAGAGTAGTCTTTTAGCTGCTCAAAAAGTAATCCTTCTGCTTCTTAAAAAGTAATCCTACTGCTGCTCAGAGTAATCCTACTGCTGCTCAAAGAGTGGTCTTATAGCTGCTCAAAGAGTAATCGTTCTGCTTCTTAAAAGTAATCCCACTGCTGCTCAGAGTAATCCTACTAGTGTCTTTATTAAGTAACATATGTGTAACTTCACAAACTTTGTTCTCAATTTCCCATTAGTACTTGTGAAATAAGGTGTTAAAATACCAGACTAGTTTTGATGAGGCTCCTATTAATTAATTATTAATGAAAGAGATAGGGGTATCCCTGGAGTAGTAGTTCCCTTTATATTATACATCCTGTGTATTTTGATATTGTATATGATATCTTTATTTGATTTATGCTACTTTACATATTCTTGAAACAGATTGACTGGTTGACTTTTTGCAATTTACAATATCATAATACATAATCAATTTTTTGAAATCAAGATGAGACTAGCTTTTTTCAATCTCATAATCTTAAAGATTGACCTAAGAATGATTAGTGCTGCTGTCTTTAACATTGGATTAATATTGCAATAGGTCTTGTTGTATTGGTGGACTTTTGATTATTAATGTGTTTGTCCTTGCATTAGGTCTTCTTATGACATTGAACTTCTGTACTATCTCTATACTAATGTTAATGTGTAATATATTATATGATAATATACATTATACAGTTCACACATAGCAAGGGAAGGTGTGTCTGATTCCAACCAGTCCGAACACAGTATTTCATTGGATTATATAACTAATCACTGCACCCAAGGTCAATTGTTGAATGGTTGTCAAGGTGACAACTTTTTTTGACAACTTGACTACATGCATTGAAATTGATGCTTTGCTAACTTGACCCTTGCAAAAAATTTCATTGAAAAATATGTTCTTTTAGTGATTTCTTATCCAGGTCCAGGCCATAATACTGCAACAACTTACTTTCTGCAGGGTTTCAGTATTCCTCATATTCAAGAAAGCAATTTGGTATATTCGTTTGGCATACAAAGCTTATGAGTTAAAATCAATACTTTATATAATTCCTCATGTTACATCAAGTATTATTTGGTAATGTAGAACTGATCCCAATAGACCCAATCCAGTCATATCTATCATATTAGATCAGTGATCTATTTATCAACTTAAGTGAGATGGACAGCTATCAAATAATTCTAGTACTTGACTATAGCCAACTATGATCTTGGTTATATCCTTTATAATAAAAGCCTTTAGCTATGAAGTTTATATGTTAGGGGTTAGCCCTTCTAAAACCTTTTAGGCACCTTGTACTTGAAGGCTGTAGTCAAGTATGAATTTGATACTTGAAGGCTATAGCCAACTATGGACTTTATACTTACAGGCTATAGTTAACTATGAACTTTATACTTACAGGCTATAGCCAAATATGAACTTTATACTTGCAGGGTATAGCCAACTATGAACTTTATACTTGCAGGATATAGCCAAATATGACATTTATACTTGCAGGCTGTAGCTAACTATGAAATTCATACTTGCAGGCTATAGCCAAATATGACATTTATACTTGCAGGCTGTAGCTAACTATGAACTTTATACTTGCAGGCTATAGCCAAATATGAAATTTATACTTACAGGCTATAGTCAACTATGAACTTTATACTTGCAGGCTATAGTCAACTATGAAATTTATACTTGCAGGCTATAGCCAAATATGAAATTTATACTTGCAGGCTATAGCCAACTATGAACTTTATACTTGCAGGCTATAGCCAAATATGAAATTTATACTTGCAGGCTATAGCCAAATATGAAATTTATACTTACAGGCTATAGTCAACTATGAACTTTATACTTGCAGGCTATAGTCAACTATGAACTTTATACTTGCAGGCTATAGCCAAATATGAAATTTATACTTGCAGGCTATAGTCAACTATGAACTTTATACTTGCAGGCTATAGCCAAATATGAAATTTATACTTGCAGGCTGTACCTTTCTATGGACTTTATACTTGCAGGCTATAGCAAACTATAAACTTTATACTTGCAGGCTATAGCCAAATATGACATTTATACTTGCAGGCTGTAGCTAACTATGAAATTCATACTTGCAGGCTATAGCCAAATATGACATTTATACTTGCAGGCTATAGCCAAATATGAAATTTATACTTGCAGGCTGTACCTTTCTATGGACTTTATACTTGCAGGCTATAGCAAACTATAAACTTTATACTTTGGAGGCTAAAGCCGAATAAGAAATTCATACTTGAAGGCTATAGCCAATTTTAACTTTATACTTTCAGGCTATAGCCAATTATAACTTTATACTTGTAGGCTATAGCCAACTATGAACTTTATACTTGCAGGCTATAGCCAACTATAACTTTATACTTGCAGGCTATAGCCAACTATAACTTTATACTTGCAGGCTATAGCCAACTATAAACTTTATACTTGCAGGCTATAGCCAACTATAACTTTATACTTGCAGGCTATAGTCAACTATAACTTTATACTTGTAGGCTATAGTCAACTATAACTTTATACTTGCAGGCTATAGTTAACTATGAACTTTATACTTGCAGGCTATAGCCAACTATCAACTTTATACTTGCAGGCTATAGTCAACTATGAACTTTATACTTGCAGGCTATAGCCAACTATAACTTTATACTTGCAGGCTATAACCAACTATAACTTTATACTTGCAGGCTATAGCCAACTATGAACTTTATACTTGCAGGTTATAGTTAACTATGAACTTTATACTTGTAGGCTATAGCCAACTATGAACTTTATACTTGCAGGCTATAGCCAACTATGAACAAGCTGCAGACTATTACAAAGGAGAAGAGTCCAATAGGTGAGAAATATCTTATACATTTAGTTATACATATGTTTTTTTATTCTACGAGCATGTACATTAGATTCAGTTTCTTAAATGAAAATACAAGACATTCATTAATAACTGCAGTTTGAAATTTTCATACACTGGACAAAATGCAATTGAGAATTCCCTGGAATTTCTAGTATTTTATATTCTCTTAATATCTTTAACTCCCCCTCCCTTACTATGATAATATAGTTATTATGTCATCACCAGATCTGGTGACATATTGCTGTAGTCTCTAATTTTTTGTATATGATGTTTGGTGGTTGGTGTTTGGCAGTCAGTGATCGGCATCTGTAACAAAACTTTTGGAACAAATACACAAATAGGCTTAATGGTTTTAACTATGTTTTATTTTGTACTTTGTTTTAGCTCTGCGAACAAATGCTTATTAAAAGTGGCCACATTCGCTGCACAGCTTGAACAGTACAGCAAGAGTATAGAGATTTATGAACAGGTAGGTTCTGACTGTAACTCTACAGTGATCTCCCCAGCATTAAAGCAAGTGGGTGCAACACCCACATGAGATTTTGAAAATAGGCTTGCACCCACCTGAAAATCTATTTGCATCCACTTGAAAATGAGAAAAATCATGAAAAATCGGCATATTTGACCAATTATGGTCTGAATTGTGAAAATGAGAATTTTGCACCCACTTGAGAAAAAATCCTTTGGATATCACTGCTCTATGCAAATAAATGTTGGATGATGTTAGCATGCCCACAGCCAGGTTTTACTAAGGAAGGGTTCACTTTGAAAAAAAATTCAGGGGGTCTACATTTGACAACTTTGACTCAAAATCACTTGGAATCTGCTCAGAATGGTGAAAAGGTGTATGTTTTTGCCCCAAACACCCAGGGCTATGGGCCTGATAGTGTTGCATGCTATACAGATATTCCATTCTATTGCAATGAACATCTGGCTCACTTTCATTAATGAAATAAAATAGAATATTTGTTTTATTATGCAATGTTATACACCTCACTGATTGGGTCATCATCAATAACAGCAAGCTAAATATAGCTTCTGACCACAACTTATTTACTATTGGGTTATCGTTACATTTTTTTAGGTGGCAGGCAAATGCATTGACAATAACCTTCTCAGGTACAGTGCGAAGGATCATTTCTTCAGGGCCGCCCTGTGTCACATGAGTTTAGACAAACTTGATGCAAAGATTGCTTTAGACCGCTATAAAGACATGTTCCCTGCATTTGCTGATAGCAGAGAGTGTAAGCTAGTTCAGGTAGGCACCATCCTATTAAACATTATACAATTGTTGACCTCTCCAGAGGTCAACCGGCAAAATTGTATACCGAGACTGTAAACCAAGAAACTACTGTTGACAGAGACCGAAGGTCGAGGTCAACAGTAGTTTCAAGGTTTACAGTCGAGGTATATGATTTTGACGGTTGACCGAATTGAGAGGTCTACAATTGTTTTGTTAGTCCGAAGAAACTAATAATACACATATAGACGAAAATCATCAATCGGCATGGCTTCATTTCACAATCTTTTCTCAGAACCACGTCAGCAATGCGTACTCATAAGTAAATTAATGTCAATTTTACGTTTTTTATTTGTATTTATGCAATACTTGTCATCTAGTAAAATCAAATATCACTTTCATCAACGTTTACAAAATGTCCATCTACCATGTTTTTTCTGTAAACATTATGACGTCATAAAACTTATTTTTCAAAAGTTTCGGTCAACAGTACATATTGTTGACTGCTAATCAACCAATCAGAATCTAGTATTTCAGTTGAGGTACTAACAAAATCATTCACAAATGGGTTGCATGGAAAATGTGCAAGCAATATTTTATATGCACCAACAGTTACACAGGTATCTCCTTATAATGCCATTTGGGAAGGTGTTTATCATGAAATTTGGGTTTCATCAATGAGTTGTATACAACAGCGAGTGTGTGAGGGTCTAGATAGCCATATATGTAAACTGCTCATTTCATGGAAAGTTTGTCCCAATTACTTTTTACCACTTCCAGAAAAATGCAAAATATGCTACCTCAGAATGAAGATAAATTGTCCTTTTTCTATTATTTTTATGTCACCAACAGAAGTGAAGACATATTTTTATAGTCTCCAACTTTTTTGTGGACATATTTGGCAGTTGGTGTTTCATGGTTGGTGTTAGGCATCTGTAACAAATGGCAGGTGATATCTCTAATTAAAAAGTATATATTGTAAGTAATGAAAATATGTTTATTCCAGACCCTACTAGCTGCATGTGAAGATGAGAATGTAGATGCATTCACAGATGCAGTTAAAGAATATGACTCAATCTCTCGGCTAGACCAGTGGCTGACTACCATGTTATTAAGGATTAAGAAAACTATCGAAGGAGAAGGAGACTTACGATAGACTTTATCACTGTTATGTAGTCATAGAAATATTATAAAGGCATTATTATTGTAAAAATTTTAATCTATAAATATGATTGTGAATGTTATATGGTATTGTACAGTTTTACATTACACTTTTTTGTTGCCTGTTTTTCGGTTAGATCAAGATTCATTTCATATCTGCAATCATAATGTTGACTTATACTCAACAGACCTTTGCTAAATTGCTTTGAAATTTGGTTGGTTGATGTTCCTTTTGAACATGGCTTATAATAAGCATTGTGAAAATAAGGACTACTCTTGTTTTATGATTATTATTAGTATATTGGAAAAGGCTGGTGTATTTTGCTTGATTGTTTTTCTAAATCTATGTAGTCTACAGGGTGGGCCAAAGTTGACAAAATAGGTTTGATGAGTGTCAAGTCTTGCATGAAAAAACTTTATCATTTGTCAATTGATTATTTGAAATTGAAAACATTCATGAGCCTAAAAGAGCTGCCATTTATTGTATATAAACTGAACCCTGTGCAATACAATAGAATGTATAAAATATATACATTAATGTACATTTATATTATAGAAAATATATAATGTTGTAAAGTTTTTTTAAAGAGCAGTCTCAAATGTAAATCTTCACTACTTTATGCTTGAATTATTCTTTGTGTATATTAACAGGGGGGGGGGGGTATAGAGATATTGTATATGCATTTCCAAGACCCTCTATACACCCCCCCCCCATTAACATCAGTATTTGTTGTCAGATGTTAATTAGAAAATATATTACAATTTAGTATTTTGAAGTATATTGGAAAATGTTTCTGTGTATTCACAATGGAGTATCTCTAAATTGATTGAATCCTTTTCTGAGTAACACGTACACCAAACGTGTCATTAGACAGTGTGCCATGCTTATAGTATTCACATACCAAATATGAACAAAATCGCTCCATCGTATGTAACTTAGATAGGTGCAATTTGTATTTTTCTTGAGATGTTAAAGTTTGCAGAAACTGTACCGAATTTCCATTCCACATTCTAAGTATTCCAAAATAATGCACCATTTTTATCATGATGCATGTTGTCATGGCATTAGGTTTCAATGTACATAACTAGTAACTGTAACATATATGTACATGTGTTAAATCTATGATATAGCAAACAGCAATAGTGTAGTGTTGAGAGAGGTTGTAAATGAATTGGTTCAGCCCCGTAGCCAGCTTTTGTCAAGAGGGTTCACTTTTCAAAAAAAATACCAGGGGAGTTAACATTTGACCATTTTGGCCCAAAATCACTTGCATGCGCTCAGAATGGTGAAAACTGCATGATTTTGAAAAAATCGTTGGCCAAGGGGAACCACCTGGCAATGTATGATGAGAGAGAGAGAGATTGTAACTGATTCAGTAAGAGGGCACACCATTGCATTCTTGAGGACGTAACATTTTTCGGAAATAATAATCTGGGCTCTAAAATTTGATTCTTGCATTCCACAACCTGATACAGTTAGTATCATCTTCGTTCACTTAGCTCCCGTCGAACGCAGTGAAGAAGACCAGAGCGTGCGAAGATGCAGTTAGATATTGTGATCAAATTATAAAAAGTGGTATTCCCTTGAACTTAATCGAGCACACTTCAAGACTTAAGTTCTAAATTGTAGTGTGCTTGTTACTTAAGTACCAGTTTTTGTTGTGAAGAGTCACTCACTGACTAAGGCCAGTTAGGATATATCTCAACATGGGACCTCAGGAACAATAGCACAGTTAGTTGTAATGCATGTTGTCATTTGGGAGCATACACATTGAGAGTATATAGATTGTTTTAAACTGCATATAAATTCAAGAAAGAACTCGCCATCAACTTCACAATATTCAAGAACTATCAGTTACTTGTCTTCCATCTTGAAAGTGATAACTTCATGAGATTGAAAAAAGCTAAGACTTGATGACTATTTGTTAATGTATCCATGCAATTTGAATAATCATATTTATTATTGTATTGTAAATAAAATAGAGGAACATGTAAAAATCAATAAAATATAAATGTAAATGACACAGAGTTGTTTATTTTATTGAGTTGGTTAAATTGAGAAGTATATGTTTACAAATATATACATAATGTGTACATAATACACATAGTGTACATAATGTGGCCAATCTCCCATTGGCTCACACATTAAAGAAACCTTGAATATGTTTTCAAATATATTCACGGGTGCTATCCAGCCCCTGCTGACATCGTGAGCAATGAGCTCATGTTAGAAGCGGGGCCTTGAGAGATATGATAAAATTGAAATATAAAATTTTCTATGAAACTTTACTCAGTGAAACTGAGTACAACTTTTCACAGTACAATGGCTATTTCCATTGAAGGGCAACGATAACTATATTTTATCATATCTCTCAAGGCCCCGCTTCTAACATGAGCTCATTGCTCGCGTTTTACTGTGCCTGGATAGTCACCGTGATAATGTACTCAGGGTGTCCAATCTCCCATTTAATCACACATAATTGTTTAAGAAACCATGGATATTATTTTTTATGTAAATGTAAGTTGTGTTTCAAGCCCATTCTGTGCCACCCTGTAGTCACTGCATGGAAAATGGACATTTACGATTCAAGAGAATGCTTATTTTCTAGGATTAATAAAGATAAATAAAATATCATTGATAAGCATGTCTTATAGATATTCAACCTCCTAGTACTGGTCAATGTGTTTTTGAAAACAACAAAGGTATAAATATGACAAAAAAGATCTCCTACGAAAATTTACTTCAATAACATTTGTTCATTGTAAACAAAATTAATTAATTTCCAGAACCGCGATATTTGCCCCCCCACCATTTATTTGATAAAAGTTCCGATTTTTTGAAAATTAGCAAGATTTTTATTTTTTAAACAGGTATGAATTTTTAATGTCCTTGATTTTTGACTTGACAAAATCAATCATAAACAGATGAGCTTTTGTAAATAATTAAATGCATATAAAAACTTACATTGGCTGAACCACGACTCCCTTGAACTTCTCCTGTCAAACATACTAACGCAACAATTTTCATATGATATATATACAAGGCATTATATATATGTTTTTTGCTCAGATGAATTCCCCACTTGGCATAATGTCATTGTTCCATAAGGGACATGCTGTCTGCTGAATATTGGAATTTGATGGTCTACATTCAAAGATGCACTTAGTTTATTCTACGTTTTTGTTTTGATTTTATTTGCAAATATAAACTCCACAATGATGCAATTTTTAACTGAATAGTAAAACTGGGTAGAAATAAGTTATTGTTGACAAAATCGAGGGGAAAGTTGAGATGGTATGTTTAGACCTCATCATACCTCGAGCCAAAGTTGTTGATGTATTATTTTGTTGCAAATCAAATTATCTTTAAAACGATATTTTATTGTTGGTATCCTTATTTAAAAATAGATATTTATCAGGAATATTGGCTATAGTATATTTTTTTGGCCCACCCTGTACATCAAGGTTTTTTCTACATGTAAAGATGGCAGCCCTTTAATTGGAACTACACATAAACTGATGACGTCGCGACTACTACACACAGTGCTGCAGAAAAATCAGAAGGGTTTTCACCTTTCTCGTCTAATGTAAGTACTGACGGACCAGCTCTTCCTTAAATAATGTGAACAATGTTCCTGAATATCGTTATATTCTACCGAGAATACCTACAGGAAGGTATATCCTCCAAAAGTTGCAGGATTCCGTTTCTACCCATTGAAAGATTCGGTCGGCCAATGATTAGATCTAGGCCTAGCCCGTAGATTATTTTTAGAAACATAATTTTTTATATCTAACTTACTTAGATGGCTATCTCTCTGCAGAGGGATAGCCATCTATCTAAAAGATGGCCTGATGATGTGCAAATAAAGTAAGATCTAACGTCCCCCATAAATATGGGTTCGGTTTGATTTTTTAAAATTTTTGACTTTGATAAGGCAAACCTCACCCACAGCTGAGACCTATTTGAAATTGTGTAATTGGATAGATTGATGATTTGAAGATTAAAACCAGGACTAAAGTTTAATTTTTTATTTCGGAAACCAGTTGATATGGTTAGAATAAGGAAATGTGTGATGTACCCACGTACCTTCTTACAGTGCTGATATATAATAATTAAGGGTGCGTTTTCAAACTAAACAGAGTGCTCCTACCAAAATGAATTTGCCTACATACCCCTGAGACTCTTATCTGATAGATAGAATGCACAAATAAAACAAAAGTTTTGCTATTATAGGTAAAAAGTTCTCTTGAAATTTCGAAGTGATTTTACCTGTTAATTCTGTCCATGGTCAGCCATTTTTGCGGAAGTTACACTGAAACGGAAACTCCATGAAACGAAACGAAATCACTAGAAAAAATATGGCACACATTGTGCGCATGTGCAGCAAAGTTTAAACCAATCATATTATTTGATTTTTTGCGCACGTGAATTATTTGCTTCTGAGCACTTACAAGCTTACCACAATAAACAAACCTGGCAGAGACTACCCTTAGCCTACTTCATTTTGGGGAAATTTCAGCTCAAACTCGTGACAAATGCATAATGCATACGCTGGTGTGAAGCCTTGGAGACACTTATTTTGGTAAATATGATTTATGGTGTATACTTTTCTGCAGTTTGTGGGAGTTTGGGACATTAAATGTTAAAATTCAAGAAAATATGCCAATTAAACGACTGATCAATTAATATATACCAGCACTGTACCAGTATGTTCTATGTCTTCATCGGACTATGTTACATTGTGAAACTCAGTTTATTTGCATCAGTATTAACATGCGGTTTTATTTCAGAGTGCATCATGGGTAAAAAGAATCGCAAAGCGAGAGCGTCAGCTACAGAGACAGAGGGAAGTTTCACAAAGACACAAAAGAGAGACATGATGGTTCTTGTTCACCAGCTCTTAGATAGTAAGTTTGACCAAAACATTTTAATCTAAATTAATTTGTGGTTTTAAACTTTTCGTTCTCATTTTTTAAAACCTTCTTGTTTTACAGCAGCATGTGACTACATGTATATTCTTGATGCCCATGTCAGATTTTCATTCTTGAAGTGCTATATTGTCATTTTTTGATGATGAACATGCACCCATGCATATGAACATGCGCCTATGCATATGAACATGCACCCATGCATATGAACATGCGCCTATACATATGAACATGCAACTATGCATATGAACATGCACCTTTGCATGTGTCTGTTTGGGGCACCACATAAATCTTGTCGTCTAAATTCCAAGAAAATTGCTTATCGCTGTCCAACTTGAGATTTTTATAGATGCAAGAGCAGACTTTTTTATATTGATTACCGTGTCTTGTTTGTGACGCTTAAATAGTCAGTAACAACATGTAAAGAAAAACAAAAGAAAATTCAACAATCTTCAAGATTTATTTTTCATGAGAAAGCTTACAAATGAAACACTAAATGGATAATGCATGGCAACTTGAATTTGTATTTCTTTTATGATTAGAATGTCGACGTCCCCCAAGTACAAGTGCTGGGAAGCTCTGGGAAGAACACATGGAAATAAGGGAAATTGTGGAGAAACTCCGTAAAATGCAAGAAGGTATGTTTACCATTATATCAGGTGGATATCTATATCTCTCTGAACTAACTAATGAGCTGTATAAGCAAATAATAAGATTTACAAGACTGAATGCATTATGTTGGAACATCCATGTACCCATCTAAAATGATGCCGCATTTTCCATCCACATCTGGCGATAGTCACTCCTTAAATTCATTCAAAACTTAGAATGTAAAGGGTTGCAAAGATTGTTGCTAATATTTTTGTATGCAACTTTTACATGACATACTCGTATGTATAACATTTTTCAGGATTCACACTAAATCATTACAATCGTGCGGATCACTTCAAAGGTTTCATGACCTGGGTGGAGCAGCATGGGGTTGACACGAGCAATGTAGAGGTTTATAACTTTCCAGAAACTGGATATGGACTGAGAGCTACTAAGGATATACCAGTAAGAATTATTTTTGAACACCTGAATTAAAGGTAGAATAGATATTATTACCACCTCTTGAGGGCTGTTCTAGAAGATCAGAATGCAATTTTTCTTCTTTTTTTCAAAAATAACTTGATGGCACGTCGTAGTGGAATACTTGTACAGTTAGAATAACATCAGGATTTGGGAAATGTTTATAACAAAATAGCTACCAATTTTACCTCTATCTTATTAAGTCTCAAACTGTAGTGTTAATGTTAACATTTGCTTTTCAGATGGATTCCCCATTTTTAACTGTCCCTAGGAAGCTGATGATGACTGTGGCTTCTGCTAAGGATTCTATCATAGGTGAGCCAATAACATTTACCATTGAGTTAAGGACTCTGTAAGGACTCAGGTCAGTTGAGCAGCGTGTGTGTGTGTAAAAAATGTCCGTTGTGCTTCCTCTGGTGTGTTCGGGCATGAACATCAGCTGCCTCTAGTCAGATCAACTGACAAAACAACCTTTATTGGGGTTGTCAAGTTGGCTGAGAGGGCTTGGAGCCGGCACGTTCGAGCTAGGCGATTGGGCGCCGTAACCACGAGGTTGCGAGTTAGAGACATGTGTGCTCCTTGTGTTTATTCATTCATACATAAGTGAGTGAAGAACTTTCACTATTAAACACCCTATGCAGACAGAGCCTGTGGGAAATATTGGGTGCGGAGCAAATGAGCGGAGGGTGCGGAGCTGACGGTTATTTTTGAATTTAAATTTGGGATATTTCTGAAACTAAGCCGTTTTGGGACTTCAAATATACCAAGATATGTGTATTTGACACCAAATATCAATACAATTGTGAAAATAGTAGCGCAATTCATTCTATAGCGACGCAGTGTGCCTTAAACCTTTCCCAGACCTATATATTTTGAAATTATCCTTTTAATACTGAGTCCCCAGCATTCATAAAAAATGGTGTTCAAGGTGCACTATCTATACAAATTATTTTTGCATCTTGGAAGCCAGGCAGTATCTGTGTGATTTTATAAAAATTCGGAAATTTTTTCAGATAGATTTAGATTTTAGATTTATGAACTTTATTACACATCCATACCCATAAAAGGTTAAGTGTACACAAAGTAAACACTAATTTTACAATATATCAATACAACAGAAAACAGTATATATAACAACACACAAAATTAACACTTCATAATAAATAAATAATTAAATAAATGAACAAATAAATATGCATCATGGATAAGCACATGAATGGTGATTGTGATACGCGTCCATTGTTTATGGATATGAGCCCCCTCTAAATATTGGGTGCGGAGCAGCTCCATAAACGTAGCTCCGCACCCAATATTTAGAGGGGCTCATATCTGAAGAACATTTCCGAATTTTTATAAAATCACACAGATACTGCCTGGCTTTCAAGATGCAAAAATAATTTGCATGGGTAGTGTATCTTGAACACCATTTTTTATGAATGCTGGGGACGCAGTATTAAAAGGATAGTCTCAAAATATATAGGTCTGGGAAATGTTTAAGGCATACTGCGTCGCTATAAAATGAATTGCACTACTATTTTCACAATTTTATTGATATTTGGTGTCAAATACACATATCTTGGTATATTTGAAGTCCCAAAACGGCTTAGTTTCAGAAATATCCCAATTTTAAATTCAAAAATGACCGTTAGCTCCGCACCCTCCGCTCATTTGCGCCGCACCCAATATTTCCCACAGGCTCTGTCTGCATAGGGTGTTAAAGGTATATTCCTTCCCAGACCATCTCTCTCTTAATATGGTACCTATAACCACATATTTATTTTCCATATTTAGCAAAACATGGAAAAATGTTTTGATATGACCAAAATTGATCAATTAAAAATGGAGTGCTCAATTCCAGTAGGCTGCCATCTTTTAAGTGATGTCATTGACTCTCAACTTTGCATATAGCATTATAGAAGCTATAAGAATTACAAAACCGTCTGAATGTTCTTTTTCAATTTTTTTATGATTTAATCCATCTAAAAGTATTTTTTTATTCTAAGCTGACAAGCTCTGAAAATATTTTTGCGCATAAAGTAAGGACCACTTGTCTAGAAGTGATTTTGTGCTACTTTCCTTTACTGTTATACTAGGTGAGGTTATGAAAGTTGAGAGTCAATGACATCACTTCCTGAGTGAAATCTTAAAAGATGACAGGTTACTGGAAATGAGCACCTTATTTTTAAATGATCAATATTGACTATATTAAAACAATTGCCCGTGTTTTGCTAAATATTGAAGGTAAATAATGATTATAGCTATCATATCAGGATAAAAATGGTCTGGTCAGGAATGTCCCTTTAAGCAAAGGACTGTCATAGGTGAGCCAATAGCATTCGCTATAAAACTAAGGACTCTTATCATATAGATCAGAGTAATAAAATCCTATTTACCCCATAAAGCATTTCTTTTATGAAATAAGGTTCTAAAAATGCTGAATTTTGATTATCTGTATTTTACTTTGTAGGTCCATTTGTAGAGCAGGACCAGATTCTTCAGGCCATGCCTAATGTCGTCATAGCATTGCATCTTCTCTGTGAACGACTACTGCCATCAGCCTTTTGGGAGCCATACATTAGTATCCTTTAATCTTCTAACAACTGCTGCTCAGCATTATGCTCACTACTTCTACATATAACAGGTTAACCTCTTAAATACCAGAGGATTTTCATTTTTTCCTGTTTTTGCCATATTTCTTTCTTACTCTACAATGTTTGATGTTCATCTTGGTAATATTGCTAGAAAATACACTTACATGTATTTTAATACATCTTTGTCAAAGTTAAAGCCAATTAGTGAGATTTTCTGTGACTGATATATCCACCACATTTTTGCATTCAAGGGGTTAATGTATCTGTCACTCTTTGTATTCAAAGGGTTAACAAATAGGTTGTAGTGTGCGCCAAAACTCCAGAAAATCCCATTAACTGATGTTGAGGTAGGTTACTATGATTTGACCCATAGACTTTATATATTGGTTCATTGACTATTCATTTTTACTTGTCTGCACTCAAAAAAGTGACACGAAAGGGCTAAACGGCTTGCCCCAAGGTGCAACCGTCAAAAAGATGAGTTTGACAAAAACCTTTTTTTTCAAATAATAGCAGCGAGTATATGAAATAGGAGGCAAATTTGATATTGATATGTATGATAGTCCATTTGGGTGTGGTCATTTTTATTAAAAACAATAATATTGAAGAATTATACATTTCTGACCTTAAAATGCCATTTTAATGCAAAATTCACTGTTGCTAATGATAGTATTCCTATTTTACCTATTCAATGTTTTCTATATATTACACTTACCATTATATTCATTTTTGGCAAAGTAAATAATTATAGGGCTCACACAAGGATCCACTTTATATACAACTTTTTCATATTTAGTGATGTTTTGAAAAATTACTACGTTTAACAGAAAATTATTTGTTAAATGTTAAACAAAATAATGATTATGTGTTTGTTTCGTTGTTTCAACTGAAAAATCACAATTCATTGCTCTTGATCTTAGAGCGGCAGGGCATATACCAGTATGACCAATCTTCAATACAGTCGATCCTTGTGTGATCCCTACTATTATTTACTTTGCCAAAAACTAATATAATGGTTATTCGGATATATGAAAATCATTTGATAGTCAAAATAAGAAAAATATTTATTGACTTTTGAGTAAAAAAGCATTATATAGTCAGAAGTACCAAATTGTATCATAACAATATCAAAACAATATCGCTCCATGTTTTCTTTTTAATGGAATTGTAGCGTGGCTGCTAGTTCAGGAAGTAGAGCATCAGAATCTAGACTAGAAGGTACTAGGTTTTGTTCCGACACAGAGCATTAACACGCAACTCCCCGAAGGAACCCTCAGGTCCTTACAGAGTGCCATATTTGAATATTAAAGCAAATAGACGATTTTGCCACCCTCCCGCCATATTCTTGTGTATCTTTAATAATACTAGCAATCTACTGTTCGGGTCGGTCACAGCAGCCCCACATGGCCTTAAAAATAATTGCAAATATCTGGCTATTGACTTGTGACCTTTTCTGATGCATGGGATGAACTAGCCCAAATGCCTTAAAAGGCTTAATACCTAGATATTGAATTTTGACCTTGAATTGACATGACCCATCAGTAATGACTTTGACCCCAAGTCGCCTAGTAATGAGTCACCAAGCGTCACAGCATCCCCCGAGTGCCTTGAAACACCAATACCTAGATATTGACCTTGACCTTGAGATGATCTCGAATTGAACCATTAAATGATGACTGACCTCGTGTCACCTTATCATGAGTCGCCAAGGGCCACATCATGCCAGCAGCCCCTGTGGTCTTAAAACGCCAAACACTAAATTTTCTGAAATTTGACCTTAGATTGACCTTGACCTCAGAACACGTTTCAATGGAGTCAAGTGCAGCAGCCGCCCCAAAATGCCAAATATTTAGATATTGATCTTTGACCTTGACCTATAACAATGACACTGATCTCAGGTCACTTCATCATTGGTGATCAAATGTCAGTGTACCCCCAAACGAGCCAACTACCAAGATATTGACCTCATGTCACCTTAGCATGAGTTGTCAAGGGTTATAGCAGCCCCCGGGGCCTCAAAATGCCAAATACAGAGATTTTGACCTTGTAGGAATGACCTTGACCTCAGAACACATATCAATGGGTCCTCACATGAAGCAGCATCCCCAAAATGCCAAATATTCAGATATTGACCTCTGACCTTGAGATGACCTTGACCCATAAACAGTGACATTGACCGCATGTCACTTTATCTTTGGTGATCAAATGTTACTGAAGACCCACAGTAGCCAACTACCTATGACCTAGATATTGACCTTTGACCTTGAAATCACCTTATCATTGGTCGCCAAAGGTCACAATTGTTCTCTCGTCAACTTGCTAGATATTGACCTTTGACCTTGAAATTTCCTTGATCCATTCAGACCTTGACTTCAGGTCACCTAATCATTGGTTGTGGAGGGTCAAATCAACGGCCAGGTGTCTTAAAAAGCCAACTACCTAAATATTGACATTTACCTTGAAATGACCTTGACTTTTTTAGAATACACTTTTTATGAACAAAAATGAAACATTCAAAGTTGAAAACTGACCGTTTCAAAATAAAATTGCTACTAATGTTTCAAAACGAAGGTATCTGTATTGTAAAAGTAATGTTCAAATTGAATAAACTCAAAGAAATATACTTCAATTATCTAATTCTCTATCAGACTTAGTAAAATTGTAACTGTTCTAAATGTAAATGTTGCAATGAAAGCTCACATATATCTTGTTGCATATCAGTCTAGTGCAGCTGCTACAGGTATCACTCTGACAAACATCGGTGAACAAATCAAACTTGATGTGATGCAAATCGGTATCTTTTAATTTGGCGTCCAAGCAGAATTTTGTACAAATAATAATGGAATTGTCAAAAGTTGCATTTATAAAATCAATTCCTGCCTCATCACTGTTACACCCATTACTACAAGATGTCTCGACTAGATCACTGTCTGCAAGCTAAAAAGTATCAAAATCACTGCTTGCTTTATCACAATAAACTTTTGTTACAAATAATTTTTAGTAAAATGCAAATAGAAGGCCCATTTGATATTAATATGGAAAGATAATCCACTTTGGTGTGGTAATTTCACTGCAACAACTACATATATATGTAAATGTATAATGAATTTTTATTCAAAAGTCAATCATTTTATTCCTATTTAACCTATTAAAGGATTTTTATTTATCTGAATAATCGTTATATTCATTTTTTGGCAAATTAAATGATCATAGGGCTCATACAAGGATCAACTTTATTGAAGACTTTTTGTACTGGTATATGCCCTGCAGCTCTAAGAGCAAGAGCAATGAATTGCGATTTTTAGTTGAAACAATGAAACAAACACAATGCCATCATTTTATTTAATATTTAACAAATAAAATTGTGTTAAACTTAGTATTTTTTTTAAATCATCACTAAATATAAAAATGTTGTAAATAAAGTGGATCCTTGTGTGACCCCTATAATTATTTACTTAGCCAAAAACTAACATAATGGTAATTGAAACATTTAGAAAACATTGAATAAGTAAAATAGGAATACTATCATTAGCAACAGTGACTTTTGAATTAAAATGGCATTTCAAGGTCAGCAATATATAATTCTTCACCATTATTGTTTTTAATAAAAATGACCACACCCAAATAGACTATCATACATATCAATATCAAATATGCCTCCTATTTCATATACTCACTGCTATCATTTGAAAGACATGATTTTTTTCAAACTCATATTTTTGACGGTTGCACCTTGGGGCAAGCCGTTTAGCCCTTTCGTGTCACCTTTTTAACTGCAGACAAGTGAAAATGAAAAGTCAATGAACCAATCTATAATGACTATGGGCCACTTCTTAGTAATCTACCTCAACATCGGTTTAGACTAACTAAGGCACTTTGGAAGCGATTTGGCGCATACTATTGTGGTAAAATAGAGAATTTAATGAAAATGCCCAGCTTCCTTTGTCTAGATTGTAGAATTTCTCTCTTTGAACCTCTATTAGATTTTCTAGCCTGAGACAAAATGAATTCTGATCTTGTGATTGTTCTTCAAATTCCGAAATGAGATATCTGACAAAGAGATCAACATTGATGCAGGGCTCTCACCAGGAAATATTTAGGGTGTGGGTGTGTCTTCAACATTACCGTTTAACCGTGATAAATCATATTTATGTTATATTTTATCCTTTTTACATGCTATTATTGTATATTCAGTCAAGTTTAGACTATGGAGACAATCATGATTTGCCAGTAGGGTATGGTGGGAGCTAAATAGAGCGTGGTGCTGCGCCACAGTCTAAAAGCCTCGCGAGAGCCCTGTGATGTCTATATATTAAGCCTTCCTAGTAAGAAATTCCTTCCTTAACCCCATGAAGAAATCCTCCCAGATTGTTTTAGTACACCACTGTACTTTACCACAGAAGACATGAAGGAGTTAAAAGGATCCCCAGCTTTAAGTAAGTAGATGTGGAAATGAAAGAGTTAAAGGGTTTAACTAAGCTTGTATTCACAAATGCAACTTTGGCTGTTATTTGGCTGTTACTCGTTTAAATATGAATGGAATAGTGGCAGGTACTATTCATATTTAAACAGTTGCTCATAAAAAAGTAGGTTAATCCGGTAGCTGACAGCTCTTATTTGCACTCGCGAAAACAAGCTTAAAGCATAATATTCATTTAAAGTATATTTTGATACAATCATGTTTTAAAAGATGTATATACAGGTAGAATGGATAGCTAAAGATACTTACATTTATATGCATTAAACTCATCCATTTCTGTATTACATTGCATGAAGTGGAAGACCCCCTTTTGGGGAAATTATCCACGAATAGGAATTCACAAAATGAATTGATTTAAAGTCATCCACTCTATGAGGAACTATTGATGGAGAGTAAGAGTTCACACTTAATGTCCATGGAGGTTTTTTTCAAGATACATTAAATAACATTTTGATACCTTAAGTTAAGTAAAAAAGAAAGGTCTTGAGTTTCTACAGACTATAATTTATAGCATAGTCTTACAAAGTACTTTCTAAGGATAGATGTCAGTATTATCTACCCAACAAAATATCCAATCAATATTTAAGTTTCATTTGTATTTCACTGCATCAACCATTTCCATATTGCCAAAAATATTTTCATAGGCAGATACGAGAATCTCCCCTGAAAGTGAATAATTAAATCTTTTATTTATTTAACAAAATGTGTACAACAATGACACACAAAAATATGTACATCATTGATTCTATTCCAAAATGTATTGTTAAAGCCACTCTTTTTGTGACTTGTGGTTGATGTTTGCATCTGTAACAAATTTGTAATTTTGTAACCATTGCTGAGATATTATATTTTCTCATGTATGTCTTCTTTTCTGTAAAATCTACCATACATAGGCAGTGCAGAGACTTGTTACAATACGTATATGTATTCTAGATGAGTCAGTACAGATTCCTGTACATATATGTATTGTATATGTATATTGTATTTGTTCTGAATTTGTAGATGATGCCATGAGTCAGTACAGGAACATAGCCAGGCAATATGCATACTTCTTCAAGGAGTTCCAGGTAAAAATTTCTTAGTTGACACATAACAGGAATGTTAATATTTTAATTATACGAGGGTTGATCATAAAGTTCTCATAATATCTCTCTAATTTCTTTATTTTTCAATATATTCTTAGACTAATGGAATTTTCACAGAATGTGCAGCAAAGAATGCCTTATTAGTTCAGCAAAAAATATTGAGTTTAACAGAAATATTAAATAAGAAATGGTTGCCATAGTAACGGGTAAATAGTAGTAAATCAAGGCACCTGGGGCAGAATATTTGATGCCTATTAACATTATTACTTCTCCATGAATTGAAGTACAGCCCATCTCTGTAGTGAACACCTTCCAACACTGAAAATTTTTTCTCAACAATAGATACTGTACAGGGTGTTTCAAAAAAGGAAACCAAGATTAAATTCCTAATTTCTCAAAGATGAATAATGCTAGGGAAAATCCGCAGGTATGACTTGTACATAGGTATAATAGAATTATATTATTCATATTTCCAGACCAGCTCTGAAGCCATGAAACTTCCTATGAAGAACAGTTTCTGCTTTGATGACTACAGGTGAGCGTATGCTTCATTATCATTGATCAATCAAGGGTTCATAATAGGGGATTAAGTTATATGTATTCCATACTGACTGAGGTCCTCAATACATAATGTTGGAATACAGGGTGACCCAATAAAAACAGACCCCTGTTAAAGTGTAATAATCTTTTCTTAAATATCTTTCCTATGAATCCAATTTTTTATGTGCATAAACTAGGATCTATGGATGCCATTGCATTACATGTGATTTCAAAGGCAAATGTTAAATAATGAGTTGAAAGAGGAAGAAAGGAGCACTGTTAAACACCTGAAAGGAAAAAAATGATCAGCTTTCACCTACGTAGGGAGGTCTCTAAGAATGGGGGTATGAGAAGACCCGAAAGCACTGCTTGTGATGCATTGAACGCAGTTCCAAAATATCGCTCAGAAGGCGTAACTAAACCTAAAGATGATTTAAAGTTTATTGTAAGGCTTCCTCATTAATGATCTCACCCTCTTTACTCACAAAATGCAGCTTAACAAGAATGTGATGGGTTTAAACAAACAATGTGTAACATTTAGGTTGGCATGAAAATCTTTCATTTACTTTTCTTTCAAAAGTGGGCACATTTTTTAAATGGCCATAACAAGAATGATATTGAATGTTATGTAACAAATTTGGTCTCAGATTGTCATCCATTTTCTGTACATGAAAAAGGAAGCTGATTTACATTTGCATTTAAGAATTTATTTCATTTTTGGAGGGTTCTGTTTTTGGGGTCACCCTGTATATAGTGGGAGCAGGACGGATATTTCTGTATTTATTCCCAATGGTAATACACATATTTCTTTTGGGATAAGCCCTATATCCAAAACCTCCCAGTACATAACCCTTATATTTGTATATTTAGATAACATCTCGAGAATCAACTATTTCCTTGTGTTAACTCGTTAAATGTGTATGCCATCCTCACGTCCTGATTTGTAACATGTCCGCATTCGATTAGCAACCTTGAATATTAACTTTCAATGAAGGATCTCATAAGTCATTTTTCAAGATCAACATCAGGTAATTAACTTAAAAAGTAAAATTAGTACTTCATACATGAGGTGCGTTTAAAATATTAGCCATTTCGTTTAATGTGTATCAACTTCTTTACTTGTGACCCTTGATGAAAACTGGTTAAATCATCCCGACATCCTATGTAACATTTACGCATTGGATTAGCAACCTTGAATATTAATTTTCAAGTTGATAAAGAAGGATCTCATTTGTCATATTTTCAAGATCAATGTCAACTCTTATTTAAAAAAAGTAAAAAATAACAAGCCTTGATTTAAATTGGCCATGTCATCCTAATAATTATGTAACATTTGTATATAGGATAAAGAACCTAGAATATTTTTTATTTTCAATGTTATCATGAACAGCCTTGTTTATTACATTTTTTAATAAGGATCAATGTCAAGTGTAAACCTCTTAAAAGTGAAAATGAGTAAGCCATAAACAAGCTGCATTCAAATTATCAGCCATTTGATGAAATGTATCCGTTTAAGGCATCACACATTTGTGTAGGTGAGCTTGTTTATCAAAGGTTTTATGAATACTCGCTCAAAATAATATATTAGAAATTATAGCGCAGTTAACTGGAATTGAATGCATGCCTCCCAGTCTATAGCTTAAATTCATTCATTCAATGTAACGGACAATTCATGAACTGTTCATGAATAAAACTTTTTTTGGAATTCCTTTGGTAATTAGCATAAGGAAAAAGCTGTGAGCTATGGTCCCGTCTCTGCTGCATAAATAGCTCACTCCATTTAATATTAAGTTATCTGAAATAGGATGCTTTAAGTACTGTAATAGGATGTATGTAATTCCTATTTTGAAAATTATTACCATAGGTACAGACAGGAGACAGGCTGCAGAGGATATGGGGGGGGGGGGGGGGGGTAGGATGGATGACTATAATCAATTCATTTTGTAAATTCCTATTTGTTGATAATATCCCCAAAAGGGGATCTTCAACTTCATGTAATATCATTTGTATAATATTCTTTAAGGAAATAAGGTATGGCCCTTTTGTCCCACCCTGTACATGAACATTTAATGTAACAGAAATACAAGGGTTGTTCAATAAATACCAATACTGTCTTATTTCCATATTATTGAGCCATCAAGGTGAGATGTTCAGAGATCAAAGTCAATACTGCATAAACAGAATGAGGTTATTCTTTATTAATATTTACTGTAAACTAAGTAAAGTTACAGTAAATTGAATATCAACGGGTGATCAATAAGTAATATGGATAAGGGTACAAAGAGCAGATCTTTCTTTTGGGTAGTTGTTGTTAATGCTTCTCGAAATAAAGTTATATTAGTCCAAATCTATTTCAAAGTACAGTAAAACCTGTGTGCATTGAACACCTGTATTCAGTAAAGGTAGATGTTCACTCCAGAGACAATTTTATACAGAACTTAGTGGAGTTATGTACTGAGAAGAGCTGCTCACTAGACACAGGTGTTCACTAGACACCGGTGTTCACTGGACACAGGTGTTCACTTGAAGAGAGAGGTGATCACTAAATTTCACTGTATACAACATTTTTGCTATTTTGTGTGACAGCGGTGGCGAATAAATGACAAAAATTACGTAAAAGTATTAGAAGAGTAAATTTATTGGTCTGATCCCAATATTAGAACCATAATGATGAGATATGCGCCTCTGATGAAGACATTGACATGGATTACAACTATAATACCTTATTTTTAGTAACGTATGAATAAAAAATGACATTATATAATGAGTAGAACATGACTATGCCTCAATTGCTATGATATATGAAGAACAATATGACTTTGCCTTGATCAACTGTCAATGTGCTCTTGAAATTTTGACAAAAAATTAGCCCTTAATGTGGTTCGTTCACTTAATGAGCAAAAATACTGATGGCGTCTTTTGCTTTTACTGCTTGCTGCATGGCATCATTGTGCAAATTGACTCGATTCCCTGTTATGTACAAACACAGTGTAAGGTTACAAAGATCATTGTACACTAAACAAGAAATAAGAACTGATAACTGTTATGACATCATTTCCCCAGAATTCTTTCCGAGATTTCTGAGGGAGGGGGGTATGAGGCCAACCCCCTCATCTGACGGGCTTGAAAAATTTATGAACATATTAATACAGCTTGCCATGTACAAAAGAGATGGTAATTCTTATAGCCACCATTTTTCTGTGACCAACAATTAGCGTCGGTATTTATGGTTTGTGGTTGGTGTCTTTGACAATTTTTATACATTTGTAATCATTTTGTAAAGATGCTTTGCCGATTTTGATATCTAAATATACAGATACAGGGGAATACCAAAACTAATTCATAATTTATTTTCTTAATCCCAAAAAGAACTTATTTTTCGCTGCATAATACAAAAATCCTTTGAACATTCTCAAAGCTCTTTCAATTGCCAAAGCACCTAGATATTACATCCTGAGATCTTTCATATCCTCTTACTTAATATCAGTAATGAATGTTTCAAGGTTAATGTCTAAATCACCTTAGCAAATATTTTCAGATCAACTTTATAAGTACATTTAGAAAAGTGGGAAGTAGATAGCCTAATGACGTATAATATTTCCCAGTCAATCTAATTAGTATCTGATATACAGGGTGTCAAATAAGTCCTGTTCACCCCGCTACAGCCAAAACCTAATAGTATGTGATACCTAGTGTGATATATTATTGAAAAGTTCATCCAATGTTTTGTTGATTTGCCTATTATATCTGATACCTGTCAATCAATGTCACAAATTGCTACATTTTATCAATTGAAGTTACCATATACCATAGACCTAAAACATGGCATTTGGTATACAGATGTAATTGGAAGAATTTTAAAAATCAGACATCAGAAAAGTCAAAGGAACTCAAGATGATAAATAGTATGTATATGGCAGTGACTTTAACCATTTGTGGACAGGCTAGATGTGTAGCATAAAGAGGGGCAAGAGATTATGGCCAGGAGTTTCATTAGCATGAGGCAACAGGCTATTTTCTCCGGTTGTTTTCCCAGAATCCCCCGTTGTTTTTAAGGACTTTTCAACTTTTCCTTGTTAAATTTATGATTTCCACCAACATATGAGATTCATGATATCGAATAGCCAATTGTATTTTATTTGAAATGCACGGGGATTTAACATGCCTAATGTTTTACAGACAATTTTGCTTTTAGCTCACATGGTGAGCTATTGTAAGTTAATGATAAATCTTTAAGGTTGCCAATTTTGCTTTTTGATCACACTGTATATTCCGGTCTCATAATTATATCATTTGCCCTAGGATCTAAGTGATATATTCCCACATGGCTTGCAATGTGCTATGTTCACCATTAGTACTCACAATAGACATTGATTGATCATACTAGCTATGCTTTTAATGTATTTTCTTCGAAGTCATATCTACATTTCCTGTGATGTCATGTCTAACGCATAAATCAAAGCATTTTTTTAATATGTCAGCAACATAATCGCAAAACATTTTATCTTAAATCGAAAAAGCATATATCCTGTTCATGTTCATGTTCATGTCTATAATTTTGTTTGACGTTAGGGGTCACAAAATTCTAATGTAATCAATTTATTTAACTCACAGCTAGAGTAGCAAAAAAGAATTTTTGAAATTCAGCTGCCTATGGCAATTAAGGGAATTAACTACCATGCATGGTGTGTTTTCATGTTTATGTTACTTCAAAATTAATAAGAAATACACCTCAAGTCCTTAACCCATTTGTTTAATTAATCTGTAAAAATAGGATCAAATCCAATGCCTAGGGCTGATGTGAAAAAGTCACTCCACCCTGGTGGGAATGGAACACACAACCTCCTGATTACATTTGAAATATGCATTTTTGCCAAATGAAATCTGATATTTGTCTTAGATAATGTTCATATCCATTGTATTGGCTCCATACTGGTAATCATTAATAGCACCTGTTATTATTTTACTTCGTTTTTGAGGAATTGGCTTTTTAATTGTCATCAAATATCACATTTCGCATACATGTGTCAGTTTCCAAGTCAGTCATATGGATAAACACGAGTGCTTATCAATACTAGCTATAAGCAACAATCAGTTGATGATCAGTTGCTCTTTGATTTTGTGGGCGACACAAAGTTTTTTGCCCATGGTACAACTTTATCATAGCCATGTGTAATGGTTTTAAGGTGATTATTTCACATAATTCTGATTTATTAGCTTTTGTGATATTTTGACCTTTGTTTTTTAAACTTTTTATTGTTCCTCAAAGCCATTGTACATATTGATGTATTATATCATGTATAGATAAGGCCCATAAGGAATCCTTAATGTCCCACGTAACTGTTGCAAATTGTGCAAATTGGCTTTGAATCTTATCTGCAAATAGCTTTATTCACTACGCTTTTAGATAAATCCAAAGATGAAGTGACATTTGGTAAATAACCTGGATGATCATTAATTCTTGTAAATCAAAGCCTCTGACACCTTAGCCCACATTCAGAATCCATCTAAGGAAAATACATGATATAGAAAATCTACAGCAAATCATAACGTTTTGGTAAATATCTCGAACATATTGTATTGTCACCCTTATATGACTGCCTGTCAGCTGCATCATTTGATGTCAGTACTTGCATGTACCAGTTGGTGACATTTTGGTTTGATCGTATAAAGCTAGCCATACACAAATGGTGGGACATGATCAGACATCAAGGGAGCTAAAGTGTAAAATATTTTCATTTGAAATGAGAGGAAAAGTTCAAACGTTTCCATGAGACATCAGGGGACATAGAGAGTTTAAGCTAGCAATATTTTTCACAACGTAACTGTGAACACAAAGCCAATGAATCAATATAGTAATGTATATAGCGCACATACAAAACAGCGCTACTTAGTCGACTCCAAATACCCGATCCGCTTCAGAGCTGTGTTTAGAACGGGAGATTTGCAATTTCGTGTTTGTGCCAACAGGAATCATTATACTCATGTCTATTGAATACTATCCTGGCAATTTTGATTTCAATGAACAGTATGATGCTTTCTGAAGAAAATGATGTGGGTCATACATGTTTTAGCTCCCAATATCTTACGGAACGAGCTTGTTTAAAATATGTTTCATGGAAAACTAGCTATATAACTATCAATGGCATATTGCACGATGATGTGTAGTCTATGCAATGGACTAATTAAACACTGTAACTGAAAGATTATTTATTTGAGATAACTACATGCATTTGTACAGGGCAACTTGTGCATACAGGTTGACGTTTCAATTTTATATATTTAATGATCATACCATGGCTGCCAAACCAATGTAAACATTCTGAAGAACAGATTTCATTGACCTTGCGTTTCAAATTAAAGGTAAACATAGAAATTGCAAAAGACGAAACCCTTGGAAACTAATTTTGATGTCTGCTACCAAATTAAATAGTGCCTAAATCCACTCCCCTTATGTAATTAATTACGTTTTTGATTGGCAGTCACATCAGTGTCTTAACTCGCCCCCTTAAAAGCATGCAATATTCTCATCATTTAAAGTGCTAACTAAAAATATTTTGCCTTGGATTAGTTCTCTTGTCAAATGAAGGCTTAAAAAAGCAGCTCCTTAATCATTTGTCAACTTAGTTCTTATTGCTAGAACAAAGACACGACTATTACAAGGACATAAGTGTCACCCTGATCCTTGTTGAGACACATGATGAATTTACCACGTGGCTGTGGCACTTTGGTAAATATAATAAAAAATGACATTTATACAATAATAAAGAAATAATAGCACAAAAGACGTCATAACTACAATATGCAGCTTTTTCTCCGAGAATACACAAAGTGAAGCAATTGAATGAAAGTCCCGACCCCACTGTAACATGTGTGTTCTGTTGAATTTTGAAAATGGTGCATTGGAAAATATGGACTTACGTATATGAATATGAACCACCAGAAAGCAAAGAACAACAAAGAAACAAATGCAGAAGAAAACAAAATATTCATCTGAACTAAGTAATGCTCATATATAATATATGAGGTCCAAACTGGTATTTTACAATATTTGTCCCTTTTATCATACTTTAAGTTTTTTTGTAAACCAAATACCACATTTTTGACAATATATATTTCAGAAGATATCCATATTGTTTCAAAAGAGGGAATGAATATGATCTTTTCTAAGAACTATCGTAATGTCAAAGTATCTTGAGGATAAAATTCACATTCCTTCCTGATTATATGAGAAGACTAATGAAATTAACACAAAATTGGGACAGTTATGTGATTGAATACTTGTCTTGACGATATTTCCGATGTTGAAAGTTGTATTCATGGATTAAATTGTTTATTCAATGTTGAGAAGTGGAAGTAGTTTCAGCTTCCCAAGTTTTACTGTTTTCTGGGTTATCGATAAAGGCAACATGTCCATCTGTCAATTTGTTCATTTATTTGGGTGATTTGTTTGGGTGATAACTCAAGACCTCTGCTCAAAAAGGAACAAAAGATTTATCTTTGATAACTCAAATATTAGTTGATGGATTTGGTTGCAATTTATTATGCTGTTGCCTCATACATCAATAGGACCTTTGAAGAGATTTTAAAGATGGCCTCTGAAATTAAAATGGCTGGAATTTTTGTAAAAAACAGTCTTTGATATTGCAAGGAAAAGATACAATTTCTAACTCAAATACCAATTATCAGATTTTGTCAAAATTCTATAGGCTGATGCCTAGTACCAGAAAGGACCTCAACTTGAAGACGGAATGTCTAATATGTTTCATTTCACATCATGGATATAGATTTTACCAAAAAAGATAATATGATTACCTGATTATTTTTGTTAAGAAATGTTCAAAATCATTAGTGATTTAGAAAAATATGTTGTGTTTGGCTTGGCGTGACTTGCTACTCCGGTTGCGGTGAGTTGCTGTTTTTGAAGTTTGCCCTATATGATATTTGTAAGATGAACTTATTTTTCTATATTTCATTGGTACCTGGTACATGTATTTACTTAATGAATAAGGTATATATGAAGTTTTTCTTTATTTTTATAATGTTGTGGTTTCATGCGGCATAAAACCCAGTGATAAGAAACTGGATTTTTTGGATTAGAAATTTATAATTTGACAGCAAATATTAACAATGTGTCATGTGTCAAACAATGTGAGACAAGCTTCTACTAAGTTGACACTATATACGTATTTCATGTCATGTCATGTGTAAAGAAATGTGATCTAATAGCTAGTGCGTTATCTTTTTTTATTTAAATTCCTTTAAGCTAAATGACTCATATCATTATTAATTTGTGATGAGACATTGTTATAGTAATATCTCATAATACAAGAGGCTCAACTACTTTTGTATATTTTTTAACCAAGTGATTAAATTGCTCACGTTGCCAGGAGTAATTGCCACAATTTTGCATCGCTAGGCTGTCTATATAAGACAGCGCTTATGTTTTTCACTTATTGTACACTATTTCATTTCAACAGGCGAGACATTTATCTATAAACATTTATGATCGATATAGTAATGAGCTGGATGATTTTGGATTGGTAATACAAAAAGGTAAGACATCCATTTAGCTAGTTTTCAGTATATATAGTACTTTTGAATTTTTTTTTCAAATATGTAATTACTTTACTGACCATCAGTGAATATCATTCTGTTTAAATTAAACATTGTACAAAATTGTGCAGTATTTTATCATATCAGATTGAAATTGATTTGCATAACTATACACACACACATGTAGAATATATTATAAATATGTAGAAGAAACTTGAAGACAGAATTCAGTTATAACTTTATTTAGTTTCTCTGAAGAAATTAGAAATAATTGAAAATTCCATGTTTGGTTTTCTTCATTTTCTTATATAATTTTACAATCTTTTTTATAAAGGTGTTCTTCTATATGTTTTATTAATTGTAATTTATATATTAATTGCTAAAAGTTTACAAAAATCTCTTTTTTCAGAAATACATTCAAAGATGACATTATCTTAATGTAGATAAAGATTTCGACAATTTGGAGTTCCCTCGTCATTATCTTAATGTAGATAAAAATTTCTACAATTTGGAGTTCCCCCAAATATCATCAAACATGCTGAGTATTTGGAAACAGTGGTGCTGTAGTGTCGTTATGTTGCTCTACGTTTGTTTGAGCATCCACCTCTCAGTATTAGCAGCTCCATTAGACACAACGAGAACAGACGTTTCAGTGGAAAATACCACTGAATATACTTCAACAATCGATACATCAGCCTTTGACTCTTCAACAGAGAGCACATCTATTTTTGATGATTCAATAATAGATACATCTATTATTGACACTTCAGCAATAGATTCATATACTCATGATGCTTCATCAAAGAGTAACATAAGATTAGATTCTACAACTGAGTCTATCATCTCAACAGTTTTGCCTGTAAGTGCTGATCTGTCTACCACTGGTACAAGCACTATCACATACAGTGAAACAATCATCACAACAGAGTCTGCAGATAAACAAACATCCATATCATTTGCTCAAACAACAATCATTGATTCAAAGACAACTGCCAAAGATAGTACAGTGACAGATCAACAAACAAGCTCAATTTCAATCCCTGTCACTTCCGATAAAGGATCTTTTGACAGTGAAGCCACACATGAAAATATTGCTCAAAACACAATGACAGATGAGAATGTTAGAACAACAATAACATCTGATGTCACAGTCTCTAATGCTCCTCTCCTCAGCATAGAAGGAAAAAAGGATGATGGTGTATCTTTCAACACATTTAAACATAAAAAAGGAGCTCACTCGATTCATCTCATTGCAATAATTGGTATTGTTCTGCCACTTCTTCTATCTGTGCTTCTGATCGTCATGTTGTGGAATAAAAGATACTATTACAAGTAAGTTCATATCATGTCAAGTTATGCTTGGTCAAATCACAACAATTTTTATTCACTTTTGAGATTTTCATTAATATCAACTGACTTGCCTTATAATTATTAATTAAAAATGCTTCATGTTTCATGAGTCATGTATTCCTCAATTTCTGTTTTCCTTTATTGACTGTGCTAATTCGACAGACCTGTGTTCTGACTTCTGAGTAGCAAAAATACATATACCTATGCTATGTTTGAATCGAAAACTAAGAATTCTATACGTTGAAGGATTTTCTTAAGAATTCTTTTATTATAAATGTCAAAGACATTTAATTGGTACATACTTTTATCTGGTGAGCTTGTTTATCTTGTATTTTTGTCTGTCTAAATATTTGATACTTTTGTGTTTCAGGCATATTGGTTTTGTGTAACACAAACAGGACATTAAGAAGAATTAATCGTGAACTGAGTTCCATAAAAGAGTGAACATACTAAGAACATTGATTAGTAAGTCAGCCAATGCATTGGAGATGATTAATTTGAGGGAAGTTAAAGCAATCTCAGGTAGTCTAGGACTTTGAAGCAAACTTCATCTTCTTGTACTTTGAATATTAAGGGGAACCTTACAAATACTCTGAACATGTTCTATAATATTTGATGATGGTTTTAGTCTGCTAGGTGATGATAATAACAGACTCATCCAGTGACAAACATCAACAACAATGTCACTTGTAGACACTGACATTGATTTATCCGTCTAATCAGTGCCTCAGAGTTTCTCCATACACAAGTCACTGGTATTCAGCATGTAGTAGTAGAGCATCCTTAACTTAATATGTTTTTACTTGTTCATACTGTAAACTTGTTCACATTGTGAACTCAAATTGTGCATAGAGCAAAAACATATTAGACTCTTCCACATACAGTATGACATGAGAGACCTTGATAAACATTGTTCATATTGAATATGTTTAGGCACCATGTGCATAGTTTTTACCACAAATATATGTTTTGTTTCCTGAATTATGATTCTAGCTCTTTAAAAGGAATTTAAGAGAAATTTTGTAAGGTGCAAATTGAGATTTCAAGAAGCTTTTCACAGTTTTGCAGTTCTCAAAACTTCACTGTTATCCTTAGTCAGTTCTATGTATGTATATTTTGTAACTGTATCAATTTTTTCTCTGTGATATTTCTGGCCAAGGGTAAAATTATTCACTCTGCAGTCAGATATCTCTTAAGTTTAATTATTTTCCATTCTAATTTGCCAATTGGAAACATATTGAATGTCATGCTGTAAAGTTTCTAAGATGGTCTGATGAAAAATGATGATTTGAAAAGCATTTGCAAAATTAAGAATCATCCCTTTGTTTTCATAGGATGCTCATGCACCATGGGTATGTCTTTATTGTATTCTGAATGTTGTATTATTGTATGTAAATATGTGAGAAATCAAAATATAAAAGAAAAAACAATATACAATAAGTTTGTTTTTTCATGTGAACTATTTTTTAAAGATGCAGTTGATGAAGATGTTTACAGCCTTCAGTAATCATTAGACTGAATCATTGCATTTTCTCGGGAGTTTTTGCCTTTCCTAGGTTGCTCTTTATGTATTCTTAAGTAGTTGTCACATTAGCCAAATGTGTGGGCTCACCATTCGCCAACATGTGACATTTTGGGCATTCATTATTTAATTGATTAATTAATTAATATTTGTATTTGGTGTAATGAAGTGATACCTTTTTGTAAAGGTATTTGTTTTGCCAACTCTGTATCCATGACATGCCCGCCATCTGCCCTAAAGTATTCAAACGGTGGCGATCGGTGAGCCTACACGGCTTAAGTGTGACAGCTCTATATGATGGAAGGCATCATAAGGAAACAGGTATCATACCTCACCCCATTTTTAATTGGTTATTGAATAACATGCTGCATGATAGAAAATCAATGATTAAAGAAAAAATGATACTTTCACATAGTAATTTCATTTTGGAAATGATTCATTACTGTGTAGCCGTATTTAACAACCACCAAATTTGGATGATAATGAAATGATATTTGATTTGACACTTCCCATAAAAAGCTTCATCAAAAATCTTAAAGATCTAGCAAATAAGTAAAAGTAAGGATATAGTTCAGCCTTATATAGAGCTTGGGTATATTGGGAATAAGTATTCTGAATACAGTACATCATTTCAAAATGATATAAAAGTGGTAGCAAATTGCATTTGAAATCATTTTTATCCATTCACATATTGTTGTTGCGATTCTATCATTTAGAAAAACATACTGTATTTTGATATTTGTTCAGGCAATATATTTAATTCTGAGTTGAATCATACCATAAATCATCTGATAATTAAGAAGTTTTACAATATTTCCTTCTAAATCCAATATGTAAACATAACAGAACCTAGTTCCCTTCCATAAAAAAGTATAAATAGCAATAAAGTTGTCAATTTATTTATGGGACTAATGGTACTGAGTGGGTACTGTATATTGGAAATAAGTACACAAACAGCAAAATGTGAGTAGGATATATTTGGAATAAGTCCCCACAAAAAGAGTGAGGAGGGAATATTGGGAATAGAGACCCCACAATAATGAGTAGGGTATATTGCGAATAAGTACCCCACAATAGTGAGTAGGGTATATTAGGAATAAGGACCCCACAACAAATTGTGAGTAGGGTATATTGGGAATAAGGACCCCACAATAATGAGTAGGGTATATTGGGAATAAGGACCCCACAATAATGAGTTGGGTATATTGAGAATAAGTATCCCACAATAGTGATTAGGGTATATTGAGAATAAGTATCCCACAATAGTGATTAGGGTATATTGGGAATAAGGACCCCACAACAAATTGTGAGTAGGGTATATTGGGAATATGTACCCCACAACAAAGTGTGAGAAGGGTATATTGGGAATATGTACCCCACAACAAATTGTGAGTAGGGTATATTGGGAATATGTACCCCACAACAAGTGTGAGTAGGGTATATTGGGAATAAATCTCCATAACAAAGTGTGAGTAGGGTATGTTGGGAATAAGTACCCCACAACAAGTGTGAGTTGTGAGTTAAATATGGTATAGAGATATATAAATTACCAGATCATAATTATCCCACCGAAGTTTGTGAGGGATACAGGAAAGCCGTCTGTAACATGTGGGACAGTGTATTTATATATTACAAGATGTTCATTCGTCTGTCCATCCGTTAGAAAAGACAATAACAGATAAAGACAAATGAAGAATAACAATTGCCATGTCGCTACCATTCTCCTTTAGTTAAGCTCTTCTGAGCCTGGAGGCCGTGTTCCCAGGGAAGCAGGTGTCACTTAAATTGGCCAAACATGGGACGGATGGACGGACATCTTTGGGTTGCTGCTTGTATTGTTAGCTTGAAGAAGTTTTCAAGATGGCCACTTGTTATCAAAATATGTTTTGATTGGTTTTCAAAACTAACCGGAGTTAGAGGATACAGTAAAATCTTAACAATAAAAATAGATAGAAATAAAGAAATGGATTGATAGAAAAAAGGTAGTGCAGGAAAGCCATGTGTTTCTACGGATGAAAACAATTTGCCCTTCTATGAACAGACAAAAGCTTTTTAGGAAAGATAAAAGCTTGAAGTACATACCAGTTGTGACATTTCTATAGTATGGAATTTATTTTGTATCAAAATTGGACATTACATGATGTATGGGAAAAATCGAACTATATGATGCGATACTAGAACTATATGATTCGAAACTCGCATCATACTATGTGAAATACGCATCATTATATGCGAATCTCGCATCATTGTATGCCATTTTCAATCCATGTTATACCAACAGTTTTCCAACAGTTTTTCTTACATAACTTATTTTCATTCACACACGCACTGGTTGTATCAAAAATCCAAAAGCAATGTTGAAATGTCACACGGATTGTGTTATAAGTTGCATAGAATACTGAAAGAATTACACATGGATCAAAGTAAATTTCGAACGAACGTGTCAATTTTACACACGCATTAAGTTCAAACTCGCATAGGATGGTTCCCGCTCGCATAGGCTGTCACAAACAAGTTGCACTTCACATAGGGTGCGAGATTTGAAGTCACGTGATATTTACATCCTGGTTTCTACAATATGGCGCCCTCCGTTGAAATGTTATAAAATGTAAATTTTAAATTAAAAATAAATAATAGGATACCCTAGGCCCTAGGCTAGGGAGACGTACAGTGGCCATTTATTGAGAAACTACAAACTAGATCTTTTTATCTTTTTGCCGCGCTGATGTGTTATTTCGTTCAGTGCAAAAGTAACGCGAGATTTAGAACAAAGTCTCGAACATCTCTAGAAAGCAATTTATGTTACATCAAGGTGTGTGATCGGTACATCAAGGTGTGTGATCGGCACATCATGGTTTGTGAAGGGAAAAACGTTTGTGCGAGCCGCATAAGCATTTGTTCGACTTGTGTACCCTGTTTGATGTCATTTTTAAACATGCATACACAAATACGCATGTACAAGTGTGATTTTACAAACATAAAGTGTGCAAACTCAAACAAAGCGTGTATGAAATCACACGGATTGTGTATGTATTCTGCTAAACGTTATTCTATGTGTTAAAGATATCACATTAATATAAGATGTCCAATTTTGATACAGTTTTAACACCATACTATAGGACATGTAATTCATATAATACTGAATGTGACAATGGAGAATGGACTTGCTTCGTCACAACTTGAATACCTTTTGTCATTGATGATTAAGATAACAAAAAATAATAGCAAATAATAGCTGTTTGTGATAATAAGGAGATAATAGAGTATGATTATCAGATGGTTTGCATTTTAGTTACAGTAAAACAATGGTTTACTACTTATGTACATTCTATACACATAATATGTTGCTGCTACTGACTTCCTTCTTGTCGCCTATTGTAATATGATCTTAAGAAACATCACATTAATTAATCATGTTGACTTTCTTAGCTTAATCGCCAATTGGGTTTAAGGTACTTTAAGGTTTAACGAATGTTCACAATATGTCACAACATTGAGAAAATATAGATTGAAATCATTTGGATGTCATTGAATATCAGAAGAAATGAGACAGATAAATGAGACAGACAAAGAAATGAGACCGTCAAATGAGCAGAGCTTTAGGCAGTCATTTGGTAAGCTTAATGCTCGATATTCTCATTACAAATGGTCACGCACATACAGCTCACGTTTCATAAATCCTCTGATTAAAAAATGTTAATGAAAGAAACAATTAACACCACAAAAACCTCATTTTTATCCACCTCCTTAATCACAGAAATCAATTATTTCTCTGAACATTTACAGATTAGCTCGCACAGACAAATATTTTTAATCATTGAAAGAAACGTGTAGTACTGGTTTCGATATGGCCATCATCAATCATGATTAAAATAAGAGGTCACCTATTTCATATTGTTTATTTAACAGCAAAATCTGCTTGTGTATTTCTAGGTGGGCTGTGTCGGCTGTGATGACACGTCAAAACCAGATCCCAACACCTGATGGAGAACAAGTCACTAATGCCCTCATCCCACTATGGGATATGAGTAACCATAGCAACGGCCAAATCACTACAGATTTCAACCTGAAGAAAAACAGCAGCGAGTGTTATGCTTTAAGGAACTTCAGTAAGGCGGATCAAGTGAGTTTGAGCGATTATTTTCATTTGGTTTTCCAGCAGGAAAAGTGATCTTGCATGTTTACTTGGGTTATATGATTGAGGATCATAATGGCTCATTCATCCCATGTAATTTCACGTAATTACGTAGGTCCCCACCCTAACAATTGCACAATTTTTGTAATAGTATATTTTATTAATGGTTGACACCCTTTTCAGTGATTAGCTTGGAATTAGCTGTAAACAAGTGACGAATGTGGGATTACAAATCAATAGCATTAAGAAATTAATTGTAATATAGGCAAGTTCAAGGGGAATATGGAAAAGCTTTCTGTCTGTCTATCCGTCCGTCCGTCTGTCTGGGTGATAACTCAAATACTTTGTCTCAGATTTTATAGGCTGAAGCCTTATGGAGATAGGACCTCACCTCGCAAAGGACTCTACAACCATTTTTTATGAAAAAATTATATTTTTTCCAATTTGAGTGATTTAACAAAGTCTGTTTTGTTCAGTGGAATTTGTTACTCCTCCATGATGTTGCTATTTTGTAGTTAGATAGAGCGTATATATACTAAGTAATCTTAGGCCTTTAATATGCATACTGATGCAAACAGGTCCAAGTTAAGCCACTGTAATACTATCTTATGCCTAAATGTCACTTGCTTCTAAATAATTGAACCATAACATTTTGACTGTTATGTACACTGGTCCCCATCAGGTTAAGATGGTGGTCCTTTAATTCTTTGGGCTAGATAGGTGAGAAATTCTTTTCTGTTCCGTTAAACACAGTTACTATCTACACAATTTAACATCCAAGGTGGATTTATAAGACACCATCATTTGAAACCATTTTGCAATGCTGTATCTCAAAAATAAAGCTCTTATTTAGAGTGTGTTTCCTCACACTTTTTAAAGTGCCTTTTTTCAGTGTCATTTTTCTCTAATAATGACTTGTTAATGTGTGTGTGTGTCTTGTAAGAAACTCCTGGAAAATGTAAAATGGTTCATCTTAAGTTTTTTATGTCACGACCAGGTGTGGTGACATATTGTTATAGTCTCCAACCCTGGTCTTCAACTTTTTTGTGGATGATGGTTCGTGTGCATTGGTTGGTGTTTGGCCTTTGGCAGTTGGTGTCTGTAACAAATGTCGGATGGTGACATTTTGCATGTTAATGTCTCAAACATACTACAATGGTGTTTTTGTCATATTTAATACAAGAAAAGAATATGGAAACAACTCTGTATGAATCTTGTAACTGATTGTTCAGTTACAATTAATATGAGAAATCTCAATAGACAATAGAGATGCTATCAAATGGACAGTGTATTGCAAATAGGGTTGACTATACATAGAATCCTTAACAATGTTTTATTTATAAAAATGGTATATGTTTTTCCTTGCATCCTATAACTACTCCTACATCATTGGATCAGGTTGCATAAAGGAATACATACACGCATTATTAAAAAGTCATTGTAGGAGAAACATCGAGAATTTATTGAATACTGAATATCATTATTTCACTGTATTGAAAATTATTTTATGATCGATCAACTTTATACCATGTGACCAAAAATATATACAGGTTTATAATTCCATGTATGCTTAGAAAATATGTATAGAGTGTATTCCACGACAGTGACATTTTGATTGAACATTGTATTCGCAGGCCCATAGCCAGGATTTGCCAAGGGGTTCACTTTTTATTAAAACATTCCATGGGGGTTCACTTTTGACAACTTTGCCCCAATAATGGCCAAAATCACTTGAAAAGTACCCCCCAGGCTATGAGCCTGCAGTAAATACATCTCAGCAATATATACAAAAACTCCAAGGAATACAATAATTGTAAAGTATCATCATGTTGTGTTTCTTTGCTTTTCAGATATTCATATTCTATGGAAGGCGTTCTAACGCAGAGTTCCTCTTACACAGTGGCTTCATACCCAGTGACAACCAATCAGACAGAATAGGCATAAAGCTAGGTATATTCTCATTCATTTAGTTAGCTTTTTGCATCAAATATATTGGTTTACAAAGGATCATGTAAGTGGAGTCTGAAAAACCATGCGTGGGAAAATGTATTAATTTGTAATGCGCTATTGGAAAAGAAGGTGTATGGCTTGGAAAAAAATCTTGTTAATTATTGTTACTACATGTAGTCTCCAACTTTTTTGTGGATGGTGTTTGGCAGTCGGCATTCGGTGTTTGGTGTTTGTGTCTGTAACAAATGGAAGGTGTTGACCTTTTGCATGTCATTGTCTTGTCTAGTTTTGCTATTTATTTTTATGATGTATCCATAGGCTTCAGGGATGTGGAATGCAATTACACACCCAGACTGTCACAACATAAATTCAAGGAATAATTTTAATAACAAAATAGCTTTGGGTTAGGAATAACAAGCGTGGAAAAAATTCTGACGATATTTTTTTTTTATTATTATTATTTATTTCATTGATATAGTTTAAAATACAATTACAATAGCATCCCTAAATCGCCAGAGATGATATCTGTTACTCCAGCAATGCTTTATTAGACTTTTACCGTTTGTTATTTGAAATGATCAACTTTTTAAATTTTATAAACGTTCAGATTTTAGATAATATTTTTACCATGGCAATGAATGGTAAATCTGAACAAATCTTTTCTCTAAAACAGAAAGATTTTCTTAAACATCAGTGGCAACTTATCAAAACCATCAGAAGTCACTATATAAGTGTTGGGGTTCCACAAGGCTCTTTATTAGGGGCACTTCTTTTCCTTATTTGTATCAATGATATGCCAGACAATAGTTCAATCACTGTGTTGTATTTATGCAGATGATACATCTCTTTTTAACACTAATTTGATCCAATCAATCCAAACCATTCACTGGCTCTTCTTCAATATGATCTAAATCTGGTTCCTAAGTGGTCTAATACTTGGAAATTGCAGATTTCTCCTTTATTAAGTCTAGGCAAGAACATCATGACCGACCTTTTAACCTTATTTCTAGGATTTTATGAAATTCATAAGATTCGATCTCATAAGCATCTTGGTGTCATTTTTACCACAAATTAAATTTTAATGATCATGTTAAAAACATGAGAAATGTATCAACAAGTTTCAAAATATGCTAACTGGCTAAAAGGCATAAAAAAAGAAATCCTCAAGACATATTGAAAGATTACAATGCTCTCATTTTACCAATCTTAGATCATAGACATTGGTGGTTTATTTTATGCCTCAGCATCGAAATTTGAGCTGGGCCAAACTTGAAAGCATTCACTATAAAGCTTGTTCAGTGGAGTTATCCATGGATCAAGCAAAATGGAAAACCCTTGAATCTAAGAAGAATTTATGAAAAATTCTGTAAATGTTTAAAGCAGATATGAAATGGTATTTTTAACCTAAAGGAATCAATATAATTTTTTGATAGATGTATTTGGACATGTTTTCTCATCAGTAGTGTGAAAACTATTTCACTCTAACGATCGTTATAGCTGCTTAATAAGCAATATTCGAATTGGTTGTGACGTTATTGGCCCCCACGTGATCTCTCACTGGTCCCCACGTGGCCCGTTTTGGTCCATTAGATCATGACGTCATAATGCCAAAATGTTTTGTTATTTGTTTATACAACAATCCTATGGTTGCCGTGACGTTGTGATTACTATATGGAACCAATAAACCAAATCTAATATTTTGTATATGACGTTACTAATCATGGGGGGCCAATTTGATTTATCAGTTAGTTTTATTTCGTTATCTATGACCGTTAGCAGTTATCTAACATTTACTTTACAATGGCTATCGCAAGAACTCTACGATGGGCTTACAATGGAGAAAACCGCATTCTTGTAGCTGCAAGTTGAGAAAAGCTATTTCAGTTGTCCTTTAAGGTCTTCAGTTCAATAAGATGAAACTTGCAAATGTATCTGATATGATTTAATGACTACTTAACTGATCTTAACAACTCTCACTTGAGAAGAATGTGGTATTATAAGGTACACCCTGGACATAATCAGCCTGCTTATCAAATTCTCCATCATTCCAACTAATGAGCGCTTGGAATACTAATAAGCAATCTCTCTCTAAAAAAGCAGAATTCTTGCATCTTACCTGGTAGGAATTACCCACAAATAGCCAAAAATGAAAAATAAACTTGGTAGGTTTTTTTTCATGCAAGATGGCAGTTAGCAATCCATGACTGTATGTACTTATCTCAATATTTTACCCTCAGTTTTGTTCATATCTGTCAATAATCATCAAGGAAAATGCCAAGATCTGCAGAATTCCTGCAGAGTTTGCCTTTTCCCATCGCAGATTTCACTAATTTCACTTCTTCTAAATGGGATACAAGCCTGGTCTGCATATTCATTCTTAAAGGCACAGAATGAAATTCTGCGATGCTGATTGTAAAATGTCATTAGTGCAGAATTTCATCTTGTGTCTTCATCAATGAATACAGACCAGGTTTGTATCCTGTCACTTTGGACACGTGAAGTAGATACATGTGGATGTCACGTGTGCCCCTTGACACATCATCCGTTTTACAAGCAGCATAATGGGTGATTGTTTGACATTCGCTCATGATAAGACACGGTAATCCTTCTTTAGGAGAATTACTCTTTGAACACTAATACCATGATATTTATTTTCGCCTGCTGTAACCAATATCAAAGGTGTTCAAATACTCTTGTGAAAGCTCAAGAAACATTGATTTGTTTGATATCCTGTGTCTTTGTTTCAAGTTCATGGCTCCAAACCTGGTATTGCACAAAATAAATTTTTCTTCCTCCATTTTCAAAGAATTGTATTCAATAATTAGTAACCTAGAACTTCAAGTTGTTTTAAGTCAAAATATCACCCATATATCAGTCTACTTATTTGTGTCAGTTTTTTGACTTAAGAACCCCAGCTGGTGCTAGAGACTATAAAATAGACTATGAAAACAATGTACTTTTGAGATGGAAACCCTTAAGAAATCATTGCTAATGGGAATGTGTATTATTTTTAGAAAGGGGCTTTTAGTCATTGGGATTACATAATATGGTGTTCAAGTAATTGAGGAAGTTATTCCCCTTGTTTAAAGAGAGGGGGTCTCCTAAAAACACAATTAGAGTAACCCCTTGATTTTTTCGTGTTATTTGTTGTAAAACAAGTTTGTTTATCAACTTATCATTTTGAGGCTTGAATTAATTCGTTAACTGTATCAATTCGATGATTTTTCCTAGCCATGAATTTCCACTTACATCAATAGAAATTCAAATTAAATTAAAAAAGCCCGCTCAAATTTGTTCCAGTCTGATTGGCTTTTTCCTTCAGATTATTTTGACTTAGGGAAGCCATATTTATTACTTCTAAGGGGTTACAATATAGATCAATCCCCAAAAACATTGTATTCTGTTTTCTACTTATTGCGTTCAATTCTGACAGTTGGTTGTTCTTTTGGTTGTCCTGTTGATATCCTCAATATATTGTCGATATTGTGCTTATGATTTGGTCTCAAGATATATCTAAGGTATATATGATGCTTTATTAGCAATTATATTGGGACATTACTGATTGTCCAGAATAGAAATCTGGACGACTCGATCCCTTTAATATAAGTTATTGTATAGGAGTGTGCCAGATTGTGCTTGAGGCCACACATGGCTAAGAAAGAGCAAAACATTGATATTTTGAAGTTAAGTGCAGTGTTATCAGGAACTGTGTTGAGGAACCCCAGGCAGTCTAGTTACCTATTATGCTTAATAGTACCATTACTATCAGATCATTTGCAGACCTAGTTTTGTGAATCATCATCCTAAAAGTGGCTTAATATTTACCTTACAAAGCCGCTAATGTATTTGTGTTTATTGTAATACTGTAATTTGAAATAAAGAAATACAATATATATATAAAGGGAGGGGACAATCTGAGTAGCAATACAGAGGATCACACGATAAAAAACGTTATTGAATGATTTGAAGTGCAATACAGGATATATTCTGTCTCGATATTCTGTATTGGCACTCGACTTCGTACTGTTCAAATACGGAATTTCTCGAGCGGAATATATCCTGTATTGCACTTCAAATCATTCAATAACTTATAATATAACCTGAAACTCTTGCAGGTTCACAGCTCAAAAGCCTTATGAATAATTAGTAATCCAATAGTTCCATAATGTATAATGCACGACTTAAATGTATAGGGCAATTTATGAGAAATTGAAATTTGAAGTTTAGCTACATATTTGTCCATGTACATCGTTGTAACATATGTTAAATGAGCTGTTTAACTTAAATTAAAAAATCATGAATTTCACAATCAATTTTTACCTCGCAAATATCTGAAATATTTGAATCAAGGATTGAGATATTGTCAAGGTAAAATCGATGCTTTAAAATGAGGCTATCAGCTAATTAGAATGTACAAAGCCTTCCTGCTTTGTACTTGTCTTTGTGATTTGTGTGAGTAATTGCCTTGATCTATTTCACCCTTATGAATGACTCTCTGAAGAGGAGGCAAAACCCCAAAGCTTAGGAGGTGGCAGACATAATTACATCTCTTGCTTACCACCTTCATTTGTTCGAATTTCCACCAGCTAGCTAGTTTTTGAATACTTCACATCATTATGATGTTTAAATCGATGTTAGGATATTCCTTACATATTTCTTTTATTTATCTCGATGTGAAATAACAAGATATGACGTTTGTCAACACGCCAGATATGAACATAATATAATTCAAAGCTTTTTTAGAACATTTTGAAACTGCCAATGAATGATATAATTTGTCTGTCGATTTGACCAATCATTGATGTCATCTCAGTATACATAAACGAGTACATTATACATTACGTATATACATTATATAAACCTGTGTCATCTCTGAACCCTAGAGTTTTTACCCCCTCTTGATTATCTGTTTAATATGTGTTGCAGGAATCAGCAAAAATGACAGCCTCTACGTGATGAAAGCAGAAATGTTAGCTCGTGTAGGATTAATGCCGTAAGTTAAGATAGATGTTTGAGGTATTTTATCACAGCACTGCTTGGTTTTTAATTATGTTGTTGTTATCTCCAAGAAAAACTGCATGGATCTTGTTTCATTCAGCTGAACCCGATTGGCTGGATTGTCTAGGTGTAAATATGATATTTCTTTAAGACATCATTGTGTCTCTTACAATTTTGCTGTTTCAGTCATTTCTTATTTGATTTATCCTATTGTATTGTATTGTATTGTATTGTATTGTATTGTATTGTATTGTATTGTACATTTATTTACCTCTTATTAATAGAGAATTACAATTATAAAGTTCAACGTTTTATATGAATTGCAATAAATTCTAAAATATAAATTGATGTTCAGTTAAAGAACAAAACTATATTCCCAGTCGAAATGCATTCTCATATTTATTCTTATACAAAAACCTGAACAATTGATTTAAACCTGAATGTTCAAAAATTTAACATGTGGGGCAAAGATTTACAAAGCTATTAAATGAACAGTTGGTTAATTTTTACACTGGCTCCTGATGACGTGTGTTTTATAACATGTGTTTATAACAATGACATGTGTTTTATGACTTGCATTCTATGACATGCATTTTATGACTTGTATTCTATGACCTGCATTTTATGACACGTGTTTTATGACCTGTTGTCTTACAGATCACGAGGATTTGCACTGCACGTTGGAACAGGGACAGAGAGATTCGGAGGAATAGATCCTGATCTGTTGGCATTCTTGCGAATCTTTCATCTAAATGAAGGTGGGTACCCAGCTGGCAATAATAGTAATTTTAAATTCTTAAGCCAGATTTCATGAAAATCCTATAAACACATGATTGTGAGACACGAGAGTTGTATTTCAAATAAAGTGTGCCATTTTAGCCAGATTTCCTGAAAAATCCTATAAACACATGATTGTGAGACACGAGACCTGTGCAAGCGAAACACCTTTGGTCCCCCTAAAAATGTTCCACTTAGAAAGTGTTTCTCAATTAGAGGTTCATTTAACATCTAGTCTTTTCATCATGGGATTCTGAAGTGTTCCACTTACAGATCTATTTCACTTACAAGATTGTTTTCTACTGCTACATGTTTTTCTGTGTATTACTCCTTTTAATAGGGAGGCTAATATACATGTTTTTTACACAAACGTGTAGAATTATGGTCCACTGTGGATTAGTTCTCCAATTTGTACTGTTTACTTGGCAGATTGAGTATAAAGGTATATGAAAAATAATTGTAATTTGGACCCTGGAAAAGTGAATTGAGAGTGTGAAGGTGATTCCCAGGGGTCGGAATATTACACGCACACATAGAGGTTCTCCTAAAATGTGTAACTTAACCTCCATATTATCTAAATATCACTGAAGAGTTGAATGCTCGTCTGGTTGGTAATAAGTCACGAATTTTCTGATGAGGCACAACAACTTAACAATACATGTATATTTAATTATGTTATTACAGATGAGTTGAAGGCCCGTCTAGTTGGTAAAAAAGCACGAGTGTTACTCCCCAAGCTGGGGCACTGCGACTCTCCTGTTAACAAGGACAACGAGGTTAAGGTGTGGACGTTCCTGGAGAACAGGGTGAACCTATTATTGAAAGCCTATCCTGGCACGATGCAGGTAGGCAAAGGAATATGACATTGAACACATCATTGATATGACGTAGAAATGATATGCTTTATTATTAATTGATTCCTCTCTCTTTAAAAGGATTAAGCATAGGGAGGCTGTTTTAACTTCAATATCTTCTTAACTTCAACCTCTCCATTTGTGTTTTTTTTTTAAAACATTGACAGCCACAAATGCTGTATTTTTAGCTTCTTAAATCTCCACTATTGGAATCATTGAATTTGTATATTAAAGATGAACAATTGTAAATATTGGTTGCAATCAGATTAAGCTAAAAAATGAAGAATAGAATAATGATATTATACTAATCATACAACCTTATTTTCCAGGATGATGCTGATAAATTGAAATCAGATAAACTGTCGTTCAATCAGAAGGAAGCAGTCAAACTTCGTATGAATGAGAGGATAATCCTCGAGAACACTGTTAATTATGCAAAGAAGCAGAAAGTTGCGGCCGAGACAAATATTAAGGAAGATTATTCACTAGACGCTGAGGTTGATGAGACAATGTTGTCAGAGTTCAATCAGGTACACGGGGATCCATTGGATGCTATGCTGGCTCAGAATGGATGCACGGACACGTGTTGTGACCATCAATACCCAGTCTCTTTAGAGCAAGCGCGGAAAGCTGTCCCTCAAAATATAAGTGATATATCAGATATTTCACTTGCCCAGCCTGCCACAATTGAAACTGTTCACTCTAATGTCTACATGGGGACTGACCCACGTAATGTTAACACGGAACAAATTAAGAACAACATGGACAATAAAGAAAATGAATGCGAGAAGCCAAAAGATAATTTAGAACATACAAAGGGAGCTGTTGTCTTAACGGAAGTGAAACAAGAAAAAAATGACTCGAAAAAAGTTGGATCAGTAAGTAATGGTGTTGTTAAATGTGACACTTTGGGCAATGGAAGTGACATTAAGCATGGAAGTGACATAAAGAATGGAAATGACATAAAGAGCCCCACGTAAAACTGATCTCAGTCGGCCATTTTAGTACAAATTAACAGAACACAGAATAAGAGCTATATGCAGATGTATTGATAAAATGCAGAGGTTATATGATATAACGCAGCTGTTATATGATACAATGCAGATTTTATTTACTGTTATTCTAGTTAATACTGTGTGCAATTAAGACAATATACCTGTACAGGTATTGTGAGTGAATGTGTACCTTTGTTCATTATTATTATTATGAAGTCAGTTAAATCAGGGAAGTATTGTAGAATACTGATGAGATTTCTGTAAATGTCAATATATAGACATGAGATTATGCTTGCTTTTAAATCTTATAATCATATTAGTGTTTTCCTATGGCCATGCCTTCTTTCAGTGGAGGTTAGAGGAATAAACAAATTGTTCTTGTTCTTGTAAATCACCTGGCTTTAAATATTATTCTGCCTTATCCCACACTTATGAAACATAACGTTATCTAGCATGTGACTCTGTGTCTGCTTACATACTGTTTTCATAACGTTAAATAACCAAATGAAAATTGATTTCTTGCAATTTCATACTATGTGACTCAAATGCAATAAAATACATTTTCTTTGGAAGTTTTGTACAATCATGAAAATAAGATTGGTCACACATCTTAATTCGCCAATTTACTGTACTGGCTTAACTTGTGGTTTTAGATTTTGCTAATTGTGATATACGTTCACTATAATACACTGAACTAAGAATATGCTAGACTGAGGTCAGAATACCCTAGACTGGGCCCAGACATGCTAGACTTGGCACAAGACACTCTAGTCAAAGCCCAGAATGTACTAGACTGAACACAGAATACCCTATACTGAGTCCAAAATGTACTAGACTTAGCAAAGAAAATTCTATACTGAGCTCAGAATATACTAGACTTAGCACAGAATACCCTAGCCTGAGCTCAGAATATACTAGACTTAGCACAGAATACCCTAGCCTGAGGTCAAATTATACTAGACTTTGCACAGAATACCCTAGCCTGAGCCCAGAATATTCTCTAACTTAACACAGAATACTCTAGTCTAGCCCTAGCCCAGAATACACTAGACTAAGTACAGAATACAATAGACTGTGTCCAGAATACCATATGTTTAGCACAGAATAGCCTAGCCTGAGGCCAGAATATACTAGACTTAGCTACAATACCCTTGACTGTTTCCAGAATATGCTAGACTTGGTATAGAATGCTCTAGTCTAGCCTGAGCCCAGAATTCACTAGACTGAGTCCAGAATACCATATACTTAGCACAGAATACCCTAGCCTGAGGCCAGAATATACTAGACTTAGCTACAATACCCTTGACTGTTTCCAGAATATGCTAGACTTGGTATAGAATGCTCTAGTCTAGCCTGAGCCCATAATACACAAGACTTAGTACAGAATACCATAGACTGAGCCAGCCCAGAACATACTAGATTTAGCACATATTACCTCAAAACTATTCATTGCTCTTTCCTGGGGAAATTGCAGAATACACTAGATTGGGTACAATTACACTAGATTGGGTACAATTACTGAACTACACTAGAATGATTACAGATTGAGATTTGTGGCTAGCTTACTTGAAGTAATATCCTGTCTTGAATATTGATTTGGTTTTTAATTGTGTAGATTAGGAATATATAATACATTTATGAATGTAGTGATACTGGTTTGTGCCTTTTTCATGTATGGTTGTATTTTTTGTTCTTCTTGTTCTTGATTACAAGTCAAAGTAGCGTATGTGTCAGTGTGTACACCGGATGCAACATTATAGCCTATTATAAGCCCCGTATTAGCCCAATATTACAGTTTTAGATGAAAATAAAACCCGTCTAATCTGAACACCAATGGGACTGGCCAAAAGTGTTTTAGCAGCTTTTCATATTTCAAGGTTTTTTAATATGAAAGTCTCCTATGAAAGTCTATTGGAGACAATAAACTGGAACTGAAAAAGTGTTTGTATTGAGAGTGGTTACACTGTATATAGTGCTCACAGATAAATGATCCTTTTAAGATTCAATACACACAACAATTGCAAAAAGTTGCAAATATTGTAAGATTAATGTCTAGAATACTAGAATATTCCTGCTTCCCACAAAGTCCTTGCATGCAATGCAATTAGAGAGACGATATTGTTAAGTAAGAAGTGATAAACATCTAGATAGACACAGTCATGTATCAGACAGTTGCCATGTATTTAGATTGTCTCCCCATCTTTATCTCAAAGTCCAAATCGTTCAGTTCACAGTAGTTAAAATAATGAGTTGCCATGTATTTAGATTGTCTCTCCATCTATATCTCAAAGTTCAAATTGTTCAGTTCACAGTAGTTAAATATAATGAGTTGCCATGTATTTAGATTGTCTCGCCATCTATATCACAAAGACCAAAATGTTCAAGTCAAAGTGGTTGAATATTGTATACATGTAAAGATGGCAAAGTTGAGAGTAAAGTCAGGAACAAACATCTTAATTACAAATTGAAAAGATCACTTTAGCATTAGTTTATTCAGTCATAGCTATTGTTTATTAAATACACCTTCTTATCTACTATTTCAAAAATTAATATTCTTTTGTGAATTTGATATGTTTCATGGATCTATAATTGCAAATGTGGTGAGACAATTATGTCTACATAGTTCAAAAGTTTACGTATTAATACCTGGAAGACGTTTAATATAGGGTGGGCCAGAAAAAACATTACAGAGTTTTTATTTTTGCTCATGAACTTCAAAACTATAATTGTCATTATTGACACAGGAGATTATTTATACAAACCTTTGTATTGTATATTTATTTACTCTCATTATTAATAATTAAGGATACCCATTGTTTATTGGGCGTTTCCAAGGTAACATATGTAATTTCCGTTTAAATTAATATCATTTCCTATGTCTACATTTTATAACCTTTCCAACCAAAGTTGTCTTCAAGGTCAATCACTTTTAAAGTCCATTTTCAGTTTTCCCACTCAGTTAATTGTGATATCCACAGCCCCAAGTCTACGTTTGACTTAAAACAGAGACTTTAATCATGATAAGAAAAGTCAAATGTGCAGTTGTTCCAAAAACAGCATGAATATATTTTCAGGTACAGGGTGACCAAAAATCGAACCCTCTTATTTTTGTTCGACTTTTCAATGATAGTGAAATGCATGAAACAGTGATTTAGAGCAGTTATATTGCAGCAACGATTTTCAGACATATTCCATTAAATTAATATTTTTTGATGAGATAAGAACATTTTTAATGGAATAATTTTTTTCTTGCAATTAGTAATTCAACCAGTTAAACCCATCCAGTCTTTTTAGCTCACATGGTGAGCTTTTGCAATCACTCACTTGTCCGTCTGTCTGTCCGTGCGTGCGTCCGTCCGTCAACAATAGTGGCACGTTTAAAACCTCTGTCGATAGGATTCCTGTTTTAAGTTATTTTTGTTAAACATCAATACAGAAAACTCCCCTCTGACTCCTGGTTCAAAAGCTCGCCTATTTTCAAGATGGCCGCCATTTTTGTCTCGTGAAATTCATTTTTGACCCATTTCCTAGCTTTACAAATAATGTCCGGTGTCCTGCATTGTTAAAATCCATGTCAATGTGAAGAGTAGTCATATGAAATAATTTTGTTACAAAAAATCAGCAAAAAATTATATATTAAAAAAATTTTCAGCCATTTTAGTTAACACTGATTTGTCCATCCGTCTCGCGAAATCCACTTTTGGACCATTTGTGTTAAAACCTCTGTCGATAGGATTCCCGTTTTAAGTTATTTTTGTTCAACATCAATACAAAAAACTCCCCTATGACTCCTGGTTCAAAAGCTCGCCTATTTTCAAAATGGCCGCCATTTTTGTTCCGCGAAATTCAATTTTGGCCCATTTCCTAGCTTTATGAATTATTTCAGGGGTGTCCTGCATTGTAAAAGCCATGTCACTGTAAAGAGTAGTTGTATGAAATAATTTTGTAACAAAAAATCGGCAAAAAATCATATCCGTTTTTTTTTATTTTCAGCCATTTTAGTTAACATTGATTTGTCCATCTGTCTCTCAGTCAGTCCAAGATAGCGACAAGTTTAAAAACCAATGTCTGTCAACACTTGGCTCTTTTTAAATCCTCTGTAGATAGGATTCCTGTTTTAGAATATTTTTGTTAAGCATCAATAAAGAAAAAAAAACTGTGACCCCTGCTTCAAAAGCTCGCCTATTTTCAAAACAGCCACCATTTTTGTCTTGTGAAATTCACTTTTGGCCCTATTCCTAGCTTTACGAATAATTCCAGGTGTCCTGCATTGTAAAAAGCCATGTCTTTGTAAAGAGTAGTTGTATGGTACTAATTTATTTTATTAATATGTACTCTTTTCCTGGAAGCCATTCAATACTATAAGAATTATTAATTATAATGAAGGATTTCTTAATTGATCATGATAAATGATCATGACAGAGATTCTATTTAGTCTATTATTATATGAAGTGAGTGTAATTAAAATACTCAATACGCAACTAACGATCTTCTGTTGCATCAATTCACGATGGAGACCATCCCTGTATTTGACGTTAAAAGGATGACAGACACGTTGAAATCCGGATGCTGACTTGCTACAACTATAAACCAGTTGCAATGTTTTCTATAAATCCGAAAAATAAAATGGACCAGATCATTTCTCATTTTGCACCATGATGATAAAGGCTTAATCGTCAGATGGTTGTGTTATCAGCCATATCTGTGTTTTAACCATACGTGATACAAAATTAATTTTTAATTAAACTGGTTTTAATGAACTTTGCTCTATCCGGAAACAAAATATCTGAGTTGCTTAAACAAAACAAAATGTGTTTTATCTATGGTCTTATTAGAGAGGTTACGCACAATGGGATAAAGCTAACCGTATCTCGTTTGAACAACTACTCATTTTATATAATCTGGTGAATATGCTAAAATATATGTCTCTGGTTTTACATTTAGATACGATGAGCCAAAAAGTTGTGCAAAACCTCTTCTTTTATTTCTTTCAAAACCTCTTCTTTTATTTCTTTCAAAACCTCTTCTTATCTGATCGTTGAAAACGTTCAATTTTTATAAATCACACTAGACTGGGTTCAGTAGTCGGACAAGTGTATATTATGTCTTATGGAATGCGATATCTAATTGGTAAGTGGCGAGTGTCAGTTGTTCAAGTTATGATTACTACACAATAATTCGCATTAAACAATGGTTTCAGGTTGGAAGGAATATCACATTCCATTTAATAATCAGCTACAGTAATATCTTGAGGGATAATGGAGATGACGAACTGCAAGGTGAATATCCTAACATCGAGAAAATCCAACAATATTCCACCATAACACGGTTACAGGGTATCCCAAAATTGTACGGAGATAAATGACGATAACTTAACGATAAAGAGATATTAGAAAGATTTCGCAACCTACTTATTAATAGCATATTTATCATTCCCGTATAAAGTATAACTCAGGAAGCGTTTGATTACGTCATTACTTATTGTGCAACTCTATACAATTTATATGAATGTCACACTTATGTACGTATAGAGCTGCGCAACACATGATGACGTAGTCAAACGTTTCATAAGTTTTACGCTGGTTTTACGTTATACGGGAATAATAAACATGCTATAAGTAAGTTGCGAAATATATCTACTATTTGGTCATCAGCTGACGGATGTAGAGATCTAGAAGTTTCACCAGGTAACTTTATCAAAAACTTGTAATTAATAGTAGCCACCGCCATCTTCCAAC